GATCGTGAAACATGCACTCTCTAGATTTTATGGATTCACTCCCCTTTCTCTATGGGACCTCATATAGGTGCGCACCAATTGCAGTCTAATAGCTCTGCAAGTCTTCAATGGAGAAATATCCTGGGCAAGAATAAACATTGGAGCCGTATGTTAGTATACATATCTATATCTCTATATATAATTACTCAATATAAAAGAATGAATAAATGAATATAAGGAAAAAATATTACCAATTAATAGATTTATCAATTAGGTTAATACGTGAATATGGAAATAATATTATCAATTAATAGATTTTAATTAATTTCTATTTTACATTTGGTTACCAAATAAGTTTTACTACAAAAATTTGGGCGGGAAAATGAAATAGGAGGATTTTAATTTCTTATATATATATAGATTAAATATTAATACTAATTCAAGTGGTTTATGGTCTATTGGTATTCGGTTGCTCCTTTATATGGGAGGTTTAAGGTTTGAGCCTCGGTGTAGGTGTAGATAGTATATGTAGATATCCCTTTCTTTTGTAATAAAAATATTGATTGACTAAAAATTATCTTAACTATTAAGGCAATTAATTAGTTTTAAAATATATGAATTATACATAGTAGCATGGAATTAATTAGTAGGACAATTATATTAGGTAATCTAATTCATAATTTACTTTTAAAATTATATCCCCTTTTTAATAATGAATATTTATTTAAAATATATACACACACTATGCTTATCAAAATAGAATTAAAATTTATTCATATTTTTAGAATTATAATATATATGAAATGCAATTTGGAATAAATCAACTTAATTATATGAATTTTTTTTAAATAATTCAAATATGTAATGATTTCAAAATGAAATTAATATACAGTTACAAATAAATATAGCATGATTAGATTTACTTTAATTAGTTTTATTTCCTTAATGAAATGACTTTTCTTTATCAGTTTTTTATTAGAGACTAGGGAAGTGTTTGGATTGCTGGAAAATATTTTAAAATAAAATAGATACTAATAAAAAAATAATTAAACAAATATTTTTTTAACCCCTCATAACATGTGTAAATCTTATATTTTAAAAAATACAATTTGATAAATATAATTTCTGTTTAAAATAATTAAAGAATAAATAAATAATTCAAATATGTGAACCAATGATTTCAAAATGAATTTAATATACAGTTACAAATAAATATAGCATGATTAGATTTACTCTAAGAGAAAATTACACTTTTGGTCCTGTGACTATTGTGGGCTTGTTAATTTCAGTACTCGACTTTAAAAACTAACAATTTAGTCCCGTAACTATGCAATTTTTAACACATTTGATCCTCCCGACCAAATCACCGGTCAAATGTTGCTGGAAAACGTAAACCTTTTTTAAATTATTTACTCATAGGGGTAAAACGGTCATTTTCTTTTAACTTCCTTCACCTGTTGACCGGAACTGCAGTGAGACACCCGGAGGTGATGAACATGGAGACGTCGCAGCCGCCGACGAAGCAGAGGCGGAGGGTGGCGGCGGCGATGGTGGAGAAACGACGAGAACAAAGGCTGTCCAGGTGTCTCGCTGCAATTCCGGCCGACAACTACTGTGTTCTTCATTGAGAGTTGTCTCTGGCACCAAATACTCAGAACCGGAACAACTCTCTTTACCCTCCTCTTCATTCCCATACCCAACAACAAAATCAACTTTTTTCTTGAAGCTTTTCAGCACAGGTCTCCATCTTTTCATCAAGAAAACAAGATGCCTTTTTATATTATTTTGTTAATTTCACAAGTCGCCGGAAGAACAATAAGCAGAGTTGCTCACCACAATGCCATCAAATTGATGCCTTTTTTACCCAAACCCATTGTTCACCTTGGCCTTGTGATACAGATTATTGCGACGCCATTTGAGAGAAATACTGATCGGTCGGCAATGAATTATTTTAAGTCGGGGAAGACTCTGATGCTTTATTATTTAAACAGATTTTTCTGATTTTGGTTAGAAAATTTCAATATTTAATAATTCAATTACTTTAACTGTTTTCTTTATTATTACTTTGAGAAATTGAATTGGTCTGGCCAATTGCTTTTATGAGATATACACACTACCACTGTGGACGTATTTTTTCGAAGAAGGATGAAGAAGAAAGAAGAAGAAGAATGAAGAACATAGAATGACCGATTTACCCCCGAATTAAACAAATTAAAATAGAATTAAAAGATTTCGGCGATATTTGGCCGATGATTTGGTCGGAGGACCAAATGTGTTAAAAATTGCATAGTTACGAGACTAAATTGTTAGTTTTTAAAGTCGAGTACTGAAATTAACAAGCCCACAATAGTCACAGGACCAAATTTTCTCTTTACTCTAATTAGTTTTAATTTTCTTAATGAAATAACTTTTCTTTATCAATTTTTAATTAGAAACTAAGGGAAGGTTTGGGTTGCTGGAAAATATTTTAAAAATAAAAATACTTACTAATAAAAAATAAGAGAAAATTTCAATTTTGATCACATGACTATAGGGACATTGTTAATTTCAGCACTTGACTTCCAAAATTGTCAATTTAGTACCTTGACTATGTAATTTTTGTCAATTTTGGTCTCTCCAGCCAAATTGACAGTCAAATTTGACCAGAAAAATTTAATCCAACATTTAGTCTATAATTTGAGGGGCAAAATTGTCTTTTGATCATTTCTCATAATTTTGAAAATATGGTCCGAATTAAGCCCAAGTGCTATTGACCCGGTTTGTTTGTTTATGTGTTCGTCGGACCGTGAAGGATTGAAAATCGGCAAATCGACAATTTGACGATTGACTATTTCGCCGAAAAAAATTGTGCTTAATTCTGACCACATTTTTACAATTAGGAGAAAGGATCAAAAGACCATTTTGCCCCCTCAGATTATAGATTAAAGAGTTAATACCCAAAATAGTCCCTCGACTATGTCGTAATTACCAATTTGGTCCTCGACTATCATTCTTACCCAATTAAGTCATCAACTATACAATTTTTACCCAATTTAGTCCTTTGTCAATTTGACTGTTTGTTGACTGTCAAAAGTGGAAATAAAGTTGTAATTTTACAAGTTTTCTCCTTCCTCCTCATTTAGCAGCGCCAAACCATGTAGCAATAAGCTCTGGTTGGGTTCTAAACCTGTCAGTATCGAAGTAGTGGTTATGCATCGGATAGCCCATGAATTTGATTTCCAACGATTTTTTGACGATCGAAATCTGATCGGAGTGTATTGCTGCATGGTTTGGCGCTGCTAAATGGAGAGGAAGGAGAAATCTTGTAAAATTATAATTTTATCCCTACTTTTGACTGTCAACAAACAATCAAATTAATACAGAGGACTAAATTGGGTAAGAATTGTATAGTTGAGGACTTAATTGAGTAAAAATTACATAGTTGAGGACTTAATCGGGTAAGAATGTTAGTTGAGGACCAAATTGGTAATTATGGCATAGTCGAGGGACCATTTTGGGTATTAACTCTAGATTAAATGTTGGATTAAATTTTTCCGGTCAAATTTGGCCGGAGTGAGCAAAATTGACAAAAATTACATAATCAAAGTACTAAATTGACACTTTTAAAAGTCAAGTGCTAAAATTAACAATGTCCCTATAGTCATGTGACCAAAATTAAAATTTTCTCTAAAAAATAATTTTAAAATAATTTTTAATCCCTAAACATGAGAAAATTTTATATTTAAAAAAAATACAATTTAATAAATATCTTAAATTAATTATTGCAATATCATTTATGTTTACAATGAGAATAATTAAAGAAAAAATAAATAATTCAAATATGTGAACCAAAGATTTAAAAATGAAATTAATATACAGTTACAAATAAATATAGCATGATTATATTTACTTTAATTAGTTTTAATTTCCTTAATGAAATGATTTTTCTTTATCAGTTTTGTATGCGAGACAAAGGGAGTGTTTGTGTTGTTAAAAAATATTTTAAAAATAAAAATAATTTTAAAATATTTTTTAACCCCTAAACATGCAAAAATTTTATATTTTAAGAAAGATACAATTTGATAAATATTATAAATTAATTATTGCAATATCATTTATGTACAATGAGAATAATTAAAGAAAAAATAAATAATTGAAATAGTTTAAAAATTATAAATATATAGCTTTATAATTATGAACATATAGTTCAGTAATTATGAACATAGAGTTCTGTAATTGTGAATATAGAGTTCAATAATTATGAATATGAAGTTCAAAGATATGAATATATAGCTTTATAATAATGAACATATAGTTCAGTAATTATGAACATAGAACTGTAATTATAGCCCAATTAATACAAATCCTAAACACTAATATATAAAATATCTAAAATTGCAGCACTAAATGCGTATATCTACACGTTAACTATTAATTTGACAATTATTTATTCGAATTCAAGCAATGATAACATCAGAAAACATAATCGGTGCAACTCAATTCTTCAATTATATTATATAATATTCGATATTCGATGTTATAATTTATACAATTGTATATCGATCTAAATATTTTTAAAGTATTATAACAAATTCATCACGTACAACGCATATACGAAAATACTAGTTTTTATTTATTACAAAAAAAACAGACATGAAAGTGATGGAATTATCAGTTATGGAACTAAAAAGTTTCCTATTATGGTGTATAAATCATTAAATCTAGAGAGGAAAAGAAAATATAGTACAAAATTAGGAAAGAAAATCACAATTCAAGAATTTACAAATTTGGCAGGTTTTAACTCAAAAAAATAAAATTTGGCAGGTAAATTTTGTTTATAAGGGCATTAACTCATTAAGGGTAATCTCGACTTTTTTCCTGCTTCTCGACGCGGTTCAGTAATTCTCTCCTCGTCTCTCTGCGCCTCTCGCCCTCCACCGTCGGCCACATTCCGATCAGGTCACTCCCACACTCCGTTCAGGTCACTGGACTCTGGATTCTGTTGTTCATACAATATCGTATTTTGATCAATTCAGGGAGAGATGATGCGAGGAACAGGGAAGAAGAAGATTGAAATCAAGAAAATAGAGAAAGAGTCATCACGAATGGTGACATTCTCTAAGAGACGCAGTGGTCTGGTCAAGAAAGCTGTGGAACTAGAAGACAAGACGGGAGCCCGTGTGGCCTTGGTGGTTTTCTCCCCCAGAGATCACGTCTACACTTACGGCGACATTCCCGCCATGTCCGATCTTGTCGAGAGGATCACCAACAACACCGGCATCGTTCCTTACGACGCCGGCCAAATGCAGGACAACGGTACCGTCGACAATTCCACTTCGGGTTCGGGTTCGGGTTCAAATTACAAAAACCTAATTCACTGGGTCGATAGTATCGACATTGAAGAATGTAACAATTTGGAAGAAACCTTGAAGTTGAAGCAAATTTTGGAAGTCCTTCTGCAAGACTGAAGATTATGACTTGTTTAGGATACAATCCTAATCCTAACGGGTAAAAGTAAGGAAAATTTTTGAATAAAAAGATGCTTTTTTTAGCTACTTGTGTATTGGCAGCACTAGAAATCTAGAATGAGATTAAACTTTTGAGATGTTCATTCATTAGTAGTTTAAGAATCGAATAAAAATATGTTTTTTTTCCAGTAATTTTAAAATTGTTAAAACATATTTATACTGCAAGTAGAAAATAGATTACCCTTTTTTTTTCTGTTTCTCAATTATTCAAGAAATTTGGAAAATTTCACAAGTTATTAATATTCCAATATTATTCAGAAGACAATATAGTGTGAAATTGATAAAAATTTTGTAGGCAATAACTCAAGAAGACAGTTCAAAATGTCAAATCTTAAGAATAGACTAATGTCTTGTTTTGAGTCAAGTAATTACAATTATTGGCATATAATGTTTATTTGGTCAAAACTTGTGTTGACCAAGAGATATAGACACTTATACAGCATCAGCTCAGATGACTAAGACTATAATTAAAGAAAAAATATTACCCAAAAATTTAGTATAAAAGTAATAAAATTTACTGTTTTCCAATGAGTGTGTGGTCTAGTGACATGCGGTGACTCTCCCAAATGAAAAGTCATGAACAGATAGTACATTGTAACAAAGATCAGTAGTACTCAAAAAAAAAAAAAAAAATTGCATCTCGCAAGATTAAACAGATATAGTTAAAACTCGATCAAACCCCATTCAATTCATAACAGTTTTCTCAAGAATTGCAAAGTGCATATGCATCAATTAAGCTAATCACATAAATTTTGACCCTAAGTTTGCAACCTAAGAGGATGGTTGACATTATGATAAGTTCTAATAGAATAAAATAAAATAAAATAAAATCCTATCCCGGGTATTTTGCATACTCCTTTGAATGAACATCATTTTCAGCATCTTTTCCCAGCATATTGTGTTAAACTCTCCAGCTCCCCCTTATTCCACATCTTAACTCTGTCGTCTTCTCCCCGCCATTTCATATTTATACAACATCATACCATCTTCCAGTAGCAGCAAAGAAAGAAGCAAAATATAAACACACTTAATTGGTTTCTGAGGCCAAGAGATCAGTACCCCTTTTCTCTCTGATCTAGTTTTCTCAGAGACATGGGAAAGAAGACAATGAGCAAAACATGTTCACAGTCACAGAAAATATCGAAGAATCATGACAAGCTTAAGAAGCAACAGCTTAACAGCTTGATTAACTTCTTGAAACCCAAAGTTTACATCACAGACTCTTCAAACTTCAAGAGCCTGGTTCAAGAACTCACCGGTAAAGGAACTCATCCCGACTCCTCACCTTCGCCTGCTATTCCACAGCCATTTGAGGCTTCTGTAATGCCTGCAGTTATTCATGATGTTAAAGGAGACCAAACTTATCAAGAAAATGGGATTGAGGAGTTTTCTGTCGACTCATCAGAAGGAAGCGGCCAAATAGAAAGTTCCATGGTTCCATGCATACAAGAACCTTTCACCGGGTTGGATAACTTTGCACAGTTTAAGGATTTCGAGTCTTGGCTCCTGGAAACGGACTTGGATCGCTATGATGATGCCTATGCTCCCATGATTCAGCATGACCTGCAAGATGTTTCTGTCTTTGACAGTTATGATATACCCTGTTTATTTCTTGATGATAATTACCAAATCCAGTACTAGGAAATCACCATGTGTAGTTCGTTTCCAGTTTTCAAACAGGTAGATAATGAAGCATTATTATTACAAAGGAGTTACTTGTCAAATGATGAAGTGGAATGCGTGAACTTTCTATTTCTAGCTAGTTTCCACTTCTCTGCCTCTTACTTTATTCCCACCGGATTACAATTCCTTTCCCCCCAAATTCCTTTATTCCAACCAAACGCCCTGTTAGCGTTTTCCTTGTGTTTGTAGAGAACTAGCAGGGAGACTATACAAGGATTTCAGTTGCTGGCTAATCAGCCTGCTGTTATTCAGGGCAGTTTCGAGTTCCAATTTGTCGGACCACCATTGCTCGAGTCCATGTGCCTCTAGAAACTTCTGCTTCCCTTTCGACGAGGACAGGAAAAGTTTGGCAGCAACTTGAGCATTTGTCGTCCTATCATTATTCACCTTGCCTGCAGCCTGCAGGTTGTTCTGTGTATCGCCTGAATCAATGTAATAGCAACAAATGTAATCGCTGTTGTTTATATACAGATGTGGCACCCATTGTCCGAGGCCTAACTGCAAAGCTTTTGCTGCAGATTCCTCTGAGCTAGTCCGAGTTTGATCAGAACTTAAAGGTAGCATTGACCTCAACTTGTTCCAACCAAAACGAGCTTTTTCCTCCGATATTCCTCATATACATAGCCAGTGAGGCAGAGGGTGGATTGAACAAATGTGCCTCTATGTATATTCCTTCTTTGGCTAATGTTTTCCTTACTTGAAGAGCAAAGCCAGCCCCGAGTGAATGCCCAGCAATGCATATATTCCTGCTTCCATACTTGCCAGCAAGTGACTCGAGCGCTCTTTGAGATACACTGAACCTGACAGATCCCTTTAAACTTTCCCAAGCTAGGTAGCGTAGATCATCTTGGATATCCCTTCTCATTGTTGAAGTTTTGAAAAGTGTCCCTCTCAGCGCTAAAACAGCACTTGGTGCACCACTCGGTCTGATAGGCACGAGATCGGCCAAAGCTACTGCTCGATCCCATTTGAATACCGCCCCAAATATAGATCCATCTCTGTCGTCTGTTAGGGTCTCAGCCAGTCTGTATTTGAAGGGTATCCACCAATTTGGAGCAAGAGCATTTCCTTGTTTCCTGTTTTCTTGCCTGTCTAGCTCAAGCAAGTAAACTGATTGTACAAAACAAGCCATCACTGTTCTCTTATAATTGCCATTCTTCCTGTACATACAAATTCCCAGCATCAAACTTCAACAAATTCTTGTGTTCTCATAAACATAAACAAATTCAGAAATCAGGAGAAATAAGAGTAGGCTAATATCTAGTGTGACAAGCTGTGAAGCATGTTAAGTAACCATACCAAAAGCATCTTCAAGAGTGCATGAGTCCCAATATGCGCAAGTGAACTTTTAATATGCTCTTGTCCCTCAAGCCCATCAACATAGTGAAGAACATTATCACCATGTTCAAATGTTTCCACTAAAACAGCAGGATGTACCAAAGGATATAGAGGTTTTGGGAATGATAAAACATCTTTCCATCTACAAAAATTGTAAATAAACCGACTCAAGTTAGCTGCTTCTCTAGAAAGATCAACTTGGGACATCATGAACACTGCAAATTGCTGAATGCTTTCATCCAACCTCAACCATTTCAAAGTAGGAATGAACTTAGAAACTTGCCCTTTTGATAGCTTCTGATAGCTTCAACAACACCTGGATGCCTAACGTTTACAGCAACCATCATAGGTTTAACAGGCTTTCTAGGATATTGGAATTTCAAGATAGCTCTACTTCTCCATAAAACAGCTTTAGATTTGTATGATGTGCATGAAGCAAAACCTCTATGAAAAACTCTGCATTCTGCACTTAACTTTGAAAATATGTAAGGCAATCCAATTGAGCATGGTGACCAAACCTCCAAACGGCTGTTTGTAAGTGTTGCAAGCTGGGAATGAACAATCCTCCTAGCATTGACAATAAACAGAAATCTGTGCATAACAATATATACCATTGATTCATCAAACTCACAGTTATTTCTGTAGAAATGGAACACCAATGTATCACCTAATTCAGTTCAATTCACAAACTGAACAGAAAATTCATCATTACAATTTAAAATAAAAGCTCTCGTAGGGAACTTTAATATATATACACATATATGCATGTATTATATATTTTTATACATTTATTTATTTTAATTTCAATTCCTAGACTTATTTTGCTTAAACTCAAGACCATTCCTAAATATTTGATTCCAATTACGAGTAGGATTCCAATGTTAGAACAAATAGCCCCTAAGATTATCAATTTATCATACTACTGCAAATATTGAATAGTTTACACATACTCGGAAGTCGGAAAGTAAGATTTAGTTACTCTTCCGAAAGATCGGACTCCAGAAGTAACCAGCACAACACAAATTGAGTTATATGAACACGCAAGGCAACTTAGGCAAGCAACACAAAAATTCTACACGTTTATGAGAATACGAACCTTGAAATAGCCATAGGTAATGAGTGCAGCTGGGTCTATGATTCCGGGGCGGGGCGGACCATCACAAGGCATTTTCACTTCCACCTGAGGGTATAGATGTCAAATGATGAATTTCCCAGAGCATGGGAACTACCGACAGCATATGGCCAGTGATTGTAGTTCTGCCGGTGTCGAAATCCAGCTAGGAAATGGCGGTGGAGAGCGGATGAAGGCAACTGGTCAGCCGTACACGGCGGCTCTGTTTACTGCTGTGGCTGTTGACCACAATATGTACAGTATCGAGCTGGAAAGTGGAACCTGGGACTCTAGGAGTCTGAGTCTCTGAGAGAGTTTGCGATGAGCGGGTCGGGTCGGGGCTTGTCATGTCTGTACGGGCCAAAATCGGTGGTTAAAATTGTTTTTGAAAGTTACTGGCTCTATTACATTGTAGCCTCCATTGAGGCTCGAACTTATAACCTTCCAAATGGAAGTCCAACCCGGATACCATTAGACCACATAGTCCTGGTTTGTTTTTGAATACTATTCTGTTATAACTTACAATGTAGTAAATGTAGTATCTGTTCATAACTACTTTCAAAAATTTATTAAAACACAAAGAATCAATACGCTTCTACTGAGACTCAAACCTACAATCTCCTATATAGGAAAGCAATTTGATGCTATTAAACTACAAAGTCCTTGGTTGTAATAGGACAGTTATACCATGGATTCTACTCCCTTCATTCCCTTCTATCTAGATTCTAGACCTCTCAATCTGCAACAATTATGAGATGTACCCGAATCCACCTTACAATGTAAACTCGGGTCAAAATATACAATTTATATATAATATATTGAATGTTCACAATTCAAATTGTGAACATTCAGTATATAAATTATGTATTTTTTTTACTTGAGTCCACATTTTCACGGAATAATTTACCCTCAATTTGTGCACCCCACGTCCCCAACCTCTAAGTTTTGCTCCTTATGCCAATTAATCAATCATTATACCATGCACCACCAAACTCGGAGGATCTTAGTTGACATTTACTCATAAATTTATTTTAATTTGTATTTTTCATTTTTTAAGAAAAAAAAATATAAATAAAAGATCTTGTGGTCAAGCGGCATAGCTTAGAGGACTTTATACCATGATCCCTCAATTGAAGGAAATATATGGGCTTCGAGATTTGCTGGTCGCGAATAGTAGTGGAGCTAGCGTCCATAGAATTAAGTAATTGAGGCTTTGGTTTCCAAATACTCTCTCGGGGTCAGGCTGTGGGTCACCCTTGAGATTATAAATTCAACTTTTTTGAAAAGTAATTGCATTTCCTTAGCGATCCAATTTTTGGTATATAATTTAAACCGTTATGGGCAAGTATATCAATTAATCAACTTGTTTCCATCCGACAAGCAAGACAGGATGCCTTCAAGATAAGATGCTGCCGGCTACCATAATATGAGATCAGAATCCCAGAAGGCTGGAAGAATTCATTGTAACCTAAATCCAGAATCCCAGAAGGCTGGAAGGCTGGCTACCATTTGATTCGTTTCCAACAACAACATGGAAGACGATGAAGTGAAGAACTTAACCTACATTTGGATCTCAGTATCCGCATGTCTTTTATACTGCTATTTCATATCTGCAAAAATCCCAAAGGGAACGTTAAGGCTAATCTCTTTATCCCCCGTCTTTTACCTTTTCACCATCCTCCCTCTCTTTCTTTCTTCTGCAGTTCTCGCCGCCGTCGTCTCCTTCTTCTTCACCTGGCTTTCCAACTTCAAGCTCCTCCTCTTTGCCTTTGACCGGGGCCCACTTTCCCCCTCCGTGGGCCCACCTAAATCTCTCTTCGTCTTCGCTGTCATGGCTTCTCTTCCCATCAGACTAAAGCGGCGGCGGAGCAGTTCAAATCATCGTAGCACCAAGAAATTGCCGTTGAATTTAGCGACGGAAACTTTGGGCTTCGCCGTGTTGTTGCAGTTGATTCTGCGGTACAGAGATTCGGTCCACCCGAAGCTCGTCATGGTGGCTTATTGCGGGCTGGTTTTCCTCATGATTGATATCCTGGTGGCGGCGTCGAGCTTCGTGGTTCGGGCTTTGGTCGGGCTTGAGCTGGACCCGCCCTCGGACGAGCCGTACCTTTCGGGCTCTCTCCAGGAATTCTGGGGGAGACGCTGGAACCTCACGGTCACCAACGCGCTGCGCCTCACCGTGTACGACCCCGCGAGAGAGATCTCCGCCGGCGTCGTCGGAGACGAGTGGGCCTCTCTGCCGGCGGTGCTGGCGACCTTCGTGGTGTCCGGGCTCATGCACGAGCTCCTGTTCTACTACGTCACGCGCGCGAGCCCGTCGTGGGAGATGACGCTGTTCTTCGTTCTCCACGGAATATGCGTGGCGGTGGAGGTCGCTGTCAAGAGGGCTTTGCGCGACAAGTGGCGGCTGTCGCGGCTGGTGTCTGGACCGTTAACGGTTGGTTTTGTGGTGGCCACTAGTTTTTGGTTGTTCTTTCCACCTTTGATAAGGACTGGTGTAGATACCAAGGTCCTTGGAGAATTTGGAATTTGTATGGAGTTCATAAAAAGTAAACTATTGTCACTTGCCACAAACAATACAATTTGAGAATTTCATTTTTTTCTTTTTTTCTGACATGCTGTTTGAATTCCCAATTGGAAAAGTACATTTGGTTGGCAGCCTCACAGGTGGGAAGAATCTGCTCACAAACTACTATCAATACTCTTGATTTTATTGGATGAATATGAAAATAAATAAATAAATAATTGTGTGTGACTCACATTTAAAAAAAAAAAAAGTAATCTCAATTTTGTCAAATTAATCATAAAGCACGAATTGATTTGTCGCTTGAAAAAATAGTCGTTTAAAACGACATTTGAGCTTGCATAGAATCTTTGTTAATATCTCCAATAACCACAATGTTCGCCCGAAAGGTACAGAAGTTGGTCCAGAAGGAATCGTCACTTGTGAGAATTAAACTACCATGTTGGGTTAATTTAAATATCATTTTGAACTAGAGTCAACAATGCAAAATAGATCATGGTCTATGGTCTAATTTGTTCCATAATGTAAGGTGGACCAAACCATGGTCCACGATATAATTTGTGCATATTTCGTTCTCCAATAAAAGGGGCAAATTATATTGTGAACCATGATTAAATGTAAATTATTTGTGTAGTGAATGCGACTCTCCAGACTCGGCTCCATATTCGTCCGAGCTCTTCACGAGTTCTTTTCAGGGCCCACAGGGCAGATTCTCCTATTCTTTTTGGGCTCGTTGTAGCAAGCTCATTCCTTTATTCATTCTCCTCTTGGGCCTCTAGCTCACTGGGTCCATAACCCATCAATTTGAATACTGAAAGTATATTATTTTGTATATTATCAAATAATATATATTTAGTACATACATAATGTAGTTTTAGTATATTAAAAATGTGGCCTATTGAAAATTTTTCCACTAAAATTAAATTGGCAAATTATTCTGTGGACCATGAATACAATATACATTTTTAATATACTAAAAGTACATTATTTGTGTAATGAATACACATTATTTAATAATAGATAAAAAAAATTATATATCTTTAAATAATGTACTTTTAGTATATTAAAAATGTATTTTTATTTATGATTTTATGTACTATGGTCTATGGAATAATGATTGAACCAAATTGGGTTGGATTGTTATTAGAGTTTGTTGGGCCATTTTGGATTTTCTTCGGAGGTACCTAAAACCCACGATTCCAACCCATTTTCAGCCCGTCGACTCAATAATTTGATCGTTCTCTCCCACAAATCCAGACGGAAGTTCTACTCCAGTGGTCGGACACCGTTGATCGACGAAGCCGTGCCGGATCTAGATCCAGTAAACCTCTCTACGCCTCCGTTTGCCGGAATTAAGGTCTCTCCTCTCTATTGAACTGATCGGTTATTTTGTACAGGTCGTTGCATAATCAGTTTTTCCAATGAACTTATTAAAAAAAAATTGTTTCCAATGTATCATATAATCATCTAGATATGTGTATTTAGTTTTAGAATTTCGCATTATAATTCGAATGACAATTTAAAGAGTTCAATTCATGGCTAGTATTATCAGATCCGATGATTAAAGGTCATTTATTTTCTATTGAATTCGGAATCAGGAGTATAATAGTAGTGATATTAGGAGTTTTTTTTTTTTTTTTTTTTTTTTTTTTTTTTATTGCAGAAAGTAGCTGCATTAAGTATTGTTGAGATGGGATTTTTGGTGACAACTCTAATTTTTTTGGCTGTCGGAGTTATTGCATCTCTGTGTATCACAATCTGCTGCAACAGAGGGCCTTCCACCAATCTGTAAGATCAATTTGCTTTATATGATCTGCTTGCCATGTACCCAGGCAAAAAAAGAAAGAAAATATATAGCTTTTCAGATGCATATATTATTGTTCTTTATTTGTTTCTCAATGTTAATTATTATAGTGAGCATCGCTTTGTGATTAAAACAATGGTGCAAGACTATAAGTTATTGGATGATTTTTATTCTAAATACTGCCCAGCAATTGAGAGAGCTGCTTTGTTTATTTTATCATGGTCTGCTGATTAGCTATCTTAGATAAACAACTAGAATGTCCTGGATTGTTGCTAGTTGAAGTTTGAAGTGGAAATCACCAGATTATATTAGTAAGATTTCTCATGTAAAGAAGGAAATTGATATGATGTAATTACATTCACCTATCAATATCATGATTAATTTCCTGCTGGTACTGGAGTATTTGGAATTTATATAGAAACTAGTCCTAAATTTCATATACTTAATAATATCTTAATTATTTTAAAGTAGGGTTTGTTATGCAAATTATGCAAGCATTCTTTATTTTTGTTAAATCATCTTGTCTTGTTCTTCGGATAATGAATTATGATCAATATTGTTGATATAGCTCAAATGTTGTTACACGTCTACTTACTTTGTATCTACTATCTAGTAAATATGTCCATGATTGTTGCTAATGGAAGTTTGAAGTGGAAATTACCAATTATATTTGTAAGATTTAGTATGTAAAGAAAAGTAATTTGGTCTAATTACATTCACTTATCAGTATCATGATTAATGACCCGATGATACTGGAATATTTTAAATTTATATAGAAAGTTAGAAACTAGTGCTAAATTTCATGTTATATCTTAATTATTTTAAAGTAGGGGTTGTTGTGCAAATTATGTAAATATTCCTTATTTTTTAATTTTTTTATAAATCATCTCTTGTTCTTCAATTATGATCAATATTGTTCAGGTAGTTAAAATGGTGATATAGATCGACTTGCATTGCTGCTAGTAAATTTGTTTTGCACTAAAAGTCAAATTTTTGGCTTTATGGGCTAAAACTGTATATTCTCATGCAGGTTACACTTGACTTTGGTTATCACTGCTACAGTTTGCTGTTGGATGATGTAAGTTTGATCATTAGCAGAGTTAAATTGGTTCATTGAGAAAAGATGCATATTTCTCATACTAGATCTTTCTTCTCCTTGTTTTTACACCTCTTCTTTTCACTCTCATTTGTTTATGCATTTAGCTCAAAGAATAGTGCTGAATTTGGTTCATTTATATATTTAAGTTTGTAGCGCATGTTGATTGATATACGTGCATGCAGGAGTTAAAAATTCCCAGATTGATTACCTAATATATACAGTCATTGATTAGTTGTTGACATGTTGATGATATATTTTTATCTTATATACTTGATATCTGCCTTCAATTTGCAGTTGAGTTGTGTCAAAATTTCCTTTCTGTTTTGTTATGCACATGAGCCAAACCACACTGAAAGATTGAATTCAATCAATTAGCTAGCCTAACCCGTTGCCTTATAAACCCATATGTTGTTCTCTCTTATTTTATCAAAGTGGGACTCTTAACATGTTTAGACCATTACTCGTATGATTTCACACTTTTGTGTCTTCAGTCCCTTCTATGATGGCTTATTAATAGTTGAGTTGTGTGGAACTGTGTAATCACCAACAATCAAACCTTTTCCTGTTTTTTTTGCCTTTATTGGGAGGGGAGAGACTCAAATAGTATGTTCACAGACAATGGCACTTCTGGGCGTCTGGCTTTACTGTAAACATGCATCACAGCTACTAGCTCATTTCTTACAAAAGTTTTAAATGTTTAAAATTTGTCTTAGGCTATGTCATACAATAGTTGGAAATGATGGTCCGTCAACTAAGTGCCTTTTTGTTTTTGTTATTAGCAATACCGATTTTGCATGGTTATGTATATTTTCTAGACCACTAATAGAGGTTGACTGCTAATATATTCCTATTGTCTTGGTTTGATAGTCCTCAAAGTTGCTTTGTATTTCTATATTTTGTTTCTTAGTTAGTAATGCTTAAAAGAGTTTGTGCTATTGCTGGTTACTTTTTGGTGTTACCCCTCTCAATTTGAGAATGTGCAGCTACTTCTCTACTTTTATCTGCTCACCGTGGTGTGGGTATGCCACTTAATTTTTGTATTTTATCTTCACTTAGCAAGTTGTGTGAGATTACCAGTTGATACAATTGTTTTTTGGACTTCCTTTCATGCAATTTTTCTTTCACTATAACCTGACTGCACTTCTTCCCATTTTTGTGTTGATTCATTGGCTATCCTTTCTAAAAGAGCAGACATTATCCGAATCAAATTTTCCAACTTTTTCCATTTGTTCTTTGATTGTTGATTGAAGCTCATTTCTTTATCAACTCCGCATCACAACTCACAAGCAAAAATTACAAAGAACACAAGAAGATGACCTTGTCTTGTTATTTTCTTTAATAGGTGGGCAATAGTGTATCTGGCGCAGATGAAGCCACTGATCGTCCCCATTTTAAGCGAAGGGGAGTGAAGCGCTTGCTATTCATGGAGGATGCATAGTTCAGCCCCTCTCTGAGGCCACAACGTGCATTGTGTGTAGAGTTGAAAAATGGATAAACAAGTACTTGAGACTTGAGAGCATGTGCATCTATTTATATATTATTGTGTGTATGTTCTTTTTGCGTTTACTGTCATGGGTACAAACTGCCATAGCTTCGTTTGTATATTGTTTATTATTAGCGGAGTAGAAATTAATCTCTGGGACTTTCCTCAATTTTGTACAATGCTCTGAGTTTTTGGCTATACATGAATAATGAAGGTGTTTTATCTTCAAGCTGAACATTTCATGTGTTTTAAATGTTGTGCCTTCACCAGTATAACTTACTTGAGATAAATGATTACCATGTGATAGAAACAATTCATGGAAGAAATTTCTTCATTTCTTGACCGAAACTTTCACCAAGAATACACTGCAAATGAACACATTTTGGAGACAATAAATTGTTCCAATGTTGCAGGCATGAGGTTGCTAAGATATCAATTTTGGCTGAAACTTCAATTTAGTTGAAGAGATTTTTGTGCAAATTGTAATTACTTCCTAGCTAAGTACTTAAGATGAAGAAAGCTAGAATTATTTTAAGAATTAAAAGCTCTAAAATGTTGCTAGAAATAGCCCATGGCTAAAAGGTGTAGAACATGCTATTCTTAAAAGATTTAAAACTTTAGCTTAAAAAACTTCGAAAAAACCTTCAGTTTGATTAATTAAGTAATACAAAGTTCGGTTCGATTAACGGTTAAACCTTTAAAAACTTTGGTTAAAACAGTTCGGACCAATTGCACACCTTGAGAAATGCTTAAAGTTTTTTTTTTTTTTTTTTTTTTTTAATTGTTTGTGTTTAGTACTGAATCTAAAGTAAGCTAGGTTGAAGCTAATTTACATGCGGAAGAGACATTCCAAAACTTTGTTACCTGTATTTATCCCCACATCACTTTATGCATATAGAAAACAACAACAAAATCACTTGTTCATACTAAACCAAATTTATATCCATATCCTTATCAATTCAAAATATAACTCATCTCAATTACTAGATTTCTAATAATCTAGTTCACTTTGCCTAATTTATCAAACAGTTGAGAAGATTATTGGTAATTTCAGTGAAGCATTTACATAATTCAAAATGTGATAAGCAACTCGTGCATCACAATATTAGTGTTATGTGCACAAAAATATCACAACATTAGTGTTATGTGCACAAAAATATTGTTCCGTATTTGTACTAAATTTTGTACTATCTATACTAAAAAAAAATTAAAAAAATTGTACTATCTAATATGATTATAACATGCATTATCAACATTATATTCGTTAGCTACTATTGAAGTATCCATTGATTGTCAAAGACCTTGTGGTTGAGTGGCATAACTGTAGCACTCTCAAATGGGAGGTCACAAATTCAAACCTCGGTGGGGACATTCACTCTTTGAGCTTCAATAGGTTGAGAAATAATATATGTACAGATACTACAATGTGAGTTAATTTACACTAGCAAGATTGCTTCAAATCAACATGACAACATTATGTTTATTCTTTGATTGCACTTGGCAGAAAAATGGAGGTTTTATAAAGAATAATATTAAGAATGGGTATACATGAAAACAAAAAAAAAAAAAAAAAAAAAAAAAACAAAACAAAACTTTAAAATCCAATCTATTTCTGTTCCAACCTCATAAATGGCATCTTCAGGTGCAGGCAAGAATCAAAGCAAGACTTACAATCTTAGGGCATCCCGACGGCCACTGTTTAAAGATCACAGGAAGACCAACAACTCAGGTGCAGGTACAAAGGACAGCATACTTTCACCATAGTATTCAAATAGGAAAGGTAGCAAATGCGCAGCATCTATATCTTGCTTCCAGGCCTGATTAAGACCAACTTGTGATTTAGGGGCTTGTCCACCACTCATCTCCTTTCTGCTGCTGATTCTTTGCGAATTCTCACTTGACAAAGCTTGTGGCGTTGATGCAAAACCTCCATCAGTAGCCCCTAGGTTTGTAGGGTATCCACTAGTAGCTCCTTGCATCCCTCCAGCTGCCCCGTCAGTCACCAGTTTCTTTTGTGGGGGTTGTTGTTGTATCATGTTGTCCGTGCTAATTTTTCGTTTATCTTGCAAAAATTAAGAAACCACAGTCAGCATGTCCAAGCATTTCACAAGGAGAACATTGTTGTTTATCTTGACTACAGCCACCTACAAGAAGTCGGGAAGTTTTCCAATTTTAAAACCAAACAGAGATTCTGAAGTGGTATGGCTCATTAACATGAATCACTCATTCAACAGGTAGTATTTCTCAAGGATCCACATTAGGCCTTTAGCAAATTGTGTTAAATTCTAGTCCCATGTTCCCTTTTTTAGCCATAATAGCATGTAACAGGTAAGTGCATATGTTAAGAGTCTTACATTGAAAGAAAATAAGAGAAAATATATAGGTTTATAAAAGGTCATGAGTTAGACTAACTAATTGATTAAATTCAGTCTTTTAGTGAGGTTTGACCCATGTTTATTATAGCCGAGTTGAGTGACATTGGCCTAATCTTAGATTATAACATGGTATTAGAGTCTGTATAGTCCACTTTGTGTCACTCCATTGTCCACTTGAGGGGAGTGTCAAGAGTCCACATTGAAAGAAAATAAGAGAGAATATATGGATTTATAAGGACATGGTTAGACTAGCTAATTGATTGGATTCAGTCTTTTAGTGTGGTTTGCCCCATGTGCATTATAGCCCAGTTGAGTGACTCTCACCCGATCTTAGATTATAACAAGATACATACTTGATGATACTGAAGTAAGGACTTTCCTCTTGGACTTCAAAGCAGCATATGCTGGTGGAGATAACAGTGTTGGAAGTGTCTTTAGCTGATCGTAGATGCATAGGCCAGCTGCACACTGTAATGACCATGGAATAACTACTAAGGTTTTATAGAACCATTTTTCCATTAACGAGTTGCTAGGTGAAGCATTCTTTCAGAAAGGCTTAAACACCAAACATAAAACTCATTAAACAAAGAAAACACACCATTAAGGCACCATACACTCGCCATGCTTCATGCCTCTTCATCTCGTTCTTTTGCTTGTCTAGTTGCATTTCGGGCTCCAGCAATCGCATGTAAGACTCAAGATTGGGCATCAAAAGCAGGCTAACCTATACAAAAACTATGACACATCACCATTTGGCAATTGTTGTGGCATCTTCGAATTATAGCACAGGGAAGCTATAAAGATGGGAAGATAAAATGGAAAGAACAAGGGAGTTACCACACTAGGTCCAATTGCCGCTAGCCCTTGGATTGCACCATAATGTTGAGGCAGTGCCTTTGTTGGATCCAGAAAAGCATGCAACAAAGTCTTTGTAACACGTGGTTGGAGATTGTGGTAAACATTACCGTACCTGCAAAGCTAGAAAATCAGGATGTAGAAAGCTTCCAGTTATTGTGTGATTCCGCAGTACTCTAATAAATTTTAGTTGACACCTAATTCATAACCATATAGAGTTCCATGCTTCTCCTTTGTCCTCGATCAAACACTCCAGAGAGAGAGAGAACAAAGATCCTCACCTCTTACATACCAGGGCAACCAACTTGGCAGCAAAGTCTCTAAGCTCCCAGTGGCTGTCCAAAACCTTATTCCCCAATCTCTTTGCAACAAGACATGTCATTACAGATGGCATCAACTGGTGCAGCTGAAAACACCGGAAAAAAAAAAACATTAAGGGGGCGTTTGGTTCAAGTTATATAAGATAACCAAGGTTATATTTGCTTGGTAATATAAGATTCCCATGTTTGGTTCAGGTTATGTAACTTTCCCAGGGAATGTCAGATAACCTCCGCATTAAGTTTTTAGCTATTGGAAGGAAATGTGAGATACCCTCCAATTTCTTAGGTAATCTCACATTCCCTTGTCTTATTACTAATGTTGGGCTTTGGACGTTTTAATCAATTTATCTTATTACCGTTGTCTTATTTACATATCTTAATTTTAAACCACACAGAAATCTAACATTCCCATCAATCTAACATTCCCTAAGGTAATCTAACATTCCGTGAACCAAACGCCCCCTAAGGAAAAGAAGAAAATCATCAGCTGAAACCAAAGTTATTTCTATGTGCCCTACAAGAAGATGAAGTTCCAAAGACAGCCCTTGTTTCTGTGATAATCTGTTTTTCCAAGAAAGTGTACAGAACTAAACAAGTAAACGCCTTATGATTGATCTTATTTGCTATCTTTTTGTAAAGCAGTTAACAGTGTATCCAAGATTGCAATTCTTGACAAATGCATTTAGGTACACAATATTTAATTCACAAATTAAAAAGAAATAACTTGCGGTATTCCTAGAATGGACTTACATATGGTTCAATGTGTATGTGAGAATTCTGAAGCAGGCTCCAAACAAGCCTCATCAAAGAACACAAAAGAGGAAAGTTATTCAAGTTCCTTGAGACCTGATAATATAATAGAAGCTCATTAGCCAGCCATGCTACCATAGCAATTGTGCTTAATTTCCAGCATATTATAATCACCTCATCTGAAATGAAGTATGTGAAGTAAGGAACTAAGGGATGGAGTCCACAATCTGTTGCCAAACTAACTATTGCTTCTTTGAAAAGCACAGAGTTCGACTTATTCACCACCAGATCCGTAATTTTGTCATAGTATAGCTGCATGACAAAAACAAACCTTATGACTAAATATTTTACGATTAGCAGCAAAAAGGATGCTAATAAGTAGCTAGCGTCTATAGTACCTGAAGCTCACGGGACAGGACATGCTTTACAGGTAATTTGAGGTCAATTGGACCTCCATCATCTTTACACTCGGTCTTTTTATTATCTGGAGGTGCTACAAGAGCTGTTGGAATGTAGATATTAGTACCAACAAATAAACCAGTTCAAAGCGGAGCAAATTATGTGCAATACTTTCACCAACCTTCAAGAGGAGGATTTTCAGGAATAGCAGGTTGCACTCCTTCAATAGCTAACCAATGAGCCGTAAGAACAGTATCTAAAGGAGCTTTCGGTAGTGGAGCTTCGATCACCTAAAAGAAACATGAACATAAATAGAACACTCGAATGAAAAAGAAGACCTATATTAGTATAAAAAGAAGTCCAGAGAAAAGTTCCCTACATCCTTAAAATCTAAATCCTTTTCTTCAATGTAGAACAAATCCTTATGCCCGGCAGCTCTGCTGAACCGCAAAGGATCTCCAGAGGCGAATCCATATACCGGCTAAATCATTAAACATGAACCAATTAGAACTTCATCAGGAAATATTGCATACTAAGCACACAGACAAATTTTGAAATCTTGCAAACTAAACATAGAGAAAGAACCCTTTTTTCTTTCAGTTACAATAAAGGTCTAAAATTGATAGATTGACTAGTAAAGATCAATAGGGGTACCTCAACATTCCGTACGCTAAGTGCTGCATCGACATCCTCGGCAGTTAACGTTGTCCTCTTCGAATGACGCATGCATTTTATGGACTCCTGAATTTTCCAACAAAAGAAAGGGCAAAACTTTTCACAACAAAGAAACAATTATTCCGTATATGAATTTTAAGAAAAACTTCCCCTTATTTTTTAAAAAACATTTTTTTTTTTAAATTACTCTGCCTGTATATGATCATGAAATTACCCTAATTCAGCTACATTTTTAATAGGGGCTTTCTTCTTCTTTTTTTTTTTCAATAAATAGTGGGGGGACCTGCATTATTTCTCGGAGACGGTATTCGACATCGGTGGCTAGGGCCGGTAAGACTTCCGGCAACAAATTGCTGATTCCGATGCTCTGCGCTATCACTTCTATTGTCTCTCCCGGAACTACACTCATCTTTTTAACCTTGGTGAATAGTGAGGAAAAATCAACGTTCCCTTTCGTATATATTTCCAGTAACGATTTCCAGCTGAGTGAGAAAGAAGAGTTGAGCTTCAGCTTTCGCCTTTCAGAACTCAGAAGGAATACAAACTTTCATTGATTTGCTGTGATCTCCTCCACTACTTCTTCATATATCAACTTTCAGACGGAGCATCGTCAGGTGGAAATAGGCCAAGCCTTCACAAATTAGGCCTAGGCCTTTTGTGGGAATCTAAGGTTTAAATGTAGGTTTGATATTTTTGTATTCGGTTCGATTTTTTTTTTTTTTTTAATAAATAAAATCATTTAATCTAACATTTTAAGTTAATTTGATTTCTATCAATTTAAAAATGATTGGTTTTACTACCATGTAGTCTGATGGCATTCTTAATAATGGTTATAAGTTCGAATTCTGATGGTGGTGACTTAAAATCTTTTAGGATACAATTATTTGATAATGGTTATTTGCTATCAAACATCTTGCCTACGTTAGATAATCTAATTAAGCGTAGGGTGGATCTTATTAATGTTTGCCCGTCATGCGGATTGGATGAGGAAAATGTCGTGCATGCTTTATGTTCTTGTACTTTTGCATCACATGTTTGGAATTTATCTCGATCAATTGCCTATCCCCTCTTTTAACGGCAGGAGTTTTGTGCAATGGACGGAAGATTGGCTTGGCTCAGCGACCTCCACTACAGACACAAAGGGGCAGATTTGTGGATTGTTATATGATGTCTGGACGTCTAGGAATGCGGCGGTGTGGGATGGTATTCTGCCATTACTGCACATACTGCTTCGCGACAGTTTGGCTAGATGGGAGGCGTGGACGGCTTGTGAGCAGCGGCACAACTCCTCTCATGAACGGCAACTACCGCCGGCCCCAAACTCGGATCCCCTGATAGCTGCTCATCTGCTATGTAGATGCGGGGTTCCACGGTCTACAACATGCAGCCACGTATGGGTTTATTGTTCACGAGGCGGATGGTACTTTTGTGGCGGCAGCAAATGGGCCAATTACTTGTTCGTATGATCCTCTCTTGGCGGAAGCACTGGCAATGTGTGAAACACTATCGTGGTTAAAAGACAATGGTTACACAGTAGTCACGCTATTTTCGGATAGCTTGGTTTTGGTATCGAGTCTAAGACAAGCTAGTTCTTTTCGTAACTATCTTGGTTTTGTTTTGCTTTCTTGTAATCGCTTGTTTTCTTTCATGTCAAATTCGTTGGTTAAATATGTTGGTAGGGATGCTAATCGGACGGCTCACGCTCTAGCTAAGCATGTAAGTGCCAGTTTGGTACGTTCAGTTTGGAGGGAAGAACCTCCTATTTTTCTAGTGCCTGATATGGCTAATACAATATGATTCATTTGACTTTCAAAAATATATATATATACTACCTTGTGAAAAATTATGAATATTTCAACAAAAAAAAAAAATAATTGATTTTGATTCGATTTAAGAACCTCTCCTTAATATTTCGTTGTCTTTTAATGTAATTAATTAATTGTTTGCTTTTACTAATAATTATAATTATTTTTCAAATCTCATCATCAAAGTCTAAATATTACATAACACGATAATAAATTCAAACATCCTACCAAACATCACATAGTCTAATTTCAAAGTCTAAATATAGTACAAATCAAAAGTCTAAGAGGGTGTTTGGTTCGCTGAAAAATATTTTTTAAGTTAAGAAAAATTTTTGTTTTATGTTGTCTGATAAGATAACAAATATTTTTCATTAAAAGCGGAGTTCATGAAAGTTGAGGAAAACAAATTATGAATAAAATATTGGTATTTTGTTTTCTACATAACTTAAAAATAAATGATAAATGGTTATACCCTCATAAAAGTTTCTTAATTATTATATAGTTATATAATAATATAATTTATTATCATTATTATTGTTAATGACATATTAACCTTTATATTAATATATAAAATTCATTATCATTCCAACAGTAGATTTTATATTTTTAATAGTTTCATTTTCACTACTGAAATATTGAATCAATTTGTTTAATCTTTTTTTTTTTTTTTTTTTTTTTTTGCTGAAACTTTAATTTCATTCATCTTCAAATATTTTTAGCAAACAAAATAAAGTTTTTTGCTATTTTGGTCACACGACTATAGTGTCACTAATAATTTTGATCCACGATTTTTAAAACTTGCATAATTGGTCCATGACTATTACTTTCTTAGCAAAAATAATCCTTCCGGCAAACTCTCCGGCAATTATTCACCGCAAATTTTTTTTTTATTTTTTTTTATCATTTTTTACAAGAGTATAATGGTCTTTTCATTTACCTTAACTAATGACCTAAATAATAATAATAATAAAATAATAATAAACTTAATCAGCTCAGATTACGCACATAGTACACATTCACTCACATTATGCTCAGATTAAGTTTATCATTATTATTATTACTAGTAATTCACCCGCACGATGCACGGAAAAAAATTATGGTATTATAAATATAAATAAAAATAGAAAAACTAAAATATTTTAAATTATTTAATATAATAATATTTTTGAGTTTCCATTGGTCAAGTATTTATTATTTTTATAGAATACAAAATTACAATTAAAATTAAAATTAAAATTTTGTATGGTTAATATAATCTCTAATTATGTGCATATTCAAACAAATTTATAGAGAGAATTTACATAATTACATTGATTTATTCTTAATTGTATTTCATCTATATTATAATTTTCACAATACGAATAATAACTAAGATAATTACATTTGGAAAGCAAATTTCAAATTTTGTAGGTGTAAATTTAAACTCTAATTGAACACATTTTTTATATAATATAATATATAGCTATTTTATTTTTCAAAAGTATATTTTTTATATGATTATATAATAGCTATTTTATTTTTTAAATGTTGTGCTTTTTGTTTTTGATTTTTTATATAATAAAGGATGTTGTTGCATTAATTGTAACATTAAATATTTCCAAAACCATATAGCTTTATTATATAAAGGATTATTATGGTCATTAGTTTAGGTAAATGAAAAGACCATTATATTCTTGTGAACAAAGGCTCTGTTTGGCAACGCTAAGCTAGGAGCTTATAGCTTATTTTAAGCTACTAACAAGCTATAAGCTCTGTTTGGTAATGTTCCCAAAATAAGCTCCTAGCTTAAAATAAGAGCTTATTTTGGAACGCTACTTTAGGTAGCTTTTCAAAATAAGCTACTAGCTTCCTAACTTTTTTTTCCATCTTTACCCTTATTATTTTAAAGTAATGACATATTTTAACCTTATGAATTAAAACCCTTTCTCTTCCCCTATCCCAACTTTCACGTCAATCCCTTCCTTAGTCTTGTTTCCTGCTAAAATGCCGCAGTTTAGTGAGGAGCCCCAAATTGATGTTATTATGGCTACATTTGCACTACATAATTATATTCAGAAGAATTCACAAGATGACATGATGTTTAATGTGCTTGAGCAGCATCCAGATTACATACCGCCCGATGAACTTCAAGATTCAAGTAGTAATATCTCCATCAACGAAAATTTAAGTCACACCTCTATGGAGATGAAGGATATTCGCAACAATATTGCTACTTCATTATGCGATGCTAGATCATGATCATGCTAATAGTTTTATTTTAAAAAGTGATTACTTTTTTTGGAAGACGAAATGTTAAATTTTAATATGTAAACAAACTAATTTAAATTTTATGAAGATGTCCTTTTTAGTCTTTTTACATTTATCAGCTTATCAAAAAGCTAAATTTACCAAACACTTTCAATCATAACAGCTAGCTTAACAGCTCTTCAATTTTCAGCTCCGAGCTTATAGCTTTTCAGCTTTCAGCTCCTTTTCAGCTATCAGCTCCTAGCTTATAGCTTTTCAGCTAGGTTTGCCAAACAGAGCCAAAAGAGAAAATAAATTTTTGATAAACAATTAACCGAGAGTTCGTCGAAAGGACTATTTTTACTAAAAAAAATAATAATCATGAACTAATTCTGCAAAATTTAAAAATCGTTAATTAAAATTGTTAATGACATTATAATCGTGGGACAAAATCTGCAAAAAAAACTGAAACAAAATATACTCTAAACTTAAATTGAGTTAAACTACAACGTCTACAAGTCAACAACTAACGAGGGAGGGAAACAACAACAACGAGTTAACTACAACCACCAAACTGAACAATGGAGGGAAATTTGCAAATAAAACAAGGAGTTGGGGGGAAAATGAAAATAGATCAAAATTTAAGCGGCGACAGCGCGAATCGCGAAAACCCTCCCGTCCAAACTGCTCCGCGAGAGAGACCGAGTGGGCCGGAAAACGGAGCTCGCTCACGGCTCACCGCCCGCGGCGCACCTGCGGAGCTCTGTTCCGTTCCAACAGGCAGCAAATTCTCGCCGCCGAGCGAGTCAGAACTGCCAGTCTAGGGAGCGAAAGTTGAAACGAAGGAGCACCGAAGAAGACGAAGATGTCAGACCTAGACAGGCAAATAGAGCAGCTCAAGAGATGCGAGCCGTTGAGGGAGTCAGAAGTCAAGGCTCTCTGTCTCAAGGCCATGGAAATCCTCGTTGAAGAAAGCAACGTTCAGAGAGTCGATGCCCCGGTCACTGTAAGACCTAGATCCCTCCCCGCCGAAATGAAGGCTAAAAAACTTGCTTTTCTTAACATGCATAGATTGATAGACACTGTTACGCTTGTGTATAGATTATAGAGAGCTCAGTTACGTGCGCTACATTGTTATTCTTAATTCAATTTTATTCTAATTTTGTGTTTTGAGCTAGGTCCAGATGTAGTTAGGGTTCTTTTGAGCCTTAGTGTTCTGTTATTTTTATGTATTGTGCTGAAAATCTAAATTTGAGACCTTTTCTGCATTCAGCCCGTGCACTCTTAGAAGTATGCCTCTATGCTTTATTGTTTTTGAGTGATTTTGAATTTGAGGACAGAAAATATACTGGAGCTATTGGAAGCCTTAAGTCAAACCATATGCCTTTTAATTCATTCTCAAGATGTTGGTATATTTGAGTACTCTATCTGACTATCTCTATCTCTTTGCACTAGAAAATATAGCTTTGTGATAATGCTGGCGTAGCAATTTTGGTAAATCTTATGCCTAGTGAAATTTGGCCTGACACCCTTCAGCCACAAGTTTATACAGTAATATCAGTATCTGTTCAAGCAAAAGGAATATTCCTTACTTTCTGAAGCAGGATGCAAATAATTAGGAATTTAAAACAAAAAGAATAGAAGTATGAGCCACATGATTTACATTTGTGTCCAATTTATACACTCACTAAAACAATACAGCTAACATCAATGTATTTTTATTTCATTAACTTCAAACTCTGGTCACTTTATGGTTTTAGTAAATGTACTTTGAATAGGGTTTAATGAGATTTGACATTTGCTTGTAGAATTATTTTATCTACATAATTTAATGCCAATTTCTTAGAGATATCTGGCACTGTGTAAGTTTGTGAGGATGGAGGATGGGCAAGATTCACTTGGGAAGTAGAAAACTGGGGTAGAAACATCACTTCGTGACTGTAGTTGTTATTCTGTACACATTGCCAGAAAGATTTTTAGGATAATGTGTTTAAATTGTCCCAGTATACATTTGAATGGTACAAACTTAGAGCAAGATGAAAGTTTTTAATGCAGTTATTTTTTACTATATGGGTTTTGGATAAATTGTAAACAAGTATCACACCTGATGAAGCTTCTTATTGCTGTATGCATTTTTAGTTCTTTGACATTCACTGATGTACTTGATTTAATGATGATAGATATAAATTATTTGTTGAGCTATTCTGTTTTTTGTTGATGCAGATTTGTGGTGATATCCATGGGCAGTTTTATGACATGAAAGAGCTTTTCAAAGTTGGAGGTGATTGCCCCAAGACTAATTATTTGTTTCTAGGAGACTTTGTTGACAGAGGATTTTACTCTGTTGAGACATTTCTGCTTATGCTTGCTCTTAAGGTAATAATATTATAAGTCTGTTTGTTTAAAAGTTGTTATGTGGTTGTTGGGAGATCTATGAGGAGTTTCTTGTTACTTTTATAACAACTATGAGCTTTTGGTCCAGACTACTTTTACATTTTGAATATCCTTTATGTCTTATGGTAAAAGTGTTACCACCAAGACCTCTATAAGCTTCTAATTTATAATTGGGTTTGGCACTAGGATCATCTTATCAATGTTCATCTTTACCTTTACCCATTTTACATATTACTCACCACTTGTAAGTTGTGTACCATCCAAGTTGAATATTCTATTTCCTTTTGTTCCATGTCTGTTGTCTGCTTCAATCAACATTGAGCCTTTCCTTCTTTAAAATCTATACAACTGCATCAAAAGGTAACTCTACTAGTTCTTAATGGCAATAATACATGGGAAGAAAAATGCTCTCATAAACTTAGGCTGAACATATGATTCTATTGTGTGTTGTTTTAACTACCATTTTTTTTTTATCATTTTTACTAATAGACGATGCAAAAATCAGGTTAGGTATCCAGATCGAATAACTTTAATCAGAGGTAACCATGAGAGCCGCCAGATCACACAGGTTGGTCTTCCTCCATCATTCTCTAGCTTAACTTATGGTGGTAACTAAATGGCTTCTAAATTGTTCAGGTATATGGATTCTATGATGAGTGCCTGCGAAAGTATGGCTCGGTAAACGTATGGAGATATTGCACAGATATATTTGATTACTTAAGGTTTGTTTCTTTCAAGATAATGGTGGCATTTTTTGTTTGAAATTTTACAACTTAAGAGATTGAATAGAAACTGAGTGGCATTGAATTAATAACATCATTAATTACCTGATTATTAGTTCATGCTTACAAGATCTCTTTAGTCTTTAGTGAATTCCTATGTGGTAAAATCAGTTGTAGATTTGTTAAAATAATCATATCAATGTTGCATGCTTATGATACATAATCCTCTAGGTACTTGGATGAGATAAGGTTACCTCTTTAATTTACATACTAACTTTACTTGTACTATCCTGCCACTTGGTTTTAGTTACATGGACTTGAATATATTTTTCTGATGAATAGCTGGATATAAAATGACTAGTATCCTGCATGCTGAACTTTTCGGAATTTGACACATTAATGCCCCTGGGGATGGGCCTTTTGAAATGCCTAAAGTCATAATGCTTGCTTGACTGTTATGTTTTCGGTTACATGCTGCCTAACTTGTCTTACACTTCTGATTGCAGCCTGTCAGCCCTAATTGAGAACAAAGTATTTTGTGTTCATGGTGGTCTTTCTCCTAATATAAATACAATAGACCAGGTTTGCAGTTTGAACTTGAATTCATTACATACATATTTGAGAACCTGAAAATGCATTGACATGATCCATGCCTTAGATTCGAACAATTGATCGGAAGCAAGAAGTGCCCCATGATGGTCCCATGTGTGACCTACTATGGTCTGATCCAGAAGACATTGTTGATGGTTGGGGTTTGAGTCCTCGAGGTGCAGGCTTCCTATTTGGTGGTGGTGTTGTCACAACATTCAATCATGCGAACAACATAGACTACATATGCCGTGCTCATCAGTTGGTAATGGAAGGATATAAATGGATGTTTAATAATCAGATAGTCACTGTTTGGTCTGCTCCAAACTATTGCTACAGGTAAGTTATGTAATGATGCTTAGATCCTTTCGTAATCTATCCTAGAAGAAAACTAGTAAAATACTCACTGTTTCCTTGTGGTACTGCAGATGCGGGAACGTTGCAGCAATTCTTGAACTAGATGAGAATCTTAATAAGCAGTTCCGTGTATTTGAAGCAGCTCCACAGGTCCTCTCTTCTTATATAATCCTTCTCCATTCAGGACTTGTTTTATTACTAAAGCAACTCAGTAAGTGAAATGAAACTTCTCTAAAGTTCTTGCAATAAATGCAGGAATCAAGAGGGGCTCCTGCCAAAAAACCTCCTCCAGATTACTTTCTGTAGAAGCTGGATCACAATGGGGCTTGCTTATGTCATTTACCATCAAATACATGGCTCTGATTGGCTGAATGGCTTGTATGGCACAAGGTATTCAGGTGAATTTCTTTTTGAGGACTGTTCAGAATACATAGGGCACCTATAACCAGCTCTGCCCTGTGATGATGAGCCTGTTGCATAGAATGAGATTTCTTGTATTCTTGATTCCTTTACCAAGTTCCCCGCCCTCATATTTATGTGATAATTGACTCTGCGTGTTATATGCACTATTCTCCATCGAATACAGAAGATGAAAATTTGTACCCGTTGATTGGAAGACTAGGTAAATTTAAATTGATATCATTCCTACAAGGTATGTTGTCTGTCATACACTACTTGTCATTGTACTATTATTATTATTTTCTCCTACAATTTGTATATTACCTCCTCTTCCCCAATGAAGAAGGTAAAAAATAAAACAAAATTTTGTTACTAACTATACAATGAAAATCGTAAAAAGGTGCTATTATATTAGTATAATTCTTAACACGTTAGATGACATGTACCAAATAAAAATGACAGTCTGGGTTCCTTTCCTTTAGCATGTTTTGGTGAGAGTTATTTCAAATTGTTATATGTTAAGTTTCATTGTTTTGGGGGTTTGAATCTGTTCTTTTGGTAACTAAATATATTCAGAATTTGATAATGTAATTATTTAAATTTATTGATTTATTATCCAAAGTTAAGCTGTAACCATTTTTTTGAGCAGGAAAAAAAGTTACAGCAAAGTGATGGCCGGTAGTTTATTGTATTTCACTAATGATTTACCAAGTTTTTAGATTTAGGTCAGACACAAACATTTACGTAATATGAATTACAAAATTTCAAATTTCACATTGTACTGTTACATTTTAAAAGATAATGATTTGATACATTGATAACGCCATGCCGCCATCCATACACTGCCAACGGGGCAAAGTGATCTCAATTGCGCCAAGATTTGACCGCATTTTACCACATATCCTCAAAAGGTTGATAATACTTTTAGAAAGTATTACTTTTGTCACGTCATATGATTTTACTAAAATATAATAATTGAAAACAAAAAATTATGAACTTATTTTTTTTCTCTGTAAAGCAATCAAAGCCCATATAATATTTACCTTCATTTGGGTTCAGGACACCGTGGAGACCCAGGATGTTGGTTAGGAACAAAAGTAAATTAATAATTTTTTTACATGAAAGTAGATTTTACTCTTACTTTTTAAACTATATCATATTGCTATATGATTAAATTTATCATTAAAATTGAAAAAAATGTTACTTGAATTATCATCTAGATCTATTTATAATTCGCTGATTAAAATCGTTAACACAATTAATTAATTCGTTAATCGTTGATTGCCAAACAACTTAACAAGTGCATAGTCAGATCTTTGTTACCATAAGCTACTAGGGGCATAGGCCGTCTCCAATGAAGATGGTAAACGGCAAAATGGTGGAAGAAATGACGCATAATCGTCTCCAACGAAGGCGCGCCATTTTCCACCATTTTGGCGTATGTTTATAGTGCAGCGCCATATATGGCGCTACACTAACGCCAAAATGGTGTTAATATTTTTATTCCAAGTTTGCCTTTTGTCTTTTATGTTAATTCTTTTTTATCCTTATTTTGTTTTTATAAATTTATATATTTTGTTAAATACATACACATAAAATTTGAATAATTAAAAATAAAGTATACCATTTGAAAGTCCTTACCAAGGCGATTAAAACAAGACTAATATTATATATAGATTAATTAAAAACTAAAGTACATAAAACATAATTTTCATAAAATTATAAACTTAATACATCCGAAATTAAACAAAACATACTTAGATTTAATAGTCTCCAAGACGCACTATGTACTTCGTAATGCATTGATTGAGCATCTGTGGGAACAATATGTTAATTTTGAAAATTAAATGTAGTAGTTATATGTTATATTATTGTGGAATAAAAATATTATTTGCTTATCAAAAAAGTATTATTTGCATTACAATTAAATTTTATATTAAAAAGTTAAAGTTTTAATTTATGAAATGTTGAAATAAAATTTGATGTAATATATTGGATATGAATAAAATTTGGTATAAAAATATGCTAAAAATATTCATTTTAATATAAAATTTAGCGCAGAATTTGGTATTTTGGATTGGAAATGACCCAGGCCAACTCCATTAAAATCAACTGTATGAATGATCAGAAGTAGTGGCGTGCAACTCCACGGTAAAATGTTGTTACCTTGATAAACTAAACTAAAAAGTAAAAACGACCCAACCAACAACCCACGTTAATTCAAGCTACCTACCAGTCTATTAGAACTCTGTTATTGTATATTTGTGTTAGACTATAATTCGATCCTTGTTATACTAAAATTCTAATCCTATATATACTAAAATGCTAACAGTAGAACTCTTTTATGCTTCAGCAAAATTGAGCCCAAAGATCGAGTCTTTCTTTCTTTCTTTGTTCTCTGGGTCTGCTTCGAGTTCCAGAATTTTCATGGCTGACGCAATGTTGAGTTCCGTTTTAGCTTTACTACTCATTTCTTCATGTACCCATCGTGTTGAGTCCTCTGCAGAAGAGGAAGGGTTCATCTGGGTGGAGATATCCAATAAGGGTCTTGATTTTGCCAAGAACATCTTCATTAACACTGCGGAATCTTCTTTAGTTCCACTTGAACTGCCTGATATTGAGAAGTCTGTGGATATCTCAGTTTTGGGAACAGTTGATATGATTCTTTCTGATATTACTATAAACGCAATTCAGGTGACTTCCTCAACTGTTAGCACTGCAGATTCTGGTGTAATTTTAACTGTTTATGGCGCCACTGCAAATTTGAGCATGAACTGGAAGTATTCATATTCCACATGGTTGTTGGTTCCAATTCAAGTATCCGACAGCGGCCAAGCTTCTGTTCAGGTATGTACTCACACCCCTCAACTTTTTTACTCTGTTGTGTGTTCTTTAATGTATTGGTGAAACATACCCCAAATGTGCTGTATTTTTCTAGTTGGTTTTTGCTGGGTTGGACCAATTGTTTTGTCCATAGAGGAGGTAAATCTTGAGTTGTCTAAGTAGTCTCGGTGGAGTCCAATTTCCAATCTAGGAAGTCCAAGGGCCCAAACTCTAGCACGAGAGCCTTAACTCCAAGATGTGACAAATTATTGTGTGGACCGTGGTCTGTGTGGACTACGTTCTGACATCGTTGAATATTGCGTGTTAGAATAATGTATGTTAGAATAATGAAACTTCTGGAGTAATATAATGTACCTTTAGAATAATGTACTTTATGAGTTATAAAAATGTATGTTGCAGTCGGTCGCTTGAAAAAAGAAGAAGAAGCAAAACGATGTTGTGGTCCACACACCACAGCTGTGTGGACCATGGTCCACGCAATGACTATTGCCAAGATGTGGTTGGTGGGGATAGGGAGTTCAATGGCCCAAACTCTAGCCGGGTAACCCTAGCTTCAAGATGTTGGTGTGAGTCGAATCCTCATAGCTGTGTGGACCACGGTCCACGCAATACCTATTGCCAAGATGTGGTTGGTGGGGATAGGGAGTTCAATGGCCCAAACTCTAGCCGGGTAACCCTAGCTTCAAGATGTTGGTGGGAGTCGAATCCCTACCCTGCTGCTGGATAAGTGACTTTAAGTCAGTTGGTTTGCCACTTGAGCTGGGTTGTTGGACCTTTGGTGGGGAGAATCCATTAGAAAGTGTGTTCTAAGTAAACAAGCTACATACAAGTACACCATAAGAGAGAGTGTTTTTTCATACAGAAAACCCAGAAAAGTTGCAGGAAGGGGCCAGATGATGCCAAAAGAATTCACAATTATATTGAAGAAGCAGTTTATCTAACATGTTTTCTAGGCTTTATAGAATTCCTTTGCTTGTTTGTCTTTTATCTAACAGGTTAGTGGCATGGAAATTGGACTTACTCTCAGTCTTAAGAATCAACAAGGATCCCTTTCACTTTCACTTGTGAAAAACAAATGCTCTGTGAAAGATATATCAATAAATTTGGAAGGTGGAGCTTCCTGGCTATACCAAGGGTATTATTTCATGTTTTACTTCCTGTTAAAATCTTAGATTGGGCTAGGGTCACTCAATTGGGCTATAATGCTGATTGAATCCAATCAATTAGCTAGTCTAACCTACGCCCTTATAAACCTCTGACACTACTAAAATTTTGTCCTTCCTTCTGTAGGGTAGTTGATGCTTTTGAAGGTAAACTAACCTCTGCTGTTGAAGATGCTATTTCGAGTAAAATAAACGAGGAAGTTGCAAAACTCGATTCATTGTTGCAGTCCCTTCCCAAGGAAGTTCCAATCACTAGTATTGCCACTTTGAATGTTACTTTTGTTGGTGACCCCGTGATAAACAAATCTTCCATTGCTCTTGCAATCAATGGGCTAGTAAGTGCGAGGGATGAAGATGAAGATGAAGATGAAGATGATACTCTTTTCCAGAATCACCACAGAGCTCTATATAATCTGATTCCCTCCAAGGGTCCGGACTATATGTTTACAATTTTTCTGCATGAAATTGTTATAAAATCAGTACTATCCGTTTATTACAAAGTAAGTTCTTAATCATCTCCTTGGCTCTATATCTTCAAATTCAACTCTATTGGTATGATGCTAAAGGGCATTTAACTTGCATTTCTGTACTTGACTTTGATTAAATTGCTATTTAATTGCTGTTCCTTGTTCAGGCCGGTAAGATGCATTGGATTGTTGATGAAGTACCTGATCAGTTCCTTTTAAACACTGCTCGGTGGAAGTTCATCGTCCCAAACCTATACAAGCAATACCCGAATGATAACATGAACTTGAATATTTCCATATCCTCTGTACCAAATATCGAAATAAAAGAACAGCAGATTGATGTGACGGTTACTGCAGATGTGATTATTAATGTTCTGAACGACACTGAAGCTGTTCCCGTTGCCTGCATTTCAGTGGTAAGGTTAAGATTTAAATGCACAGTTTTTTTTTTTTCTAGTATATAAGTTTGCGAAAATTTAGAAACTCTAATGATGTGTTATCACTCAATATAATAGTCGTCTTCCCCATCATATGCTATGCTCGAGCAATAACTTGTAGGTGAAACTTTTGATGGTTGCAGGAGATCACTGGTTCGGCTTTTCCAGAGATTTCGAGTAAAGATGTGACTGGTAGTATTACATTACACGAGCTCGCGATGTCTTTGGTATGGAGCAAAGTTGGTGATCTTAACATTCCTGCAATCGAGGTACATACATTATATTGTTGTCTCCTCTTTCACATTCTTCACTGAAATTTCGACAATTCTGCTTACTTCTATGCTCCAAGAGTGACAGTAGGTACTAGGTAGTGCCCAGGTTTCAGAATGTTTACATAAATTACAAGAATTTGAAACATTTTGCAGAGTATAGTGCTTAATGTACTGAGGACTGGGGTGCTACCATATGTGAATTCTCGACTTGGGCAAGGATTTTCAGTGCCAGCTTTTTACGGTTATACACTCCAAAATACAGAAATTTTGTGCAGCGATTCCTGGATTATGGTTAGCAGCGACGTGGCACCAACTAACCTTGATAGCGGAAGCATAAGAACGACCACCTTCAGCTAAAGTTGTTATCTTTATAGTGTTGGTTAAAGAACTATAGAAGTTTTTTTTACTATTTAATCTCTTGTGCAACTAGATTTAGTGTAAAAACGGTAACAGAAGTACGGGGAGGACTGTGCTTAAATAGCTTATAGACTACATCACCGGAAATAGTTATGTCCGTTTCAAATCACAACATAATGACCTATTAAACTTACATCATTTAATAGTGTCATAATAGAAGATTTTAGATTCTCCCACTTGGTGCGAGTATTAACTCAAAGAAACAGAAAACATGGATCATAGAGATAGTTTCTCTTACGTGGCATTTGGTTGGAGGAAAGAAATTGTAATTTCATGGAAAAGAATAATATGGGAATAAAGTGAAGTTTAAATTTGGTTTGCAGGAATAAAATTACTAGAAATTTTAATTCCAATTTCAATGTTTGGTATAAAATCCAAAATGCCCATTGTTGTTGTTGTTATTAAGGTTGACCTAGAATGATTATTGCTCAGGAAAGACGTTCTATCTGTTGATCAAAGAATAATACGCGACTATCATCTAGAAGGGAATGTCATACATCGATTTTAAGTTAAAAAAGTGAGGGGTAATTTTGTCTCATGATTATCTTTTTTTTCTTCCTAAAATCAATGGAATTAAAATTCCAAGGGGACCATGGGATTCTAATTCCATGAAAAGGAAGGAATTGCAATTCCTTTCACCCAAACTAAGGAATTTATTGGCCTTTGGAATTAGGTGAGAATTATGTGGGAATGGAATTTAAATTCCTTCCAACCAATCGCCCTGTTAATGTGAGTAGTGCTTACCATGATCAAAATGCAACGCGTTTTCTAAGTACTTTATGTGGTAATAAAACTTAATGAATAAATTTTAAGTTTATTCTTGTTCGTAATTTTTCAAAAACTAATTTAAATTACTGTCACAATGACTTAATTTGGTCTAGACACACTTGCACCACTAAATTTGTATAACATTAATGAAAAATATTACAATCTTCCATTTGATGTAATATTGACACAACCTTCATTGAAGAAAAAAAAAAAAAGTCATCGCAATATGCCCTCTAAAGTGTGATCGAGTACGTAATACATTCTATGTATCGCATGCATTTTGAATTTTGATTCCCAATTTAGGTTTTTTATCAATAAACCCTATATTTATTTTTGGTCCAACCTTATGAATGTTCCTCAAAATAAATGTGCATAACCATAAGAGAAACATCCAAATCACATTGAAGTGACAACATGAATGCACGTACAATATATTCACACAATAAGTTCCATGTACATTATATGATCTCTAAATTCTTATAAGCATGCCTTAAGCAAGGATCCACAACCATTAGCATAATACTAATATATTACATGATTAACTCGTTATCTTTAATACTATCTCTAAATGTTATGTTCTACAAATAATGAACCTCATGTACAACATAAATGAGCCTAGAATACACATGGATCCATAAATAATCAATCTTCAATCAATTTGTATATGCTCGAATAATGAATATTATGCTCAAGATCGAAACTTGGTTGTTGGAAAGGAAAAATGGTTGGGAAAGGGGTAATATTTATAAGGGGATGTAGTGGACTAGATGTTAACACATGGCGGCCATCTAACGATGAGCAATTATTGTGTAGAAGCCTAGTGGGTTGAGTCTAGCATTCTGTTATCAAAATATGGTCGACGTCGATTGCGCGCTACACAAATATAAGGAAATAAAATTGCGCATTCACTACAAGTATATATTTTGGTATAGTGGTAAGTGTTTGATCTTGACAATTGGTATCAGAGTAGGTCACGACTTCAAATCCCATTGAAAGATGTTGTGCAGTTGAGGTTCCCAAGTGCTGGGAGACACGAAACCTGACAATTGGTATCAGAGCAAGTCTACAAGTGTTGGAGCCAAGTTTAGCAATCCTATCGTTGAAAAATGACATTGATTGACAACATGTAAGTGGATGTTAGGAGGGGAATTAATTTTAATTTGAACTGCAACTTGGAGAACCAAGTTCAGTAGTCCTGCTATCAAAAATAGTGCTGACTAACAATAGGCGAGTGAGGTCTTGAATGTGGACGGTCAAAACTATAGATTAAACAAGTGGTTGTATGTGGCTGGCAAGCTAACTGCTCGAAAACGTTAAAGGCGGGGACTAATGAGTGAGGGGAGTGAGGAACACTTGGTCCGGAGGGAAGGATGTTGCCTACGCATTGATTTACTCTTAAAATGTGAGAAGGTGGTTGATCAAGGTTTTTCTAATTATTTTCTTGTGTCATCTATTTCGCGAGCCACAAGAAAGTGGAAGAGATGTTGGGTGAGGTATAGGTGCGTGGACTGTCGGTCCCGCGATGATCGATCGATCGGAGCTAAGAGGAACTACTCAGACCATGGACCCGAGGTTAAACGTTGGGACGACAATTTGAAGGGGCTAATAGGCGTATAAAATGAGCCTTTATGAACGGGATTTGGAAGTCTCAATTGCTAGGAGTTGAGATTTATTTTCTAATTTGTACTACTTTGTATTTTAAGGATGTAATCTTGTACGCATTTTTTTCCGAAAGGATCTTGTACGCATTTTAAGAAGGCGATTTCTACTAGATTTTAAAAGATTGAAGCATGAGTCAGTCCTTGATTCGTGGGCCATATTTGGGCGGATTTAGTTTCCTAAATCTTGTAAAAATCTTCCTAAACTACAACATTACACTTCTATAACACAAAAGGAAAATAGTACAAATTAAGAAACAAATCTCTTAAAATCTTTGACATGAGCTTTCAAAATAAAATTAAATCTTTGACGCAAATGAGATTTTAATTTTAAAATCCATCTTGTATGCATTTTAAGAAGGCGATTTCTACTAGATTTTAAAAGATTGAAGCATGAGTCAGTCCTTGATTCGTGGGCCATATTTGGGCGGATTTAGTTTCCTAAATCGCATAAAAATCTTCCTAAACTACAACATTACACTTCTATAAAACAAAAGGAAAATAGTACAAATTAAGAAACAAATCTCTTAAAATCTTTGACGTGAGCTTTTAAAGTAAAAAATCTTTGACGTAAATGAGATTTTAATTTTAAAATCCACGCACCTTTAACGGATTTGATTAAATTTATTTCAAATTTACTCAAATTCGCTCCACACCCACCCCAAACGGATATAATCTTGTATTTTAGGAATAAAATTTCTACCTATTTTAGGTCATAGATTCATCCAATTTGGTCCTAGATTTGCGAGCTAAATTTGGACATATTTTGTTTCCTAATTTAGCCTTGCACCTATTTATAAATACCCCTTCTTGGGGTTCCCATTTCCGAAGAGCACAAGACATTTTCTCTGGCTTTAAGTTTTTGCTTGCGTTCTCATTACTTTTATTGCTTTGTTTTGTCTGAGCGGCCATACCCTCTATAAAGTTGAAGCCCTCTTGGCCTATTTCTCGTTGTCTGATCCATCGATCCACACTGTACTCGATCGCTAGCTTGATTGTAAGCATATATATGGCTGACATTTCAGACAAGGAAAACGTTGTTGTGTCGAACACGAAGCTTGAAAAGGTGTTTGCCATGCGAGGAGGCAATGGTGAAGATAGCTATGCCAACAATTCTCAAGCCCAGGTACACACACATAAATATGTTCTTAGCATATAATATATATAAACATAAATGTGCGGTGTATTACTTCAATTTGATATCAGTCATGTCAAAGGTCATGGGTTTCAATCATATAATATATATAAACGTAAATGTGCAGGGTAAGTATTACTTCAATTTGATATCAGTCATGTCAAAGGTCATGGGTTTCAATCTCTGCATCATCCGAAAAAACAGTACATTAATTATGGATTATTGATTGTATGTATGTATATATGCAGGCTAAGCATGCTCGATCAATGCTTCATCTTCTGAAAAAAACCCTGGATGGGCTACGGCTAATGCCCGCCCACGACGGCGCGCCGTTCGTGATCGCTGACTTGGGGTGTTCCTCCGGCAGCAACGCCCTCTACATGGCGGACGCTATCGTCAAACACATGACGGAGCGCTATGACGCCTCCTACTACGCGGCGCCGGAGTTCTCCGTCTTCTTCTCCGATCTCCAGTCCAATGACTTCAACACTCTCTTCCAGCTCCTCCCACCTCTCGCCGCCAACTACGGACGTGGCGGCGACGTGGAGGGCTTGGACACGGCTCCCATCCCCCACCACCGCTCCTACTTCGCCGCCGGCGTTCCTGGTTCCTTTCACAAGCGTCTTTTCCCGGCGAGGTCCATCGACGTTTTCTACTCCACATTTTGTCTGCATTGGCTCTCTCAGGTTAATTATGGATTAGATTTTCTTTACTTAATTACCTTTAATTTCCCTAAATTACTACATGGTTTTTACATACAAGGGGCCAGATGGTAAGAGTTGATATCAAAATTTATTCTATAAAAGATCAAATTTATGTAACTGAATTATTACATTTTTAGCAATTAAAATCCGATTTAGCTATAAATATAGATTAAAAAAAATTATTAGTGGTTGGTCAAAAAGATAAAAACTTAAACAACAAAAGCACCTAGTTTTTCCGATACCACTCAAATTTCTTTGACTTTCTTGGCTCATTTAATTTTCATTTCCCCTTTTTGGTTGTTCTCGATCAATATTATTGCTTTTGACTTGGTCTTTTCAGTTGGAAGTTACATCGTAATTTTCAATACCGTTATTCAGGGAAGTTTAATTATATTGGTTTAAGATGATAGCCGGCCGGCTGACCTGAATTAGGGCTAATTTTTTAAAAGTAATAAGGATACAAGTAAAAAAATTAATTAAAAGTTAGGAGTTGTCGTTTTAAAAGAAATGTTATAGGGTATAACATTTCAAAATAAGATATTATTTTAATATATTCTTTGTTCACTAAACAACCGAATAAGCTATAAATTCTCTTAAAAAAAAAACTCTGCCAAATATATAACAGGCTTAGTAGGGAAATAACTAGGTAGCTGGTACTATAGTTGTTATACCATGGACCAGGGTGATTTTGATCATAAATGTGTATTTTTAGTATTGAAATTGTTTTTAAATATTGAAAATTTATGAATAAAATAGAATCATCACAAATTGTAAATTTTTAAAAGATAAATTATGAATATTTAGTATATATGTAAATTGTGTATCTTTGGACCCGGGTCCACAAAATAATTTACTGGAATCCACCTGCCATTTCTTTTTCTTGGATTTACATGGGAATGGGCTTGAAAGTATTGTTATTGGGGCATGTGGCAAACTCATTCCTTCCTTCTTTGATTCACACTCATAAATGCTAAAAGTCATTTATTATCAATTATTGCTACCTTTGAAATCCTCCAATTAAATGCCCCAGGCCAATAATTTGTTTTGCTCGAGAGCTTTATTATTCCTTGATTTTGGTCTATTACTTCCAATGTATACATTCTATCACTTTTATTGTCCTTAAAAAGGGTGAGTGATTAGGTGGAAGCGTGGAGCGTAGATATTATACCTGAATTGAAGATCACATAATTTCTAGTATATTTTATGTTTTTATGTGTAATTTACGAATTATTATTATATAAAAACAGAGTTTATTTAATTAATTTTATAAGTAAACTTTATTTGAATTGGTGGCATGCAGGTGCCGGAGAGTGTGGTGGACGTGAGATCACCGGCGTACAACAAGGGAAAGATATACATTCACGGTGGGAGTGAGAGCACGGCAATTGCATTTAGGAAGCAATTCCAGAGCGATATGACAGCGTTTCTGAGGGCTAGGAGTGTTGAAATGAAGATAGGAGGTTCCATGTTTTTGGCTTTCATAGGGAGGACCTCTGAGGACCCTACGGACCAAGGTGGGGCCGGCCTCATCTTTGGTTCTCATTATCAAGATGCTTGGGATGATCTTGTCCAGGAAGTAATATTATATCTCATCCCTAGCTAGTTTGATATGTTTTTCAATTAGAGACGTATCAATATATTGATAATTATGGATAACTAATCATTTTTCAACTATTAATTGTGTGTACGTTTATAACTTATAGGGATTAATTACCAGTGAGGAAAGGGATAGCTTCAACATTCCTGTGTTTGCGTCGAGCGTTCAAGAGTTCAAGGAGTTGGTGGAAGCCGAGGGCTCATATCACATCGACATGCTCCAAATCTTCAAAGGAGGAAGCCCTCTAGTGGTTAGCCACCCCGAGGACGCAACCGAGGTGGGTCAAGCCTTGGCCAATAGTTGTAGGAGCATCAGTGGTGTCTTGGTTGATGCTCACATAGGTGAAGAGCTTAGCAATGAGCTATTTTCTAGAGTGGCACGTCGTGGTGCAAGCCATGCAAAGGAGCTTTACGAGCAACTTCAGTTTTTTCATATAGTAGCATCTCTTTCTCTTGCATAGAGATAAAAAAATTAATTTGGTTTGAAAGAGATCAGACAAATAAAATAATTTGGTTTGGGGTGGGGATGGGGATGGGGGGGGGGGGGATTATGTTATTACAAAGAAAAACAAGACTATATGGTATTTGATATTTTGGTGCTTTGTTCCAAACACAAAATAAAGCGATCTTGAAGTCTCTTCGTTCATGTTCACTTTATATATTTACAAAAGAAAAATATATTGCTTCATATTATATAATATTTTGGTTATTTATTTATTTATTAATTTATTATTGTGACTCTCCATGTAATACTTTTAAAAAAAATTATTTTCTTATGATAGTTATACTAGAGATCAATCATTTCAACCAGCTCAGCTAGGTCTAAGCCAAATTAAAGTCCATTCCAAACTTCGTTGAAATGCCACTCAACTAGAGATGTCAATTAGGACAGCTCGTTCGATTTCGGACTAGCCAGATTGGGCTGTCAAGCTTATCGGACAGGCTCAACTAAAACTTTTGACATTTTAAAATTAATATTCAAAATTTTCAATTTTAATAAATTAGTGCATTTACACTAATAAATATAAATTTATACATTATTCAATCAATATAAACCACATTCTAACTAATATATATATATATATATATATATATATATATATATATTAACAATATAATATAATAATTATAATAATTTTTGTTTCATTGTTTATTTTCATAAAAATTATTTTGTAATAAACTCTTTTTAAAATTTTATCTACAAATTTAATAAAAATACTAAAGATAGCTTACATATAAATTCCCTATATATTTTGTTTTACATCACTTATGAAATAAAGAATAGTCTTAATTAAGTGGCTCGGGCTATCGAGCTAGCCCACTAAATTTCGGACTAGTTCATCTGGTTTAATTTATCAATTTTGGAGTTAACGTATAAAGTACATTATTCTAACTCATAAAATACATTCTGTTAACACATAAAGTACATTATATTATTCTATCTAACTCAGAAAATACATTATTTTACCCCACAAATTTCTTTATTATAATACATAAAATACATTATATATTATTCTAACTCATAAAATACATTATTTTAACACATATAGGAAATTTCATTATTCTAACATATAAAGTATATTATTCTAACTCATAAAATACATTATCTTACATCAAAAAATTTATTATTTTAACATGCATGCGGAATAAGAATTTTTTTTAAACATAAAAATCACATCGTAGACCGTGGTCCACAGCTGTGTAGAATTTGCCAAAAAATGATGTCATTATATCCATTTATGAAATGGGTAGCTAATGCTATAGCCTTTAGGCTTTGAATATTTGATGTAGCATGCAAAAGTATTTTGGGCTGGCTTCTCCGATTGTCCAAGAAGAGGACACATATTCTTGGTGTCCACCAATCTCGTTGGGAGCAACTCCACGTGTCAACACTGGTACGAGGATGAGCCTACAAGCAACGTAACAACAGTTTTTTCTTCTCCCAGAAACAAACCGTTGGTCGGTTTGGTTTTGATTTGATGCGTTTGATGTATGTTGTTCAGAGAAGAGACTGCGAGTTTATGTAAATGTAATAATACGCGCAGCTGAAGAGCTGATCACCATTCACCAACAAATCAATGCATACAAAAGAATATGATAGGGATGATCATCCTTCGCCGTCGTCCACCCCTCGAATGCACAGGGAATCCACCCACGCCGCCCAGGCCGCCTTTCTTTCGCCGTCAACACCTCGAACGCAGAGGGAATCTCACGCTCTTCCTTCCTTATCCACACCTCGAATGTACAGGGATAATGGCCCCTCTTCGCCGTCAACCCCTCGACTCCGCCACCGTAAACGCTATCAAGAGGTCTGTAAAGTTCATGTTTTTCCAGCGTTATATATATATATATATATATATATATATATATATATATATATATATATATATATATCTAGATTTGATGCCAATAGTATCAAATTCGTGGACAAAGATTTGCATTTAGGTGGTAAAATTAATTAGTCTGTTTAATTTTGAGCTTATTCTGAATGCAATGAATCGGTAAGAATGAAAAAGTTATGATTTTTACCGTTCTTGATCGCCGGCAGGATATTCCGGGTGAAAGCAAAATAAATGGGATCGACTTACTTGTAAACGATCAAGACAAATACAGGTCTATGTGGATCCGTGCATGTTCTTCTCTGTGGATGGTTATAGGTTTCATCGCCGTTATTTACTTGGGTCATCTTTATATTTGCGCAATGGTGGTTGTTATTCAAATAATCATGACTTCTGAGCTCTTCAATTTGCTCAGAAGGGCTCATGAGAGTAGGCGCCTTCCAGGTTTTAGGCTTCTGAATTGGTGAGTGGGCTACCCCCCAATTCAAGAACCATTATTGATATGATCTTCCATTAATGGTACGGTTGAAATTTGCATCTTAACGAGTTGCCAATTGTATATATTATTATTAACTCACAGGCACTTTTTCTTCACTGCCATGCTGTATTTGTATGGAAGGATTCTTAGCCAACAGCTTGTGAATACTGTAATTTCTGATCAGTTCTCGTATAAGCTAGTGGGCATGTTTATCAAGTATCAGATGGTCATTTGTTACTTCTTATACATAGCAGGTTTCTATATTGCTAACTATTTTTGTCTTCTTTCTTTTTCTTCTGTTCATTAGTTCCTAGCTAGCTCTCTGTTTACTAGCACAAATTACATTTTGTTTACCCGGCATATATGCAGGAGTTATGTGGTTCATACTCACTTTAAAGAAGAAGATGTACCAGTATCAATTTGGACAGTTTGCATGGACACACATGATCCTTATTTTGGTCTTCACACAATCCTCATTCACTGTAGCCAACATCTTCGAAGGCATTTTCTGGTAACACACACACACTGATACTAGTTATATGCTTTCGAGACGTCTTTAATGGATCTCTACTGCCATGATTAGTGTATTTCCAGATTGTTTATCTGATTTGTTAGTGTTGCAGTGCGTTATATTTAGTCAGGCGGTAATTTGCAGGTTCATTCTTCCAGCATCACTTATCGCTGTCAATGATGTAGCGGCTTACTTGATTGGGTTTTTCTTTGGGAAAACTCCTTTGATTAAACTATCTCCAAAGAAGACATGGGAAGGTTTTATTGGAGCATCTGTTGCGACCATGATATCAGCATTCTTGGTGAGTTTCAACTTTCAACTATAGTCCCTTGTTTGTAGTATCATAGAATTGTGTCCAAGTGTGACAAGATTAATTTTTATATTTCTTATATATGCAGCTCGCAAATCTCTTAGGCCGTTTCCAATGGTTGACATGCCCAAGAAAGGTGAACTTTTTGGTCGTATACAGTTCCCTGGCTTCATATTTTGATCGATAACACTTACCCAAAACCATTAATGCAGGATTTATCAACCGGTTGGCTTCAGTGTGACCCTGGTCCGTTATTCAAGCCAGAATACTATTCTTTGGGTAGTTTGCTACCAAACGAGGTGAGTTGAGGCCTTCTCTGGATAGATCTACATATGGTTAGACGATCAAGAATTGAATACTAAAGCTGTAACTTTTTCCAAAAAAAAAATGATTTTGTATACATATTGATAAGGGATTTCAAAAAGAACCTACTGAAAAAGTTCAGTGTGTTTGGCTGAATACACTTTGGAAGTTCTTTTTGAAACAGAAAAGTTGTTTGCATATTTGACTGTTAAAAATCTTTTTGTATTAAAGTTGATACAAGTTATCGTAAAAAGCCATGCATTTATTTGATTAGAAGTTAAAATTTGGACCAACTTTTCGCATCTTAGAGCATATTAACTTGAATAAGGTATGGACCAAACAGCATTATTTAGATTATTTCCTACAGTATTTCTTTGGGTATCTTCTTACTTGTATTGCTAAATAAGTACTAGTTGTGATTCGGTGAATCCTATAGTTTCCCTGGAAGGAGATATCGGTACTTCCTGTTCAGTGGCATTCTTTATGCCTTGGGTTATTCGCATCAGTTATAGCACCCTTTGGAGGATTTTTCGCTAGTGGTTTCAAGAGAGCCTTTAAATTCAAGGTTCGTTCTACTACGATTCCTGGATTCATTATTTAAGTCTGTGCATATGTTATGACTATCTCCGATCCCCTTGAAATGTTTCAGGATTTTGGAGATAGTATCCCTGGACATGGTGGCTTTACCGATAGAATGGACTGCCAGGTAATTAAGCTTTGACATATATAACTACAAATAACTATATATCATTCTCTACATCTCTAGATTGCTGGAAACGCGATGGGCTCACTCTTCTGCAATAAACAAAAATAGAAGGAAAGAATACTTAGAGTTGTTGTGGATATATTATGCATTTTCTGAACTAATTAACCAAGATTTTGCATATTATATTATGTGCAGATGGTGATGGCAATTTTTTCCTATATCTATCTGCAATCATTTGCTCTCCCACAATATGACTCTGTTGAAATGATACTGGATCAGGTACCTAAGACTCAAAAAAAATTTCTAGCTTTTGGCACTAGTGCATAGCTAGGCTTGCTGTCGAGCATATAACCATTAATGTGCAATCCAACTATCAGCTTAGGCTTTGAGTTGAGATGGAGCACATGCTTCAATTTGGTATCAGAGCCAGACCAAGGTCATGGGTTTGAATCTCTACGTCACGGCGTGTTGGCTGAGATCCTTCCCTACACCCACACTCAACCTTTTGACCACTGAGCTATATATGTCTCGAGAACACTCCGGCCCACAAACATGATTGTTTATGAGGGAGTATGACTTAAGTTTGCATGGTGCAGATTGTTAGGGGCCTGAGCTATGAGGACCAGACAACACTATACATTAGGCTGAGCCAGATATTCAAGGAGAGGCAGCTTGGGAATTCATTAGCCTGATGGAAGTTCATATATATACACAACTGTCCTGGATCAACCTTAATTAGCTTTATGCCACTGTGATACCAGCCCTTCCTGAGATTTGAAGGGATGGTGTATGGAATGATTGATGTTGAGAAAGAAATCGCCTCTGATCTGATATTACTTGTTTCTGTATGTAAAACAGTGTAGAAGGGCATGCATACATGCACGCACTTAAACATGTTCTCATGAGCTAAATTTGATTTCTTCAATTCTTTATAAAGGATATGATGAAGACATTGGTTTTTACAATTTCTTTTCTCTTGGTCTTTCATATAACCTACACCTGGAAACTTCATGAAATAATACAAACTATTGCAACCTATATTCTTCTTAGAAGAAGAGACTCAAAATTATAGTTCTAATATATTCGAGATATTTAGCTAGATAGCACCAGTGGTCTAGTGGTAGAATAGTACCCTGTTACGGTACAGACCCGGGTCGATTCCCGGCTGGTGCACTTTGAGAAGCTGTGATGAACTTTGCGCATGAGTGGTGATTTGGGTCGCCACGATTTGTTTGAATAAAACTGTGGACGACTATCAGCGCATCTGAGCTCCTATCTTTTGGGATTTTTGCATTATTTTCACTAAAATCTTTCCATTTTGTCAGGTAAAAATGTTGGTACAATAAATAAAATAAATTAAAAATTATGTAAAATATATATATACAGAGAGGTCAGCGGCTTCTCGGTCATCTATATTAGGACTCTATCATCATTAGTGTTCGTTACCTATTATTATTAGTAATTAGTGTTCGTTACCTATTATTATTAGTATTCGTCTTGTAATAGGTTTACTATTCACTACTATATATACTCCTGTACAGACTCATTATTATTCATTCAGATATATCGTATCCTCATCTGGTATCAGCAGGTTTCTCTCTTCTCTCTCTAATGACGCACCTCGGATCTGATGACGGCTCTGTTGGTAGTTCTGAACGGACCGTTTCCGAGGCCGCGCTTGTTGCACCGCTGCAGTCGGGGGTGTCTTTCTCTTCGGCGCATCACTTCGTCTCCATCAAGTTGACATCCCGCAATTTTTTGTTTTGGCGTACTCAGCTTCTTCTGTTCTTGGATGGCCAAGGGTTGTTGGGTTTTGTCGATGGTACTTCGGTATGTCCGCCGATCACCGCGCTTGCCGTGCCGCCTGCCGAGGGAGCTATTCCTGCCGTGCCTTCGTCGGCTTCGTCTTTCGCTGCTCGGAGTGCATGGCTCCGTCAAGATAAGGCCGTGCTCTCCTTATTAATCTCATCCTTGTCCGACGAGATGATGCACCTCGCAATCGGTAAGTCCACTTCTCGGCATTTGTGGTTGGCAATCGAACAGGTTCTTGGTTCGACTACACGGGCTCGTGCCCTCCGGTTGGTGGGCGAGTTGCAAGGATTACGGCAGGGGGATGCTTCGATCCCGGACTATCTTGGCCGTGCGCAGGTGCTTATCGAGGATTTAGCGCTTGCCGGTCGTCCGGTGACGCTAGAGGATCAGAATATGTATATATTTCGAGGCTTGCGGTCCGAATATCGTCCTTTGGTGGCGTCGCTCACAAGGGGTGCTCCGGTGTCTCTGCCCGAGCTATCCGATTTTCTTGTTTCGCAGGCTTTTATATGTGCCGATGATGCTGGTGATGTTGCTGCTGCTCCGGTCGCCATGGCGGCTCAGTGAGGTGGAGGCCGTTCGGGCGGGCAGCAGCGTGGAGGCGGCAACCGCGGCCGTGGTCGCGGCAAAGGGCGTGGCCGTGGTCGTGGCGGTGCCGGGGCTGTCCAGTGCCAGATCTGCTCCGGCGAGGGCCATTCGGCCGCTTCGTGCTTTCGCCGGTACGATGGAGCTCCGGGGCCGAGAGCGCATGTTGCGTATCATGTGGATGATGCGGCTTCGGTTAGCACTCAGCAATGGTTTCCCGACACTGGTGCGTCGAACCATGCCACCCCAGATCCGTCTTTGATGTCCTCGACGGTCTGGATCATCTTCGTGTTGGTGACGGTAAGTGTTTACCTATTGTTGGTACTGGTTCGTCTTCGGTAGCCTCTTCTAAAACACTGTTTCGGTTGTCTGATGTTCTTTTTGTTCCTGGGCTTTCTGCGTCTTTATTATCCGTGCAACGGTTTGCCCGTGATAATAATGTATTCTTTGAATTTCACCCTGATTGTTTCTTTGTGAAGGATCGTTCAACCAGGGAAGTTCTGTATAGAGGGCAGGCTTGTTTCTCGTTCGAGTCCCGCTGCGTTAGTGGCTTCGCGTGTCTCCTCTGACGTTTGGCATGGTCGGTTGGGTCACCCTCATCCTCGTGTCTTGCGACAGATTTTGAATTCGTGTTCCATTGATTCTAGTTTTAGTAATAGTTCGGTGTCATGTCGTGCTTGTATGCTTGGGAAATCATCTCGATTTCCCTTGCCTCGTGTCAATACTACTACGTCGCATGTTTTAGAGCTTATTTATACTGATATTTGGGGCCCAACGCCTTTTCTTTCTGTCAATGATTTTCGTTATTTTGTTTTGTTTGTTGATGACTACACACGCTATGTATGGTTTTATCCTATGCGATTAAAAACTGAGGTGTATGCTATCTTCGAGCAGTTTCGGTCACTAGTTGAGCATTCATATGGTCGTAAGATTGTCTCTATACAATCTGATTTAGGGGGAGAGTATAAACGGTTGCACCGTACTTTTGTCTCTTTGGGTATCAATCATAGGCAATCTTGTGCCTATACCCATGAGCAGAATGGCAGAGTTGAGCGTCGGCATCGTCACGTTGTGGAAACAGGTCTGGCTCTCTTGGCTCAGGCTTCGGTTCCACAGCGATATTGGGATTATGCCTTTGAGACTGCGGTCTATCTCATCAATAAAATGCCTACTCGAGTTCTAGACAATGTCAGTCCTCATTATCGTTTGCATCATTCTAATCCTTCTTATTCCTTCTTACGTGTGTTTGGCTGTCTCTGTTATCCTCTGTTGCGCCCGTACAATCGTAACAAGTTGCAGTATCGGTCATCCCCGTGTGTGTTTCTTGGTTATCCGTCTTCGTTTCGTGGCTATCGTTGTTTAGATCCTGCTACTAACAAGGTATTCATTTGTCGTCATGTACGGTTTGATGAGACCGTATATCCGTTTGCTTCTTCTATGCCTTCTCAGGTCTCTAGCTCTCGCCCAGTTGAGCCGTGGGGTGTTGGTGCCGTTCGGGTTGGTGTTGGCTCCGATGTTTGTCCCACTGGACCTGATCATCATCCAGAGTTGGACGCGGATTCCGGGGCTGCCGCAGCTGGTTCAGATTCTCGCACCGTGACTGCTACGGCTCCGGAAGGGGCGGTCTCGGGTGCTCCTACTGCGCCCAAGCGAGGTCGCCGTACGGCGAAGCCTGTTCAGCCTCGGTCTCATGTCATGGCAACCCGTTCTCAAGGACCGACGCAGCATGTGGCTCTTATGACTGTTCCTGAACCGACTTGTTATTCTCAGGCAGTTCGGTATCCGGAGTGGCGTGAGGCCATGGATCTTGAGTTTAATGCCTTGCTCTAGAATCACACTTGGCGTCTGGTTAGTCGTACACCTGGCATGAACGTTGTGGGGTGCAAATGGGTGTTCAGAACGAAGCGCAAGGCCGATGGCACGATTGAGCGGCACAAGGCTCGATTGGTCGCAAAGGGTTTCAATCAAGTCGCTGGGCAAGACTTTTTTGAGACTTTCAGTCCTGTTGTCAAACCCACCACCGTGCGGCTTCTTCTCTCTTTAGCCGTTTCTCGCGGTTGGGTCATTCGGCAGTTGGATGTTCACAACGCCTTCCTCAATGGTAATCGTGCAGAGACAGTTTACATGAGACAGCCGCCCGGTTATGAAGACCAGTCACGGCCGGATGATGTGTGTTTGTTACAGAGGTCACTCTATGGTCTTAAGCAGGCTCCTCGAGCGTGGTTCAATAGGTTGCATGCTTTCTTGGTGTCGGTTGGTTTTTCACCCTCCAAGACTGATGTTTCTTTATTCATCTATACTCGTGCCTCTATTTGTTTATATTTGCTTGTCTATGTTGATGATATCCTTGTTATGGGGTCTGATGCTTCGTGTGTTACTCGGCTTCTTACTGACTTAGCCTCGGAGTTTAAGATTCGTGACATGGGTGCTCCGTCTTTTTTTCTTGGCATTGAGACGGTCTCCAAGGATGGTGGTTTGTTTCTTTCTCAGCAGCGATACATGCGAGATATTTTGAACCGTGCAGGTATGGTGGACTGTAAACCGTTGGCTACTCCGGTTCCTGTGTCCCGACCTTCTTCTGATTCTGTGGTTCCCTATGCGGATCCCACGCAGTATCGCAGTCTTGCTGGGGCTCTACAGTATCTTACTGTTACTCGTCCGGATCTCTCTTTTGCCGTGAATCGGGTCTGTCAGCATATGCACTCTCCAACCACTGAGCATTGGGCTATGCTCAAGCGTGTTCTGCGGTATGTAAAAGGAACTCTGCACTTTGGTCTTTTTATTCGTCCTTCCTCCTCTGTTGCGGTTCATGCCTTTTCGGATTCGGACTGGGCTGGTGATCCAGCTGACAGGAAGTCTACTAGTGGTTTTGCGGTTTTTCTTGGTGGCAATCTGATTTCCTGGTCTTGTCAGAAGCAACGCACGGTTGCTCGTTCGTCTACAGAGGCTGAATACAAGGCTCTGGCTGATGTGTCTGCGGAGGTCACCTGGTTGGTTTCTCTGTTGCACGAGCTTGGAGTGTCATTGGCTGCTCCTCCCACTCTCTGGTGTGATAATTTGGGTGCGACTTATCTCTGTTCCAACCCGGTGTTCCATGCTCGTACGAAGCATGTGGAAATTGATTACCACTTTGTTCGTGACAAAGTGGCGAAGAAGGAGTTGCAGGTTAGCTTCATTTCCACAAAGGATCAGCTCGCTGATGTGTTCACTAAAGCTCTCCCTGGTCCGCGTTTCTCTACTCTATGTGGCAAGCTCAATGTTGTTGCTAGTCCACCTTGTGCTTGAGGGGGAGTATTAGGACTCTATCATCATTAGTGTTCGTTACCTATTATTATTAGTAATTAGTGTTCGTTACCTATTATTATTAGTATTCGTCTTGTAATAGGTTTACTATTCACTACTATATATACTCCTGTACAGACTCATTATTATTCATTCAGATATATCGTATCCTCATCATCTATACAAAAAAGCTAGGACATCTTCTTCGTCTAGTTGGACATGACTTCTCCATCTAGCTAGACATATTGCTACTCTGTCTAATTATTCTTCCAAAAGGCTGAACCCCAACCCTAAGGGCCCCCCACACCCCGGCCCGACAGAGCATTTGGGAGGATGTAAATCATGGTGACTCAACTGAACATGAACCACAGAGGCTAGACCGGTGCTTACTGCGCACAAGGAACCCCCTCACTTTGAGAGGTTGCTCCCACACTGCCGCTGGTACTCTGTCTAATTATATTGAATAGAAAAATGGCCAACTTCTCTATCAAGAAGCTATCTATTTTTTAATTAATTAATTTTTTGAAAAAAATCCAATACTGGTTATCCCTTTAATTTTACTATCTAATTGATCTAATTGTATCAATTTAACAAGTTATCAATTCAATTGAATAAACTTGAAGAGTTGTAGGGTTCAATTACAACGTTTTAAAGTTTAGGGTCTAATTATTTATTTTGTATCGTTAACGGTTTATTTGATAATTTTCCTTTTACTTTATGTTAATATCATATATATAGATAAGTGTTATTGTTTTTAAATGTAATATACCTAAATACTACAACTATTGTGTTATCATTATTGATATTATTTTTGTTGTTGCTGTTGTTCAGTATTATAATAATAATAATAATAACAGATTTATAAAAATCATTATTTACATTTTACAAAATATCAAAAGATCAAAACATATATAACCAAAAGACCAAAATTGAACATTCAATTTCACACTATTTAAATTTCTGAGATTGAATTTTAATTACGGAGTACATTATAAAAATACATAAGAATTTTTAACATAATTGATCAGGAAGCACCAGTGGTCTAGTGGTAGAATAGTACCCTGCCACGGAACAGACCCGGGTTCGATTCCCGGCTGGTGCATGGCGCACCTGAAACAGTGATGACGTGAGCGCTAAGTGGTGATTGGGTCGCCGCTTCATTCTGACCAAAATTGGATGATTAAAGCGCATCTGAGTTTCTGGTATTTTGGATGCTTCTGCATTTTGACACCAACCCCAAAACTTATTTTATTTGTTGATAAACTTCAAATGAATGGAATATAAAGTAATATAACCAAACTGGTTTAATCAAGTATAGTTATATTCTTAAAATTAGATGTCTATTTTTTATGAAAGAAACATAATATCAATATACTTTTGTCTATTACAATGTAGTATATATTCTATGGTTGAGAAAATCGCTTGGTGCTCAGGGGCCTAAGCGGGGATTAATCGGCGCATAGGCGCTCGTGTATTTTTATTTTATTTTTTATTTGTAAAAAATTTGTTTAATTTTTTAAGACTTGATAATTATACAATATTTAATATTTTAATAGTTAATACTAAAATATTAAATATTAACCTAAAAAACATCTAGAGTTTGAACAATTTAGAATTTTTCCCTCAAAACAATGTCATTTTGAGTGAAATAACTCATTTAAAAAAGAAATAGTTAATTGACCGGTCAGGCGCCTAGACCGATTAATCGGTGCCTAGGAGAGATTTTTGCAACATTGATATATTCTATCACTTTCTCTAAGTACGGTAGCCCAAAGAGTCAATATCCCACCACTAGGATTAGATCCTCTGACCTTCCCTCAAGGAGAGTCACATAAGTGTCATCTGAGCACAAAGTGCTTGGGCTATATTGTGTTAGTTTAAGTATTCTAAAATCGAGAAAACAATATATTCAAGGCGTGTTTGGTTCATGGGTTCACACTCTAGAATCAAAATCATAGTTATTACTTGGTTGACAACTGTTTAAGACACAACTATGGGATTTGATTAACCCTTCAATTAAGAACCTCATCATCCCCTAATTAAAAATTGTATCATTCCATCTTATATTCGTAATTTGATTTGTAAGTTTGAATTAGTGCTTTTAAATTTTTGTTTTGATTTTTTGTTCATAGTGCTTTGGATGTGATTATATATATTAGGATCAATTGTCTTAATTTTTTGTTTTTGTATATTTAAAATTTTTATTATAGAATCATACATATATAACCAAACATCAATATTGATAATCAATATAATTCCAACATATTATCAAACATGCAACATACTTTCACCAAAATTTATTATCATTACTAAGTATTTGATTCACATTTTCACGTGCGAACCAAATAGACCCTTAGTTCTATTATTATATATGCATATAGTGGACTTAAGTCCTTCAATTATACATGCACTTAAATTTCGTCTTCAAAATGACACCGAGATGATAAATTTAACAAGTGAGATGGAAATATTAAATGTAAAGAGCAAAAATTTAAAAATTTAAGGGTTGAAATTGTAATTTCAAGTTTCATCCCCCTTATCATATATATTAGTATTTTTATACGCGATGTGCAAAAAATAGGTGCCCAATATTAATACATTATATTAAAATTTTAAATTTATTTAGATTTTAGATATTTAAATTATTCTAAATAATAATAATAATAATAATGTAAATCATTTTTATAAATTTGATATTTATATTTATGTAATAATTAATATATAACTCAAATATTTAATGTGTATATATTATTATTAATGAAAGAAGATAAGAAAATATATGGTGGATGCATATGCATGGTAACAATAGTGGAAAAGATAACGAAAGTTATAACGGTAGGGGTATGTTTGTTCAAAATATTTTAATGTACAACCTTTATAGCATAATGTACAAAAAAACTTAACGAAAAAAATGGACATAAATCAAGGGTATAACTTTCGTTCACACTTATTATGTTTTTAGATATTTGCAGTTTGCTTTAATTAATTAATTTGGGTGTCCCGAATTAATAATCCCGATAATTCAAGAATAGGACAAATAAATGAATAATAATATAAAAAGATAAGAAATCTGTGTCACGGAGACAAATCTTGTATTGATGTACTCCGTATGTTTTATGGCGATTATAAGTGAAAATATATAATTGGACAATAAAGATGATGATGATGATGTCTTAACAAGACAACTACATGGATATATTTATACTAATGAGCGCGCCTCCTAAGCGCCACCAAAAAAAATAAAATGAATTAGTTGCAATTACTTTGACCATACCCAGCCTCGAGGCTGAGTTCTAGGCCAAGCACGAGACTTGACCCCAGATCCCGAGTCCAACCAGACCCGTACATCTTGCTCCGCTCCACTGAGTTGGTTTATTTCGAGTCCATCTCTATATATCCATTAATTTCATTTCTTCCACCATTGTAGCTCATAAACTAAATCAAATCATGACTCCAAATTCCAAGTGAAGTGTTGTTTACAAAGTAATTATCTATTGTGATAATTACAAAAATTGACCAATTGCCTTAAACTCCAAAATGTCATTTGAAAATATGTGTTTAAGAACCATCGTCAAATGTATTATAAGAAAGAAGTTGTCTTTGTAAACAAAAATAAGAATATGTAATAAATAAATTTCATGTATTTGTGTATATATATCATTGATTTTTGTGTATAAGTCACTTTTTCAAAATTATAACTTAACTCCTTTGATGTTCCCTTTATAATGTTTACTAATTCATTCCCCCTCATTTTCTTAAACATGTAAATAGAGACATTATTGGCAATAGTTAGAAAAATATTGAATAACCAAAATCATGTGAGGTCGAAGTGTGAGAGTTTTTAGGACGAGAGAATTTACTCTTTATGGGTAAAAAAGAAGATTGAATAATAATTATATTCTTTTTATTTTTTGTTATTTCATATCTCTCAAATTATTTAATCACTATATTTTCCCTAAACTAAATTTAACGTTTGCTTTGCAGATATATAACTAGAAATAATTAGAGAGAAAAATTATCAATCTCCACAGTTGTTTTAGTGATAATTTTAATTTTAATTTTTAAAATTTTTAAATTTATATCGACATTGATGACATTTTAAATAAAAAAAATTAATTATTGGTGTTAAAATTGTTGAATGGAATACTTCGTTTGATTCAAGTTATATGAGATAAACTAAGGTAATATGTGTTTCAAAAGGGGATGCCTGAGTGGGTAAATATAATTCTTGTACTTAAAGATCAAGAGGTTAATTCTTTGCAATATCATCTTGGTCAAGCATGTAGTTTAACTTTTGGGCTAAAAAAAAAAAGAAAAAAAACTAAGGTAATGTGTGCAAAGTTATGTTAAATAATTTCATTTAGCACTACCAACCCATCAAATTTTTAACTATACTAATGTTATCTCTGATTAACCTCTTTGCTTTTAGGTATTCTAAAATAACATTAGATAGAATAGTACTCTCAAATGATTTAATTAAATAGAAATTTGATAATCAATGATATTATTACTATCTAGTATTACTATGTAAACAATATAAGCCAAATAAGAACATATGAGTAGCTCAAAACAAGAGGCACCAGTGGTCTAGTGGTAGAATAGTACCCTGCCACGGTACAGACCCGGGTTCGATTCCCGGCTGGTGCACGTTGTGAGAAGCTGTGATGAACTTCGCGCTTGAGTGGTGATTGGGTCGCCACGATTTGTCTGAAAAAATAGATGACTAAACAGCGTATCTGATCTTCTATCTTTTGGGACTTTTTGTCATTATTCTCCACAATTAAATGACAAATGGTATTGGATTTTCGGATAGCTAATAAAACTATAGTCATTGAAACAACGTATCTGAGCTTCTATCTTTTGGGACTTTTTGTCATTATTCTCCACAATTAAATGACAAATGGTATTGGATTTTCGGATAGCTAATAAAACTATAGTCATTGAAACAACACATAAATACATTATGATTTTAATTTTGAAAAATTAGCATTTGTAATCACGGTGTTAATTTCATATTAATTGGTGTGTTATGAAGGTTACGTATGAGCGATTTCATATTAATTGGTGTGTTATGAAGGTTACGTATGAGCGTTAAAGTGATATTTTATTGTTAATTTTGGTCACATCTCCTATAAATACTGTCGTTGGGTATATGGACTTAAATACATTCAAAAAATTTCTTTTCATGTTAAATCAGTGACTCTAGAACTTCTGTTCTTCCTCAAAAAATTTCGGTGTTCTACCAATCTACCCTTAAATTGTTTGGTGTGATTTAATAGTTGAGTACTCAAATTTTAAATAGAAACTCGTTTTATCCTGTGAAACCTAGATTACACCGCTCATATCACATCTGGGAGGTAGTAAATAAAATTTTAAGGAAAGTGTGTGTAACACACGACTCGAATTTAAAACTTTAACCTTTCATATTTGTGATTGTTATTTCGAGATTTTGAAAAATTACCCAGTACACTTGCTTGTCATCAGTTTGACAATAGGATGTTTAAACTTTGATCCCTGTTCGTTGTTCCTTGCCTCAAACGTCGGTATCCTACTTTGGTTAAGTGGGTTACAACTTTAGCCCTCAATTAATACTTGCAATTTTCATATGTAGTCCATTATGTTCTTCTGTATGTTTGATTTTTCCCATAAACTATGCCTCAACTGAACTGTACTCCACTAGACCACCAATGGGAGGGACATCCAAGTTGAAATGTTGTTTTATTTGGAGTAATTATTTTGAAAACCATGTCAAATGCACTAGTGGTTTAGTGGTAAAATAGTACATTGTCACGGTATAGATTCGAGGGCAACTTCTCTGACCTTTTTTTTTTAGATCTTTCTCACTGAACTCTCCTCGTGGTCGGCCCACTAGAGGAATTATTTTGCCTCGTAGTTATTTTAATTTGTTTATAGATAATAATGTGGATTACTATAATTTTAACAATAGTGGCTACAGGCAAGCCAAATAAAATAAAAAATAAAAAATATCAATTCTTTGCCCACAATTTGATTAATTTTAAACAAATGTAATAAAAACCAATTTAACCATTTTTTCCTTTTAATTTGATAAAATCAGATACTTTACTAACAATTCTTTAAGTTTTTGTTGATTTGGAAGAGGGAATAAAGGAGAGATAGTATTTGAGTTTTTGGTTATACAAGAAAAAAATGCGCGTTGACGTCTTTTACTTACGTTTGTTGCACACTTTGAAAGTTCGATTGACACTTTTTATTTATTTATTTTAAACACTTTTTTCCTAGTTAGCTAGGAGACTCACCAAAAAATTCTATATCAAAAAATAAAAAATGTTATGTGTGCTCTCATTTTCTACTCTCAGAATCCATTTGGTTGAATGTAATTTCATTGTATTTGTATTGCAATTTGTTTCTTTCCTCAATTATGTTGTTTGGTTGGAGGGAATTGCAATTCTCTCCATTCACCAAATTGTAATTCATGACCCCCCCCTCCCCCCTAGGAATTCTAATTCAGTGGTGAAATAGGAGAAATATGTTGTTGTGAAGACAATTTTACCCCTATCATTCTTCTCATTCACTCTCTCATTTATTATTACATCAGGGCATTTCAGTCATTGTATTACTTATTCCCTTTCAATTCCCTGTAACCCTATTCCTGCATATCGAACACTGCAATTTGAATTTCTATTTTATTCTCACCTTATTCTGTTCCCACCAAATTACAATTTCTTTTCCCTTAATGGAACCGTGTTCACCATCCATGGTGAACACGGTTCTAACAGTGTTAATGCACCGTTATTTTTATTATTTGTTTTTCCCTTAATTAATCGCGTGACTTTTCTTCTTCATTTTCACATTTCGCGGTTTCACTTTAATTTGAGGTGAGCGATGATTTCGGACATTCATAAATTATGAATTCATGCCTGCACATTCACTTTGGACCCGTGCCTACACATTCTCGTCCGAAACCATGACTGCTCTTCTGTAGTGCAAGCTTCTTCAACATTCATAAATTATGAATTTTCTTTTATGCGATTATGAATTTTCTTTTATGCGATTATGAATTTTCTGTTATAAGATTATGAATTTACATAATCTCATAACAGAAAATTCATAATTTAATAAATGTTTTTCTTTTATGCGATTATGAATTTTCTGTTATGAGATTATAAATTTACAGTACATTCATAATATCATAACAGAAAATTCATAATCTGACCAAACGCGCGCTGTTAACACCACAATTTTTTTTTTTTTTTTTTTTTTTTTTTTTTTTTTTTACGTAAAAACGGCGCCGTTTGAACCCGTGTTCACCATGAATGGTGAACACGTTTCCAGGACATAATTTGCCGTTTTCCATTTCCCCTGTTTCAAGTCTACCACATCCACAACTTCTCCATCTAAATTTCCAGAAACTCCGACGCTATGTCTGAAATTTCCACCGTAATCGTCACCTCTACTCACGCCCCTTGCTCCCATTTTGCACGAATCAACCAAATGACCGTGCTTTAGAAAAAAATAAATATATCATGAAATTAAAGACGAATTGAAAATTGGTGAAGTTTCGACGAAATCGGAACGAAACAGGCTTCGGATGGAAACGTTGTTGAGATGGCAACTCCATCTCCGATGGAGAATCTGCGATGTAAGAATTTGAAATATTTCGTAAATAGCTGTCGATTGATAACTATTAACTGATTGAGTTAATAAATTTAACTAGTTAATATCATTACTGATTGTAAAAATATGTTTAGTAAATTAATTATTAACTTATTATATGTAAAAATAACTTTCTTAATAAGTTGATCGAAAAAGTTATTTTAATAATTTTTACATTTTAAAGCAATAAGACACAAAAAAATTAATTAATCAAATATTTATATTAACAATTTAATCAAATCAAATAACTAATAATGATCAAATAAATTAAAATTGACCGATAAAACTAACTATATTAGTAAAAGCCTTCATTTGAGTGTCCTATTTGACATTTTAAAAAGAAAAACAGAGTATCAGAGTAAACATATAGATTAAAATTCTATATATGCAATTTTTTATTTTTTTTTATAGACAAAAATCTTATAGCAGACAGAGTACTAGATGTTCTCATCTTTTAAGGATCATATCTAGTCTTTGATCTAATTTTGATTCACGATTATGTTCTCTGTTTTCTTGTTTCTTCTTTGCAGTTTTTTTTTTTTTTTTTTTTTTTTCTTCACGGTAACAAATTAAAGAATACAGATTAAAGTTAAGGTATAAAACTGGTTTGGGGAGATGAAGGATCTTCGGTCATAGGCATAGAGCTGTGGAGTGAAGATCGCAGACGTCATCCATCGCCGGCGGCAGGTTGAGATCGAAACACAATGGTTTTCTGAAAGACGATGAAGCGATGTTTTCACAGTCCCCGTCGTCGACAACAGACGACGAAGAATCGCAGTCGCTATGACAATCATCCGGAGCTATTGGAGGCGACCTCGGGTGGCGGCGATTAGGCGTCGCCGCCGTCTGCGGCGGCGGAGGCGGCCTTGGCCCACTGAAAGACTCCACCGTGCTACTCATGCTGCTGGAGGCGGGTCGGGGTCTCTGGGAAATCGTATGAGGATCCTGACCGTGCATCAGGGAACCGATGAACGGATTTTTAGGGATTGAGGTCTGGTTGTAAGGAGGTAGTTGAGAAGTCGCCGGAGGTGGGAAGTTGGTCTTGGCTTTCGGGCCTTTTAGTTTCCTGGCGGCGGCGTCGTATGCTCGAGCGGCTTCCTCGGCGGAGAGAAAGGTCCCCAGCCATAGACGGGTCTTCTTCAACGGGTCTCTGATCTCGGCCGCGAATTTACCCCACGCTCTCTTTCTAACCCCGCGGAATCTTACCTCTTTAAGCTCACCGGATCCGATGGCACCTCCGGCGGCGGCGGCGGCTGCTCTGCCTCTGGCCATCACCCAAAGCCAAAGAACAAACTCAGATTATGAAAACAAAGATATAATCAAGCATCCAGCGCCATAGAAGAAACTCTATGCTTTGCTTTGCTTCTTCTTCTTCTTCCTCCCCCCACTACAGTAAAACTCAGTTTCTGTCTCCGCCGTGCGCGGCGTTTGTGGATGAGTACCTAAGTAGAGACTAGAGAGAAGCTTTTAGATTGTGGAGTGAGTAATGTGAACTCCGGTGGTTGCTATTTATTTACGTTTTCCTTTTGGAATTTTCTTCTCGTTGACGAGGAATTGAGGACGAAAGGAGAAAACCGTGTTTGGCTTGTGTATCCCCAAAACACATATTCACATTATTGGGGATTTTATTATTATTATTATTATTTTTCTTTTGTTTTTTTCATCTTATACTTTCCCTTGAATTAACTCATTTTGGTCAATTCAAGTGCATTTTAATAAATACAAAAAGAATCATTGTACATTCTATTCATACAATTTCTTTTATTTGGGTTTGATTATGCCCAACGCTACATATCATTACATAAATCATTTTCTATTCATCACCTTTTTTTTTTTTTTATGTATTTACTTATGAGATATATTTCGGGATTAGCTATATTGTGAAAATATAGAGTTTTTATTTTTTTATTTTTTTTTTATCAATGACACATTAAGTAATGAATATTATTTTTTTTAGTAATAATAGAATAATATTTTTCTTCGATTATTATATAAAGGTAAACTAATCAAATAAACCCCCTCAGTCGATATATTAGTGAAATTGAGCCTTTTAAATTAAAAAAAAAAAAATCTAATCACACCACTTAAATCGACAAATATATTCAATTGAGACTATGGTTACCTATTTAGCTGGTCACTGTTTATTTAGTGTATACATAACTTTTCTAGAGCTAACGTAACCTAAGCGTACAATTTTTAAATTTATTTTTATCTTTTTCAATTTTTAAAAATATAATTATATCTTCTACTTAAAAAAATAAAGAAATAAAAACAAAGACCGCCAACAAACTACTAGTGGTTGTCTCCCTCTATCTTCTAAAGATAATCATGGTTATCGCATTGAAAAACGACATAGGCGGCCACGACAACATTCATCATAAAAGGTCTAGTTCTAGACCCTTATTTCAAACAACCATGATTGTATGTAAAAGATAGAAGTAGATAGCCACCAAATCGCCATGGTTGTATGTATTATGTATGGTAGCAATATATAAAGAAAACTTGGTCAAATAATAAGTCTCTTAAGTTAGTATAATAGTGCAATTAAGCACTGTACTTTAAGTGAAAAAAACTCCAATCACACTCACTTAAATTGATAAATATGTTTAATTGAGCCCTAGGGTAACCTATTTAGCAGGCCACTACTTATTTGACGTATACATGACTTTTCTAGAGCTGACGTGGATCTAAGTGTACAATTTTTAAATATAATTATATCTTTGACTTAAAAAAATAATATAACAAAGGTCACCCACAAATTACTAGTAGCTGTCAATCTCCCATTATCTTTTACAGATAATTATGATTGTCGTAGTGAAAGACGCCAAAGGCGGCCACAACTACGTACCTTCATCATAAAGGGTCTAGATCTAGACCATTATTTCAAACAACCATGGTTGTATGTATAAGATTGAGGTAGATGGCCATCAACAATAATTTGCTGGTGGCTGTTGTTATTGTTTTAAATTTTAAATAAAAAATAAGATTGTATTAACAAATTTAAAGAGATAAAATTAAATTATACTCCGGTATATATTATACACTTGGATCCACGTTTATTCCAATAAAGCCATGTATACATCAAATCAACAATAACTTGCTAAATAGGTTACCTTAGTGCACTTCAACAATTTTATTTTATTTTTTTTTAAAAAGCAATACTTTTGCCATTGGAGCACTAATTTATAGTAAAGTAGCTTGGGTATAGTATTAATAAGTTCTATAAATAGCATGCAACGCTGATGCTAGAGATCAGATAGGATAAGTTTTGAGCGTTTCAAGTGAGAATGTAGAACAAGTTGTTAAAATATATTATGATAAAAAACTTAAAGAGATTTGGAACACAAAATTAGTTTTAATTTTAGTGCACTTAAAGAGTACAGTTGCATATTAGCATCACGTACTAAGTTTCACATAAGCTTGCATTTGATCTTCTTGCTCTCTGAGGATTTTGCTGTACTAGGTAGTTAGGGTACGGTTGATAGAAATCTTTCATTCTTATCTCTCAAAGTTCTCACTACTATAATTAAGGCAGTGTTGTTTACATTAATCACTTCTACAAAGCCCAATAGCTTAGAGATTTTTCTACTGATTTTATCCTCCACTCATGTCAACTTGTAAAAGATATATATCATTAAGTACATTATACCTTCTGCCATATTGGTTGTTAGTATTACCCTGATGATAATCTTATGGATTAGATTCCATATTAATTAGTTGATCCTCTCACAATCATAACACGGTGTACATGTACATGTGTTTGTTTGTTTAGTGTTCACGAATGATAACGAATTGAACACATTTGTTTGCGTTAACGTTAATGAACACGTTCATAAATATTAACAAACACTAATGAATGCTTAACAAACAAATACGAACAAAATTTTTAAAAATCTTATCAAACAAACACAAATATGAACACTCTAAAAATAACAAACAACATCTTTTCATTCATGTTTAGTTCGTTAACAACCCTAATAATACCCTGGTCACTATCACCTCCTTAATTAGATCCTTGAACATTAGGAGCATTAGCACCATTTGTGGCCTCGCACAGATCAGGATCTTCGTTAACTTCATTTCTTTCTTCTCCTCTTGGTTGCTCAACATTAAGTTAGAGCCTTAATCAACTAATTCCTCTTTTTTCTTCTTCTTTGGCTGAAGGGTTACCCTTAGGATCCCTGGTAAAGATAGCAATTTGTCCCATTTTCGTTTCCCGCTCTAACGGAGACGGAGATGAAGAAAATTTTTAGAAAACAGGGACGGGAACAGAAAATATATGTAATTTCTTGTCGGGGACGGGGATACGTACCCCTCCCTGCCCTGCCCCGTTCTCAAATAATTAATATAATTTAAAAATTATATATAGGGTGATGTTCGATCGGATGTTTCTATGAGAACCACCCTCCCGTCTATGAGAACCAATCTAGTGCATTAAAAATATATATCTATGGATGAGATCAATTGGTGGTCCAAAATTTGCGTGTGCATATTAATCATGTATTGTGTCTAATTGGGGGATCCAAAATTCGTGTGTGCATATTAAACCTGCGTTGTGTGCAACAGAGGAAATGCACACGTATAACACACATCCCTTATGCACATGCAAATTTTGAACCCCACCCGACTAATCTCATCCATAGATTTAATTTTTTTAATGCACCATATTGATTCTTATCGACTCATGGGGAGAGTGGTTCTCATATGATCACTATCCTCTCATGATCTGATGGATGAGAAATCAAGTAAAAAATGAGTGGGATCGTTTTTTATAAATATTACAAAATCTTAGAACTTTAGAACTTTAGGTAACCTCTGATTTTTAGTAACTATATTTTTAACCGATTTTTAGTAAAGTCCTAAACCAATTAAACCGGTTGAAATTAAAAAATAACAAAAGAATAATATAAAGGGACAAAAACGTCCTTACTAAAAATAGGAAAAGTCATGAGAATGACTAAAAGTGTCCAAAAAATAATAGTTTGTGATGTTAAGGGATAAAAATGATAGTCTCTGAATAAATTTAGAATTGCCACCAAAGACAAAAAATCTCCAGTGAAATTAACTCTTTAATTTAATATTTATAAACATTAAAGTTTAACTTTATGGACATATAAAACAAATATTATGAGCATAATGCATTAAATATAATATACTAATTAGCACCTAATATAAAACAATGTCGATTTTGATCAGAATCCACTATGTATTATAAATCTTGATCTAAGATATAATTTGCCAACATCAAACCGGGCAGCTTTGGAGAGTCTGTGGGCTAGGCGCGTGGAAGATTGGATGATTAACGCGTAAGCAAGTTGGATGTGAACTGTGAAGTGAAACACAGAAACACGTGCCTAATTGGTAATTGCCTTCCAATCTTCCATTGCCTTCAATTTTATACTCTTCTTCCCCATTGCACCTTCAATTTTATAGGTTGGACTGTTGGTGTGTTCCATTGTGAATAATCTATAATATTTGTTTGAAATATTTTATTTTCTCAGAGCATCCATAATAGTTTAATCTCAGTGCAGTTTTTGAAAAATTTTTGTAAATATAATTAGGAAAGAGATAAACATGTGAAGAAAAAAAAAATCTGACATTTATTAAAAGTCAGAGTGGCCGCCATGGCAGGCACTTTGACGCGCCCGATGTGGGCGCAAGGTGTGCGCCACCTGTCTTTCGTTTTTTTTTTTTTTTTTAAATAAAAAATTCTGACATTATTTTTATTTTTGCAAGAGATTCACCCATGAAATAGTCTCACCCCACATCTAGAAAGATCTCCACCTAAATTATTTAATCTGACATGAACCCCCAAATAACCTCAGATGTAGATGCTCTCAAGATTCCAATAAATTATTTAATCGTATAATTTAATTTTTTATGATATTTAATTAAATATTACTTAATAAGATTGAGGCTCAGTGGAAGCGTGGTTGACTCTTTGTGTTTCATTAGGTTGAGAAAATATGTTTGAACAGATACTACAATGTAATAGAGCTAGTAACAACCAAGTGGTTTGTGGTCTACTGGTACTTGGTCCACTCTCTTAAGTAGAAGGTGATAAGTTTGAACCTCACTTGAAGCAAGTAATATACTAATATGTGTATATAAAGTATTCCCCTTCCTAGTAATAAAAAAAAAAAAAAAATAGAGTCAGTAGCATTTAATAAATTTATATATTCACAAATGGTGAAGGTTGTGACTTGTGAGTTTATAGTGGCTCGCTCCTTTTGAAGACAACTCAAAGCCATTCTCAAAACTTTTGGTTTGTGTCTCGTACAAGTGGCATCAATGTCAATTGGCAATGTAGGCATACACGTGTGTGTGTTCAGACGAAAAAAACTTAGGATTAATATTTTTTTTAAAAAAATTAGGATTAATTTGATCCATTCATTTGAGTACATCAATGATTGAGGATTGTTGAAAAATAAGCTGAAAATTTTGAATATATATAATAAATGGTTTCAACTGGCTATCAGGATTCATCAACATTAGTTGATGATTTTAGTATTAAATTATAAGATCAATTTTATGATTATTACAAATTTTCAAGTTTGAAAATATTTATAACACTAAACCAACTTTTTTTTTTTTTTTTTTGGGAAAACTAACCCAACCTTTTTTTTCCCATATTTTTCAACAACCTAAACTGTTGTTCTACCCAAAGTGAGAGAAATGATTTGTTTTGGTTGGGGTTGAAATAAAAAGATTGTTTTGCCCTTACTTTTCACGGTGTAGACAACAACAGTTAATGAAAGGAGGTCAAATTCGAAACTCAGAGGACCACGGGTGGTCAATTTGAAAGATTATGACTAAAGGTGGTGAAACCACCAAACTCGGAGGACCCTGGCTGACATTACTCATATTAGTTAAAACCATCATATCTTTTTCAATGTGGGATAAAAGTCCATTCTCAACTTTATTTTTCTCAATTTAAATGGATATATTTTGAGAATCAATTTTTCATTAACCTATTATCAATTTTGTGCGTATAATATATCAAATTAAACCTCTTACTTAAACAAATCTGAATTCACTTTGACCTAACTCAAATCGAGAGTGAACCCACAAAAAATTATACCGAAAAATTATCACTTTAAATATCATTCTAAGCCAAATTTTCCAACAGTTTTCACATAGTTTTTTTTTTTTTTTTCTTTTCTTGTTTCTTTTTTAATAACACAAACGGGTATATCTATAAATAAGAGAAAATCTAGACACATTTGTTTAAATTTTATTAACAAAAATATTACTTGGATTCTAAAAACCTAGTCCTAACTTTTACCCCCACTAAGTGTTCAAATTTTATCGGAGGCAAAACAAGAATAATAGATAAAAATCATGTCCCCCTTATGTTAAGCAATCAAAGCATGCCACATATCTTATGTTAAGCAATCAAAGCATGTCACATATTAGAGAGTAGAATGCCCGCACAGCTCAGTTGGTCACAGATGTGAAGTTTGGAAAGAATGACCAGTGATCGAGAAGCTCCGTAAGCAAATATCTAGCATTTGTGTTCAGTTGAGTTATCATGATTTACATCTTTCCAGATGTTCTGTCACACCAAGGTGTGAGGGCCTTGGGATTAGGGATTCAACATTTTGGGAAGAATATTAGAGAGCAGAACATTTATTTTGATACTTTCACTATAGGTCATCAAGTTAAAACTAAGGTGGTCTTTTTATCATGCCGAATGAATATTCTACAACAAAATTAGTGTAAAGAGACAGCATTAATGGCTAGTAAAAATGAGCTTGGATTCAAAGACACTCCACTTTGCAATTTTCTCATTATACATCTTTAATACTTTATGACCAAAATCCATAATTAAGACACAAAACTCACTATATCTCTATACTTTAAAGACAGCGGTGTCTTTTTCACAAACAGAGCTTAAGTAAAGAGGGTAAGAATGATGAAGCAAGTTACAATCATATAAGGTGATGGTGTCCATTTTCTCTATGAATCTATGCAAGTACCAGATTTATAAGCCATCTATAAACCCAACAAGCAGGGAAGACATCATATGACATTTGCGTCTTTCAGACCACACAACATGGCAAAGGCTGCAGAGTTCTCTGCATCTTTAATTCGAAGCATTTCGTCTCCAGCCGCGTACATAACCCGAGACCTTTCCTTACCTACTCTGAAAACCACACCATCATCACCGCTGTCTACTTGAACTGAGCAGACAAACTTTCGGTCATGGGACGGGCCAAGCTCCTTCTCAACTCTGCAAACATTAGCTAAAGTTGAGCGAAGAAATGACAGTAGTTTGTCACTAGACCGAAAGGTGTTAGATGTCTTTTATCGATAGAAAAGTGCAACATTACAAAGACTCTTTATGTACTCCCTGATTTCTAACACGACAAGCAGCGTATATGTGATTGTGTTGCTACAAAGAGCATCACCGATACCAAACTAGTCCAAAATTCTCGGGAAACATCAAACATCTACACATGCTTATTTTAGCTCCAATTACCATATAATTGGCTCTGCTATCTCGGATGTTCTTACTACAGCAAGTGCAGATTTTGGTCCTTGTATCGGTTTATAAGGTCATGAGTTCGACTAGGATGTTCTTACTACAGCAAGTGCAGAGTTTGGTCCTTGTATGGGTTTATAAGGTCATGAGTTAGACTAGCTAATTGGTTGGATTCAATCTTTTAGTGTGGTTTGGCCCATATGCATTATAGCCCAGTTGAGTAACCCTAGCAAGGTCCTTAATTGTAGGATTCAGAAACGATGCAAAGATAATAAAAATGGTGGAATCTAGGAATATCAAAGTAGTCTTCCCATGCTATAGAGGGAAATTTAGTGTCTGATTCCCTAGCTCGTGTTGAAGTGCAAAATGCCATGGAATAATAAGAAATTTATAAAGCCGAATAAATGAGAAGTAGAACTACTCAGAAAAAGAAGTTTGTACCTATAAGTTGGCTTGGGCCATTTCCTTTTTCCACAAAGTTCATACAGCTTCTGCTTTGCTCCATCATTTCCCTTTGTCGCATCAAACTCAATACTGTATTTGTTACTCACTTTATAAGCCATCTTCTCCAGTGCAGCCTTTGCTGCATGAAGCCTCGCATTTTCCTTTTGCTCTGAAGAAGATGAGACTAGGAATTCTCCATCGATATATACACTCGCAATGTTTTTGTCCCCATTCCTCCAATGTTTTATATCCACCACTTTCCCGACTTTTTGGCAAAGTTCATAAAGCATCGTTACAGGCTGCGGTTGGTGTTGTAGCATCTCAAGGGTGATAATGGGATCCAGTAGGCCTCTAAAGATCTAGCGCCAAAAAAAAAAAAAAAAAAAAAAGCAATGTACATAAATATACACCAATGATTTGCATTTGCACAGCAATTTTTAAGTCAAGAAGCAAGATAAATAAAATCAACCAAGCTTCATCCGGAACATCTCCAAAAGGTGTTACTTTTGGAATCAAATAGGAGGAGAAAATCTCAAGCCATTCAATTTTTTTTCCTATATAAATCAGAATCTTATTAGAACTTCAAACAAACTGGTGCATATGTGAACCACTCAATCTAATTGTCTTATTCAATCAAAGTGGAGTTGAAGTGCCTGCCGAAAATGAAAGTATTACCTCAATAAGTACCAAACCTATTATCGTGTAACATTTGATTCTTTTTCTTTCTAAAGAAGTTCAACAAATATCAGCCCCACATGAAACAACACAAATGTGTCAGTTGGCTGTGAAGCATTAGAACTTTCCCAATTTGTGTTAGCCAGGCCATATGGAGCACATAAAAGCATAGCCAAAACATAGAATATGCTTGGCTGTTAAAACTTGGGACCCCTACTTTAATCATGAAATTGAAAAGAATTGATAACTGCAAAACTTTACTCATATACATGATGTCACTGAAGAGCATAAATCAAAATATTAGGAACAACTCGGATGGGGTAATCCCAGCCAAGATGACATATCAACTGTGGCTAGAGATTGCTTCCACTTCTGCTACTACGAGGTCAGGTTTCTTGTAGATTACTATTCAGTATAGTTAGATTATTATTTAGATCTAACATTTGGCAATCCCAGCCAAACTTATAACACAAGGTCACGAGTTCGAATCCCAACCATCTTGGGATTTGAGCCGTCAGTTATGGGCAACTTAAACTGGTTTATCAGTCCTTAGCGGGTTTATCAATTATCACCTATACACCAATTAGATGGAATTGTAGAAGAAAGAAAGAGGCTGACCACCCATAGCTCCTTCAAATCGAAGTCACAATCCACATATACAGCGGCGGCAATGGACTCCACGATATCTGCAAGGACTTTGGGTGCTTTCATAGCGCCGCCATAGAACTCAGTTTCTTGCTCTTCTTGGACCACAAGCACAAACTCCTTCACCTATACAATCCAATTTCAATAAAATAAAATCAATTTATTCCACTTATGAATCAAAATCAACGAAGACGATGATAGATGAATGTGAATGATCGATGTGCGTACCCTTTCATCGAGACCGGTGGCATTGTGGCGGACATATTTATAAAGGCTGTGGCGGACGGCGACGCGCGCGAGCTTCTCGGTGCTGATGTTGGCGGCGCGTAAGAGGGAGAGTTGACCGGGGTCAAGCTCGGGATAAGCTAAGAACACGAAATTGGTGATTGCTAAGCCCAGAGCCATGTCGCCGAGGAACTCGAGACGCTGGTAAGAAGCCGATTCGGTGTAGGAAGAGTGAGTCAGAGCCTCTTCTAGAAGCTTCCTGTTCTTGAATTGATACTGCAGCAGCTGCTCCACCGCCGCCACAGACGCATCCATGCTCGCCATCTCCTCCTCCTCCGACTCCAACTCCGGCAGCGCGTAGGCGCACGTCAACCTAAAGGGGTTCATGCTTCCAGTTCAGTACTATACACAGTTGTATGTAACGATGCATAAATAGATTATACTCCGTGTGTGTGTGTGTATATATATATATATATATAAAGAGAGAGAGAGAATGTGTTGGAGGGAGAGATTTTCATATTCATAGAAGCCGTCAAACTGACGTGGAAAGTATAAAAAAGATGATAGCGCGTGAAGGGTACGAAGATGACAAAACCTTTTCTTCAGTTCTGTTTTCACTTTTCAGTAGGCGAAGACTTCTTAGATTTAGGAAGCTATCGAAACAATTTATAAAGGATTGTGTGTAATTGTGTTTGTATATATATACTCCGTATAAGTTGTATTTATAGAAAATTGATAAATTCTTTTGGACATTCTCACCTATGTAAGGAAAGCAAAATTTTAAGTTAGAAAAACATATATTATTATTATTTTTTTTTGAATGCTACTGGATCTATTATAATATAGTATCTGTTCAAACTCACAACCTTTCAAATGGAAGTCCAACCCGAATACCATTAGACCACATAGTCTTAATAAAAAACATATATTAATTGATAAAAAGAAAAATCATAAATATATTTTAAAGTCGTTTTTTATGATTTAAAAACGATAACACTAATATCGATCGTAAACTTAAATAAAAAATAAAGATATTTCATTATAAGTAAAACGTATCAAAAAATAAGAAATAAAATGAAAATAGGTATAATACAATAATTCTTGTAAGCAAGGGTGGGGTTAGAAAAATTTTTTTTTTGAGTAAGTGCAAAGTTGAACGAATCAAAAACTCCATAACAAAATATTAAACACTAATAAAAGGAAACAAATACAATCACACTTGATTATCTAGTAAATTAGGGTTGAAATTTGAGTGTCTGAGGTTCAAACCTGAGGAGCTACCAACTGCTAAGAGACTCAGAGTGGATTAATGGATAACTGCCAACACTAGGGAAGCTATTCACTAATTCAAGATGAAAATCGCTACACTTGGGATGGTGTCATGGGATCACAAAAAAAAAAGGATATATAGAGCCACAAAACGGCGATTTATTTTGTTGGTAATGGAAGCTACATCATTCTAGAGTTGTATTTTGTTGGCAGTGGGGACTATTATCCTATAATCTAGAGTAAATATCCAAAATGGTCATTCGACTATAGCTAAATTCACAAATTGATCCTCGACTTTTAATTCTAACCAATTAAGTCCTTAACTTTATAATTTTAACACGATTTGGTCCTCCGTCTATTTGACCGTTTGTTGACTGTGATTTTTGAGAATATATATGTAATTTCATGGTCCATCGTCGGTTTTTTAAGGTTCCGGTTGCATTTTCAGACTGCACTGTTACATTTGAACCCACTGTCGAAAGCAATCTGCCAAATCCTGTCGCCTTTCTTCATCCCCTCTTTGGATTCAATGTAGTTGAGTTCGTACCAGAGCGAAGAGTTAAGAAAAGTGGGGTGTTACATGGGCGATAGACTGTGTCACGGCAGCGGATGAGGGCGGGCGGCGGTGAAATTACATATATATCCTCAGAGATCATGGTCAACAAATGGTCAAATAGACGGAGGACCAAATCGTGTTAAAATTGCAAAGTTAAGGACTTCATTGGTTAAAATTAAAAGTCGAGGACCAATTTGTGAATTTAGTTATAGTTGAGGGACCATTTTAAGTATTTACTCTATAATCTATATAGACCCAAAAAGACATTATTTTCGAGATTTATTTTGTTGGCAGTGGTGGCCACTAACTTATACAACTCCAAAATGACACCGTTTTGGGATTTCTTTTTGTTAGTAGTAGAAGTCACATCATTTTGGAGTTGTATTTTATTGGCAATGGGGGCCACTGACCTATATAACTCCAAAATGACATCGTTTTGAGATTACATTTTGTTGGTCTATGTCATTTTGGAGTTGTATTTTATAGGCAGTGACCTACCTCCCTGATGCATTTGCCCCTAATATGTAAGATTTAGGAAAAAGAGTCGAATGGCATGTAGTGACTCTCCCATATGGGAGGTCATGAGATCGAGCCTCAGTGGAGGTGGTGTTGACTCTTTGTGCTTCAACAGGTTGAGAAAGTATAGATGAACAGATACTATAATGTAATAGAGTTAGTAGTATTCAAAAAAAAAAATCCTTAAACTTTACTTGAAAAGTCAATTAGGTCCCCAAACTTTTAAAAAGTGCAATTACACCCTTTAACATGTTAAATTGAGGCAATGAAACCCAAGAACCGATAAATGACCTGCTACTACAAGTCATTTCAGTTCAGGCGTCATATCCAGAGCCAGGGCCGGTCACCATTTACCAGAGAAGGCGACCAGTGATCGCTTCTGCTGGGGAAGGCGGCCAGTTGGTCGCCTTCTCCGGCAAAAGGCGACCGCCTTCTCCTTCTCCGGCAGAAGGCGGTCGCCTTCTCTGGTATATGGAGACGGTTCAACCATCGCCGGTCGCCGGATATAATGCCTGAACTGAAATGACCTGTAATAGCAAGTCATTTATCAGTTTTTTGGCTTCATTGCCCCAATTTAACATGTTAAAGGGTGTAATTGTACTTTTTAAAAGTTTAGGGACCTAATTGACTTTTCATGTAAGGTTTAGGGACTCATTTAACCCTTTTCCCTAAGATTTATACACACATTGTAGCATACCATCATTAAAAGGTAAGTATGTGTTTGAGATTTTTATAATATACAATTTTATTTAATTTAACTTTTATATTTAAAATAAAGCTAATTATCGAAATGACCACTTGACTATAGCAAAATTATCAACTTAGTCCTCGACTATTTTTTTGCCTAATTAATTCATCATCTTTGAAAATGTTAACTAATTTGGTCCTTCGTTTGTTTAGCCGTCAGACATCTGTTTAATTCGAATGTATTGGTGGAATTTCACATTGCTTCCCAGACTGACCAAGTTTCCTAATTAGAGAAAAAGGGCTGGCTCGAGACGTAGTCCAAGAAAAGGCTTAACATTCCCAATTGTTGTAACCTAATTAGAGAAAGGGGTCACCAGCAAGATGCAATGTTTGAGTGGTTCGAGAGCCACGCCTGCAAGTGGGAGTCGCACATACCCAGGTAAGTCGATTTGTAGTTCCATATGTATTAATTTGTAATAAAAGATGCATTGTATGCGTGATAATGTTTAGATTTTTGGGTAATGAGTAGGATAATGTTCATATTTTTTGTTGTAATGGGTGTCTTTTGACTGGGATGCATCGCTTTGTACGTTTGTGCTATATGTGTGGTTGTAATGAGTTGTTTCCATTGTACTATATATATGTGTGTGTGGGGGGGGGGGGGGGGTTTAAATATTATCTGTAATGTGGACTATTGTGCCATTAAATTGAAGTAGCTTTAAGCACATGGGGACCACCATTTACTGTAAATCCGCGTGTGCATTTGTCTGGTTTGAATATTGTCTGTAATGGGGACCATTGTGCCATAAAAACTGAGTAGCGTTAAGCACATGGATGGGGACCACCATTTACTGGAAATGCAAGTCGTATGCAACTAGGGATTAATTTGTCTCTATTTATTAACTTATTAAAGTTCATCTTATATACTTTTTAAATCAGGTGGTCAAGATTAAAATATTTTCAATCTTAAGTTAAGGTATCATGGCAGGATAGATCTAGGTGATGTGCTTGTGAATAATATCTTTGAAAGCTTCAATGTTATAATTTTGGATGCAAGAGACAGTCCATCGATACACTGCCTTGAGATTGTGAGAAAACAAATAATGCTCAGGTTATTTGAGTGTAGAAAGCATACAAACAAGTAATGCTCAAGTTGTTTACTTTCTTGACGTGAAACAATAAACCCTTCAAGTTGTTCCATATAGATATCTTCATCTAACTCGCCATTTACGAAAGCAGTTTTCACATCCATTTGATGAACTTCCAAGTTTCACAACGCTACAATAACAAGTATCATCCTAATGAAATTTATTCTTGTCAGGGGAGAATAAGTGTCGAGTAATCATGACACTCACATCACTTGTAACATTTAACTACATGTCTTGCCTTGTACTTCAAACTGGAACCAGCCGGTTTCATCTTCCGTCTAAAAACCCATTTAGATCCTAATGGTTTACTACACGGAAGAATATCAACTAGTTCCGAAGTATGATTATATAGAATAAGATTTACTTCGTTTTTATTAGCTTCTTTCTACATTGGTCTTTCAATAGGAGTCACAACTTCTACATACGTTCGTGACTTATTTTCTAACAAACAAGTTAGAAAAATCTAGTTTTTTTTTTTTTTTTTTTTCTAATAAACATGTTAGAGTATTAGAATCATATTCAAACAAGTAAGCTAAAAAATGTGGAGCAAATGACTTTTCAATTCTAGCTTGCTTACTATGTTTAGGCTCGGACTAATGTTCATTTTAAGACCTCCCCCCCCCCCCCCCAACCAACAATTCTCATTGTTGGATATTCATTTTGAGGTACTAGGTCCATCATTGGACCTATACGAAATACATATTCAAGAAACGATACATTTTTTTTATGTAAATTTAGAATATGGGATTCATGTACTAAGCACCGAAAAATATTATCGATATGTGCATATTCAATAAAAATATAGTTCACTATCTTAGGACCTATTTTTATTTTCTTAGGTGTTGGCACTAATACTTTGGCAAGACACCCCCACACTTTCAAGTATTGATAAGACTGTCTCCTACCTTTCCATAACTTGTAAGGAGTTTTATTTAAAATGTACTTTATTTCACAGATTGCACATCTATATCTGGTTCATTCACATTGGAAACGTTATCAGTCAAGAACCTTGTCAAGCTGAAAGTAGTCAAGTAGAACAACATATTTTGTTGTCATCTCTTGAAGTTCGATCCTTTGATCTTCTCCAATTTTTAACTGAGTCATTTGATACCAACACTGGTACTTGTATCGTAGGGATATACATTGGATGCCGCCATCAATTTGCGAAATATTGTTCACTGGGTCCCTTAACGCAACATCATTGGAAACATTGTTTCCTTCGTTGTACAGAATTTCATAACACAAGACATAAAAAATCACAATACAAGATACATACACATGTTATAATTTACTTATTTTTCAAATCTGATTTAGGTACATAATTTATGTTCATAGAAACATAATTTTACAACACAGACACAAAAATTCATAACATAAAATATAATATTTCCAAAAAAAAAAAAAAAAAAAACTATAAAACACAATTACTAATTTATTTTAGGTACTACAAAATTTCATAACACAAAACAAAATATTTACAACATAAGACATGTATACATGCACCAAGGTCAACTGTGAACCTTAGTCCATGGTAGAAGGATTGGGGTTGGACCATGCCAAGCCCTTTATTATTGGGCCCCTGGTAGTATTTTTCCATCATCAATTACACTACTTTTTTTTTGTTTATACATATACAAATCAAACTAGTAGGGTAATTATAAGCACAAATTATATAGTGGATTAGGATTCAACTTGCATGATAGATCATGATCCGAGATGATGTTTTATATTAAGTTGTTTATAATATTTGTTCTATATGTTTATAGACCTGAATCTTATAATATACATAAACACTAAACCATAGTACATCACTATATCTATTTCTATTCATTATTTAATAAGTTTATAATATTTCTTTTATATATTCATAAAAATAAAATTTAATGTACATAAACATTACATTAAAATAAGGACTTTATATATCTATAGATTTATTTTGTTAAAAAGAATATTTTAAAAATCAATATGAATCTCATTTAACAAAGTTCAATTAGAACTTTTTAATAATAATTTTTTTTACACGTTAATTTTATTTGAAAAAAAAAAATTAAGTTAGGAAAAAAAATAATGAGCAAAATATAAATCCCTTGAATGCATGCTGATACATTCACTCTGGTTCCTTATATAACTATTGATTATAAGTATTGACAGGATAATAGGGCTGGCACCCGACCCGGATCACAAATGAGCATCTGACTCAGCATCACATGGGAACCCAACGGGCAGAACTCCAACGGTTAGAATTCCAACAGGTGTCACCTTTATTGTCATTGAAGCCACCTTTGATGAGAGAGAGTTAAAGCCTCAACGCCTCATTCATGACTCTTCATATTCTTGCCGTTAGCTCAACTCCCCAAGGATGTCTCTTCATGTTGTTACCGTTAGGACCTAGCATAAATAGAACTTCCCTCAGCTGTGCAGGGGACACACTGTACTTTCTATACTGAGACAAAGGCAATACAACTATTGTCACTTTCTTATTCATTACTCTTATATTATATTTCCGGTAACATATTTACCGTCATTGGTGCTTTCATTGAGAGCCTGAGTCCAATACTCAAGCAGGCTACAACACAACTCTTTTTCTCTTTCAACAGCAAGCTTGAAAGAATGGCGTCCCGCAGCTCCCACGGTTCTCGCAACGTGAACAATGGCAACGCCTCAGGTGACCTCCGTGACCTACTCACCAACAATCGCGGAGGGGACCTCCAAGAACAGCTCAACAACGGGAGGCCCGGGGACCTTCGAGACCAACTCAACAATGGAGGAGACCTTCGAGACCAATTCAACAATGGAGGGGACCGCCGAGACCAACTCCACAATGGAGGGGCGAACCAAGTCGTGAACCTCCAGGCGACCATTCAGCAAGCAGTGACGGCGGCACTAAACCAAGTGGCGGTGGGACTACAAGGCCAAGTGCCCCCGCCGCGGCCTCAGGAAATAGAGGTAGAATCCCCACGGAGGGAGGATGCCCAGGACGCAACCCGTGCCGCGAGGGACGCAGGGCGTCGCACTAGAACCGGGGGTCCGGGAGAGGGCACCCAAAGAAGCGGACCGGCCGGACGGCAACCTAGGCCCTCTCACTCTGCCTTAGAACGGTTGGGACACGGGGCGCCCGCTCGGCAAAGGCCGGAGTCGCGTGCCGAGGGGTCCTCCGCTAGAGGCCCTCGCCGACACGAGGAAAGGGAAGCGGAAAGATCGCCCATAGAAAGGATGGGCGAGTCTCGTGGGGCGGCCCCGCGCCGGCACTATGACGAGTCGGCCCTGCGTCGACACTCGGATGAGCGACGCTTCGATGAACCGGCCCCGCGTTGGCACTCGGCGGAGCGACGCGATGAGCCGGCTCCGCGTCAGCACTCAGTGGGCGAACGACGCGCTGATGAGCAGGTTCTACACCAACACTTGGATGGACAAAACGTCGAGGAACCAGCTCCGCGTCGACACTCAGATGGACGGCACGTCGATGAACTAGCCCCACGCCGACACATGGAGGAGCGGCAACCGGCTCCGCGCCGGCACCCTGACGAGTCGGCCCTGGTCGAAAGGCTGCAGAGAAGGATCGAGGAGTTAGCAAGAAGGGTGGAGGCACGGGAGCAGTCGCCGGAACCTGAGGTACGGATGGCAGCACCGTTCTCCCCAAGCATCATGGACGTACCTCTTCCGAGGGAGTTCAGGTTACCCGCCATCAAGGCGTACACGGGAGCCACTGACCCACGTGTCCACATGACTAGGTACAAGGCTGCCATGGTAATGATCGGGGCAGGGCACGCCATCATGTGCCGAGCGTTCTTGTCCACCCTGGATGGAACGGCCCAAGATTGGTTCAACACCATCCCGGACGGGTCGATCCAGAACTTTGGAGAGTTGTCCAAAAGCTTCCTGACATACTTCTCCGGTAGCATACAGCGTAAGAAACCCTTCTCTCACCTCTGCGTAGTAAAGCAAGATAGAGGCGAGAGCCTCAAAGACTTCCTAATCAAGTGGAAAAAGGAAGTCAATAATGTCTACGACTTTGACTCCAAGGCGGCGATCCCGATATTCATCCATGCCTTGAGATCGGGGTATTTTCACAAGCAACTGAACGCCCACCACCCCCGTTCTTACGAAGATTTGATGAGGATGGCTAGCCGCTATGCCGAAGCGGAGGATGTCGACAAGAAGAAGAAAGATGAGGAGGACGGCAGGAAAAATGGGAAACCTGGGAAAGCGGGTCCGCCCAGCCAAGCACCACGTTCGAACCACCCGGCCGCAGGGAAAGGCCAGGACCATGAACGGCCTCGCCTGGTTCCCTTGCGTAACCTAACTCCACTTGCCCATCCCGTTAGTGTCATCCTAAAACAGGCTGAGGAGATGGGAATAGTCGAGTTCCCACCAGAATGCATGAAGGTCTCCCCAAAAGGAGACCAAGCAAAGTATTGCAGGTTCCATAGGCAACCTGGGCACGACACGGATGAATGTAACGTGCTGAAGAGACAAATAGAAGAACTCATCCAGCAGGGCTACTTCCGGCATTTTGTCAAGCGATCCAAGCAGCAGCAGCCGCAGCGCGATCCATCAAAAAATCCACCACCAAAAAATGTCTGGAGAAATGAGGATGTCACCGAGCCGTCCACCTTGAAAAAAAGAGAACACGACCAAATATCTGAGCAGAGTGATAGCGAGAAAGAAACCGAGGTGGCGCCTAGACGACAAAAGAAGCACACCATACACTTTATCTATGGTGGACCTGCAGGGGGCGACACGCCCGCGGAAAGAAAGAAGTGGAGCCGGCGGCTATACGTGGGAAAAGTGGCGAGTCTTCCCAGAGAAAAGAAACAGAGACAGGAGGCCATCACCTTCTCTGGTGATGACCTCCCAGAGGGCCCGTTAGCCCATCGTGACGCCCTGGTAATTGAGATGGACGTCAACGATGTCATTGTCCGCCACATCTTAGTCGACACGGGAAGCTCAGTCAATGTGATGTATTACGATGCCTTCACCAAGTTAGGGATACTTAGGAACCAGCTCAAAGAAGTACGTACCCCACTCTCTGGATTTACGGGTGCTTCAGTAGAGACGGAGGGGTCAGTGGTCTTATCAGTGGAGATAGGCACGAGCCCTAACATTCACAAACTTGACTTGGAATTCATCGTGGTAAGACTCACTTGTGCGCACAACATCATATTAGGGAGACCGGCACTGGAGAACCTCAAGGCCATAGTGTCGGTGGAACACTTGTGTATGAAGTTCCCCACTCCGAGCGGGATAGGGGTCATCAGAGGAGACCAGCGAGCGGCTCGCAGTTGTTACATTAAAGCATGCAAAAAGATTGGCAGAAATGATCCATAAGTCCACACCATCTGTAAGGATAATCGATCGGGTATGGAGCTAGGAACATTTGATTAAGTATTTTCCTTAATATTCTAGTAGTCGTTTGGGACTAGTGTTTGGTAATCGCGGTCCGCCCGCTTTGCATTCTGAAATATTTTGGAATAATATCTCGTGCTTGTGGTCCGCCCATGTTGTTTAAAAAAAAAAAAAAAAAAAAAAAAAAAAAAAAAAAGGAACGAGTCGCACGCCCCGGCCACAGGTTGGCGGAGACGTGACTCGACTCGGATGGCCGAGGCGCCCGCCTCGGCCAACGCCGAAGTCCGTCTCGGCAAAAAAAAAAATGAATAAGAAATAAAAAATATAATAAAAATAGGCCGGAGCCTGCCCCAGCCACGATCGGTAGAGGCTACGCCTCGGCCGCGATCAGCCGAAGCGCACGCCTCGGCCACGGTCGGTCGAGGCGACGCCTCGGCCACGATCGGTCGAGGCGCCGGCCTCGGCCACGATCGGTCGAGGCGCCGGCCTCGGCCACGATCGGTCGAGGCGCCGGCCTCGGCCATGGTCGGCACGCCTCGGCCACGGTCGGTCGAGGCGACGCCTCGGCCACGATCGGTTGAGGCGCCGCCTCGGCCACGATCGGTCGAGGCGACGCCTCGGCCACGGTCGGTCGAGGCGACGCCTCGGTCACGGTCGGTCGAGGCGACGCCTCGGCCACGGTCGGTCGAGGCGATGCCTCGGCCACGATCGGTCGAGGCGACGCCTCGGCCACGGTTAGCCGAGGCGCACGCCTCGACCACGATCAGTCGAGGCGACGCCTCGGCCGGAGGCACACACCTCTGCCAACCTAGGCAAAAGCCTATCTCGGCTAGCATAAGAAATAAAATAAAATCATATGTGATTTAATATATATATATATATATATATATATATATATATATATATATATATATATAAAATCACATACACAGGATCAAATAAAATCACATATCCTAAATCAAGCAGGATTCTACACAGGATCAAGATAGATTCAGCCTTACTCCCAAGTCAACTCAAACACATCCGTTGACTCAGGAGTAGGGGGACTGGTGACAGGATAATAGGGCTGGCACCCGACCCGGATCACAAATGAGCATCTGACTCAGCATCACATGGGATCCCAACGGGCAGAACTCCAACGGTTAGAATTCCAACAGGTGTCACCTTTATTGTCATTGAAGCCACCTTTGATGCCACCATTGATGAGAGAGAGTTAAAGCCTCAACGCCTCATTCATAACTCTTCATATTCTTGCCGTTAGCTCATCTCCCCAAGGATGTCTCTTCATGTTGTTACCGTTAGGACCTAGCATAAATAGAACTTCCCTCAGCTGTGCAGGGGACACACTGTACTTTCTATACTGAGACAAAGGCAATGCAACTATTGTCATTTTCTTATTCGTTACTCTTATATTATATTTCCGGTAACATATTTACCGTCAAGTATAAATTACTAATGAAATGAGATAGCTTAGGGACGAAATAGAATCACAAATACTTGGTGAGGCTGTTAGATTTATAATCATAATGTTACAAGTTTAACTCTCGGCAAGAGTAGCCAATTGTTTTTTTAAGAGTCCGTTTGAAAACTTGAAAAATATTTTCATGAAAATGATTTTCAGAAAATGAGTCATTTTCTTACAAATATTTTAATTTCCGGTGTTTGACTGAATGTCAGAAAATTATTTTTTTTTGTCTGGCTGAAAGTTAAAAAATTACTATATTTTTCTGTTTGGTTCATTTTCCTGAAAATGAACATATTATTATTTGTAATAATAATAATAATAATAATAATAATAATAATAATAATAATAATAATCTATATTATATATATATATATATATATATATATATATATATATATAATAACAGAAGTGCTTGACCAATTTTTCCCACCCAAAATTAAGGACGTTTTAGTAATATTAAATATTGTAATAGAGTTAGTAGTATTCAAAAAAAAAAAATATTTAGACAAAAATGTCTTTTAAAATTAGTATTTAAAAACTTTAAATAATTACTTACACTTTCTTTTTTAAAAAATCTAACAAATTATTATCACATTTTACACCTATAAATACAGTAGAAACGTAACTATGTTTAGAATCTTTATTCCTCCTTTCTGATTTACTTTTCTGATGATTCACCTTCAGAGGAATCTTCATCTTCCTCCATCTACCAATGCTCCTGTAATTCTAGAAAATAAATGAAGACCATTGGGGGAAGGAGCTCTCATTGGTATACATATTGTAGAGTCTGCAAACGTGTACTAGCCCGTGAAAGCTCAATGACAAACCTCACAAAATCATAAAGCATAAAAAGCGAATACCTCGTACACCGTAAGAGGTAACAAACAAATTGTATATTGCAACGATCAATGCACAAGATGTATACTTCCTAGCATTACCAATCAAAATTTCTTTGTATGTATGTAATGATCAATGCACAACCCGTATACTTCTAAACTCATTTCAAATTTCCTTTTTAAAATCCAACACGTATATATGATACGATATGATGAGTGTATGTAATTATTATGGTAAATATAATTGCATAGAATGTTTCTATGTTTCTAATTATTTATTAAAAAAAAAAAGGAGAAATCGCACTTTTGGTCTCTCAATTAGTGTCTATTCTGCAATGTCATCCTTAGTTCCCAATTTGAACACATTTGGTCCCTCAATTATTCCACCATTAAGCAGATTTGGTCCTTCTGTCTGTTACTCCGTTTAACATCGCTTAAAACAGGGGTATACTTGGAATTTCACATAGCATTGTTTGAGTCCTTGTCGCGATCAACAATTTCATTATCAACAACCTTCTGCGAAGTCTTGTGTCACGATCTAGAACCCATCGTTAGAGACTTCTCCAGTTCTCCGGTGTTTGAGTCCTTGCATGGACGATCGGAAACCATGGATGAGGCCAGGGATGCATCTCGATCAACCCCGGCTGCTCAGATTGTAATTCGGCGATCGCCGGAATTTTTGAGATTTGGTTCGTTGTCGACGAGTCTCCGGCGACTTGAGGAGTCCAGAACGATTAGTGGAGTTGGTCTCGGGGTGGTTGCGGCTGCTGTTTCATCTGACTTGGACTCAATTTGAAGGCTCCCAAGCGATGGTCTTGCCCCAGCTTCCTGCGCTCCGTTGGTCGCGACTGCGCCTGGTGGTCTCGTAATAGAGAGGGGTGGTCCTGCTGTGCCTTTGCTGGCGGGAGAGGCGAAGGCTAGTGCACTGCCTTCTCGGCCACAGGCTGGACTCATCGTATCTGTTGGTGCTGGCCGAGTCCCTACGGAGGGGGCGAGAACTAGGTCTCGTCCGATGGTGGTGGATGAGGGCTTGTCTTCAGCTCCTGCACCCTCGTCGTTGGCTGGTGGGACTCCAGTGAGAAGGCGGCGAATGTAGCTAGCATGGCGGTGCGTCGATGAAAACAGAGAAGGCAGAGGTCCAAGCCATATTGGTCTCGTGATGGTCAAACTATGGCTAAGTCTTCTGCTACCACGTCAGTGAAAGAGTCTGTGGCTCTGCTAGGTAAGGTTCCTCATCCCCTTCGTCACTCTGCTTCTATTTCTGCCCATAGTGGTGTGTCTGATAATTCTCTAAGTGTTGGTCAAAGGGCCATGGTTTCTGGTGTAGTTACTACTACGGTTGGTCATGGGAATGAGACTGCTAGTAGAAACCATTATGCCCAAAATGCTCAAAATGGTCTTACTCTTGTTTCTCAAAGCAGTTTGCCAACACTTAGTAACTCTTTTGATGCTAATACTCGAACTAATGCTACGGTTAGATTCACAAATGATGTGTCTAATTTGACTGCTAATGATAGTGGTAATCTTGCTAATACTGGTGGTCAAAGGTCTCAATCGGCCATGACATTAAGTGATCCTAATAGTAGCATAAGTCTTGTTTTAAATAATTCTCATAATGTTAATAATCTGGTGCCTTCTTTGAAGATGATGATCGGATCAGATCGCCGAGATGGATAACGTCGGTGTCGAAATTTTGGTGGCAGAAATGGCAGATCGGCAGAGGAAGGAGAGGAAATACACTTATTATAAATCATGCTATGTGAAATTCCAAGTATACCCCTATTTAAACGGAGTTAAACGGACAAACAGACAGAAGGACTAAATCTGCTTAATGGTCGAATAATTGAGGGACCAAATGTGTTCAAATTGAGAACTAAGGATGACATTGTAGATTGGGCACTAATTGAGGGACCGAAAGTGTGATTTCCCCTAAAAAAATATTTAAATTAAGAAATTAATGAAAGTAATTACAGAGTTTTTAAATGGTAATAAAATAATCTTTATAATAATAAAAAATACTGATTTAGTTAATGGATATGCACAAATCTTCCAAAATATTAATATTTGCAATAATTAAAATATTTTAATTAATATACTAATTACGGAATTAAGAAATTAAGCTAATAATGGAATTAAGTAAAATAAGGAAATAATTGTAATTAAGCTATAATGGAGAATAAGAAATTAAGCAATTGAAAGTAATTACAGAGTATTTAAATGGTAATAAAATTATCTTTATAATCAAAAAATTATTTTTTAGTTAATGAATATACGCAAATCTTTCAAAATATTGATATTTGCAATAAATAAAATATTTTCAAAATAATCATTATAACGATAATTAATACTAATCAAAAATATTTAATACATAGTACTTAAATAGTAATAAAATTGTCTTTATAATCAAAAAATCATTTTTTTAATTAATGAATATACAGAAAAGGTAAAAATCATTGTAAAGGAAAACTATTAAATAGATTTTAAAACTTAATTAGTGTACTATAATATTATTACGTAGTCATTTCCTTCCTTTTATTATTATACTAATTGAGGAATTAATTATAATTAAGCTAATAATGGAGAATAAAAAAATTAAAGAATTACAAGTAATTACATAGTACTTAAATGGTAATAAAATTATCTTTATTATAAAAAAAAATTTAAAAAAAAATCATATTAATACTCTTTTAAAATTATTTCCCGTTTTTCTCATTTTTATTATTTTAATAATAATATAATTACATAAATCATATTACATATTGATTTTTCTAAAATAAATACAATCAAACGAGTCATATATTATTGATACTTTTGCATTAATCTTATAATCAAATAATGTACACTTTCAAATATTATAATTATTGATAACTTCATCTTTAATTTTATTATTTAAATATATATTAAAAAAATTAATCCATGCATAGCACAGGTATTTACTAGTACTAGTAATGATAATATGTAGTGATGGTGGTGGTGTTGATGGCAGTGGTAGTGGCAGTGGTGGTGTTGTGGGAGTGATAGTGGCGGTGGTGGTGTCACTGGTGTGTTAGTAGGTGGTGGTGGTAAAAATAATAATATAAAAATTAACATATAAAGTAAGATAGGGGAGAGAGATGAAAAATAAATAATTAGAAAAATGTCTTTCGACTAAAAAATTAAGAAGACATTTTCTGCCAAATTAGACCTTTTTTTTTTTTATTATAAGAAAGGGGGATACCCTACATATACACACTATTTGCCTCAATTAGACCTTTTTTCTGTTAACCATAATAAATATTTCTCTTTGACTTCATTTTCCTTGTACCCAAACACTGAAAAATCCGAAAAATGGCTTCTAAAAATCATTTTACAGGTTTCCAAATGGATCATTAGTTTAACCAGTTAATTATGGGTGGCGAAATTTACCCAGTATATACTATCAAGTAATGATTATGGATTTCTCTCATCACTCAAAAAACTATAGCAAATTATATTATTGTTCAACTAATATATCTATCCATCCAAGATACACACAAAACAAACAACAGTAGGACTCCCTTGAGTGCATGATGCTCATGTACCCTAATCATGATATAACTATTGAATTATAAGCATAAATTACTAATGAAATGGGATAGCTTTGGACGAAATAAAAGCACAAAATTGTATAGCTCAAAAGCTGTAGTAAACTATATTATTGTTCAACTAATCGAAGAATTTTAATTAAATAAAGATAGTGTTCCTTGAGTTAATCCAATTGAACTTCATTTTGTTATCCAATTGCACATATCACCTATTTACTTAATAATGTTCAATTGAACTTCAATTTTTTTTTTTTTTTTTTTTTTGGATCCCCTTAAATCAAATCAAAATAACTAAGTAAAATCTTTATCTCACTTCAAGCCATAAGTTTTCAATATGTACACCTGCATTTTTTTAGTACATCAAATATAAACCCCAAAGGATAGACCCCTAACCCTAACCCTTAGTCAGTGACAAATTATGGTCCACACAGTGCTATGTGGATCATAACAAAAATTACATTTTTAATATAATAAATATACATTATTTGTGTACTGAATGTACATTATATATTTGTGTACTGAATGTACATTATATAATATAATGTACACTCAGTACACAAATAATATACATTTCTAATATATTAAAAGTACATTATTTTTATACTGAATATATATTATTTTACAATATACAAAATATAGTCCACACAATAATATAGTCCACACAATAATGATTGTTAACCAATTGGGTAGAAACACCCTCAACGTCAAAAAGCAACACATCCTTAATCTCCTCTGGGGCTGATCCAACACTAATGTGCCCCAGTTCCCCGTCTGACCCAGCCAAGATTTCCAAATCTAACCAACTAAACAATTCAACTATTTATAGTTGCAAGTTATTTTCAACAATCAGACTGTAAGTATAATACGGCAATATTTGGTAGAGCTTATTTTAAACTACAAATAAGCTATAAGTTTTATTTTATAAAACATAAAGATGTTAAAATAATAACTTATCTTAAAACACTACTCTAAGTAACGCTTAAAAAATAAGCTAGTAGCTATTAGCTTTAAACTAGCTTAAAAGCTAAATATGCCAAATAGAGCCTAGCTCTTGAAATATGTGAACCCTAAGCTAGGAAAAAGAGTTTAAATACTGTTATTGGGTAACATAAATAATAGAAGTCGATAGAGTCTGCAAATATCTGAACTTTTTACGTTCCTGGAGATTGAGGTTACTGCACAATCAATGGGAAAAATTTTAACCTCAATGTAGAGCGAAAGAACTTCTCTGGGGATTTTACGTTCAGGCTTTACTATATGCAGCAGATTCACAACGAGGTCAGGTCAAGCCAATTTAGCTCACCAGCATACGATCAAATCCTCCGCCTGCTTGAAGGGAAGCACAAGGACCTTGCACATTCTGAAGCAGCTGTTGAAGCCACCTCCTTGTTGTTGGATCCTCCTGACATATTAGAACATAATAAACATTTGTCCAATTGAGAAAAGAAATCTAAGGTGTACTTTCACTTAAATATAAGGGTATGACTCTGGGAAGAGCAGGAGCGATCTCTGGTTCTGTGTCTATTCCATTCTTTGATCCACCAATAAGCTATATGATTCTTGGCTCCCCTAGAAAAAACATAATTTAATATGCAAACCATACATACATGAAGGCAATTGCTGAAGGTGGTGGCATCCCTAAGTATGTCTGGAAGACAACTTCTGAGTGCATCGCAAGCCCTGTATAGAAGAAGTGAGGAGGGAGTTTGAGGCCTCATTTTCTGAAAATCCGAGGCATTAAAAGGAAGTAAGACAACGTAGCAGCAAATGACCAACCTTGGATTATCAGATAACCGAAGGTAACACCGAATGATATGCTTGAGCAACCTAGACGAGGGCTGCTCAGCAAGTGCAACCACCATGTTTCCCAACACCCTGCCTACAGCAAAAAACCTCTCCGCCGTGGTACATATGTATTCCAAACCCATATCATCCAGAAGGATTTTTTGCACAATGAAAGTTGCAACCTATCAGCAGTCAGCACAAGCACTTTAGTCTAATTCATGATTATCAAGTTAAGGGTGTTGTCAGAAAACTTCACACAACATCCAAGAGTGTAGTCCAATATGTAAACCAATAAATTACAATATCTTTGGAGGAAGAAATGGGAAGTCTTTCAGCTGGCTGCTGAAATAAAGGAAGTGTTATAATCTTAGATTGGGCTAGGGTCACTCAATTGGGCTATAATGCACATGGGCCAAACCACACTAAAAGAATGAATCCAACCAATTAGCTAGTCTAACCCATGGCCTTATAAATCCATATATTCTCTCTTATTTTATCAATGTGGGACTCTTAACAGGAAGATATGCCATAACTTCTGTCACAGAGAACTTTTTTGGGGGGAGGGGGTGCTTAACTGTTTTTGAGAGCTCACTGCCCATCTCCATTGTGCGCAGACAGAGTGGAATTATTTCAGTTGATAGAAGGAAATTGATAACATCATTGTCATCAACCTGTAATGATTCAATCAAGAAAGAACATTAGGGAAAAAAACTGTACTATGACATTCATCCCAAGAACATTGGAGAACCATTAGATGTGATAAACTTTTTGCTATGGAAAAGTGTTTCATGCTTTCACTTGGCTATCTATTCTTGATGGAGATAAGTACATATAGATCATTAAGGGAAGAAGTGAGAAGAAGAGATGCACTGCAAATGGATAAAGAACTAGTTACCTTTACCAGGGCACCAATGACACCTAAGCTAGTAAGCCTCAGGTATTCAAAAGGTCTTGATTTGCTTGTTGTATTAAGAAAAGGATACAAATACAGAGGAATATGAGCTGTGAAAGAGAACAGATGAGTCAGAAAAGTTTCTTTAACTTCAAAGAGAATTTCACAAGCATCTCACCATGTGATAATCTTAAATCTTGGTGGTGAACTAGGAGTTTGTGGGAATTCAGACACAAATAACATTTTCATCAAATAAAGTAAAACTGTAATTCACCCAGTATAACCAAACCTTCTACAGTGATTCGTGATCCTCTTCAATTTATCATACACTTTAAACAAGAATATGTGATATAAACAAAACCTTTCAGGAATTTTTTAAAGAAACTTACCATTAAGGAACAGCATTCTGGTGTCTGGGTGAGAGGCTACGCACTGCAAACCATAATGGAATGGTTGATTAGCTTCAGAAATAAAAGCGCCAAAAGATGAGTCTTTAGATAAGGACACATGGTCTGCAGATAGCTGGGATAAGATCATTGCCCACAGCAAAGGAAACAATGTATGTTATGTCTGCATAGATATGTGACGTGTGAATTACGAATAGCAATTTGCTATCAGCAGGCATCTGTAGAAAGTTTAATAAAACCTGCAACCTGACACTAAATCCCTAAAATGGTGAAAGCCCCTCCAAAAGAGGTTCCTTTAATCTCCTTCCATTCATTCTTTTGAATCTTGATGCAGTGAGTTATAGCTTATAATGTGAATAATAGTGCAAAAAACAGAATATTTTTCATTCACTTTCACAGAAAATTCCATCAGATAATATATATTAAAACAATTGCACATTATTTGGATCCATCATATGATATAAACTAGAACATTGCATATTTGTTTGGACAATGATTGATAAAGGTTGGACTATAATAGACAGCTAATGGTTGCATATACCTGAAGAAGTGCGAGTGCATTGCAAACTCTATTAGATTGAGCAGGAGTGAGGTTTGGTGGTGACAAAACTGGGTAGATGGAGACAATTTCCTGCAGGCATGGCAAAACAGACGCATACAACAAAAGATGAGCAATCACAAGTTGATCAAAACTCTTCAGCCTTAAAGATAAACCAGTTCAAGACTTCTTGTCATGGTAGACTGATAATTTACATGAGAGTACACCTGGATTTGAATGTAGCATAAGTATCTATTACGACCTAAATAGGATTGTAACGGATATGTACCTTAGGAGATACTGGCTCAAATTGTTCACACTTCAGCATGTGAGAGCTCCAAGAAGAATAACTAAATAACTATAAAATATATTAATATTGTATTGTCTAATGATTTTTAATACATTAGGCCTAATATATATAGTACATTAAAACGACTATCAAAGGTAACAATTCCTAATTGTCTTACTAATTATGATTAATTCTCCACTAATCAAGCATCTTGATTATTCTTTTCCTTTTAGGTGTATCATTCTCCACCCCTTCAAAAAAACATTGCCCTCAAGGTGTAGAGTAGAATAAAGTATGAGCATCTCTTTCGCCGGTACCTATAGCGCCGTGTGCAATGCCGTGGGATGGAAAACAACTAAAAATAAAATATTCCTGGGCTTGTTCATCGCTTATCCCCTTGTGAAACCACAACTGGATTAACTGCTCATCTTGTAAGAAAACCAATTCTTGAAACATCTGAGGAGGTTTGACACAGGATACATTCTTTGCTACACTTGGTTGCACGAAACTGTGATTAGTATTATCACCATCAACCATGTCCATTGGCCCCGTAATTTGTGGTTGAACTTCTACTTCTATTTTGGTGTCAATTTTTAGTAAATTGCCTTCTGGCAACTCAGAAAAAGTATTGTGAGGAGGATTGAATCACATCTTGGGTTTTTCTAGGAATTTTGCCCATGTGCTCAATGACCCCATAGGTTTCAACCCATGGTACCACTCAGAGGCTTCACTGTTCATTGTGAATGTTGCGAGACACACCCTTTGAGAACCTATGGCTCTAAAAAATTCATAATATTCTTCTATCTTAATTCTTAAAAATCCAACTATGGAGATTGATGCTATCGATTTGGGTAATTCAGGACAATTATGAAAAGAAAGCAAAACTATTTTTCCGTAGGGTTTTTAAAACTTATTTTTTCTCTTTTTTGCCTTTTTTTGTCTCTCATTTTATCAGTTTTTTTTTCTCACTTCAGTACTCTTTTTTATCAGATTTTTTTCTTTTTTTTTTTTTTGAAAGGATTTTTTTTCTTTTTATTTATCCTCACTTTGCATATTGGACAAAGTATATATGGGAGAGAGATATATGTGCTTCTATAAACCAAGATTGTAGACAGTGATGGTAGGCAAGAACAAGGGAAATTGCAGATATGGTGTTGTGTATATGAGCGGTAGTGGCGGATCTAGATTTCTTATGGCAATGGTGATGTTTGGCGGCAAGAGATGATGGACTATGGACTTGTGTGTTTTCTTTTTATTAAGTATGGAAAAGGTGAGATAGTATCCGTATGTCTATTTCCAGTGGTGCGACGAAGCTAGCAAAAAAAAGATGGTAGAGTCTGAGGGCATCACAGGCGTCACTGGTGGTGAAGGTTGTGCATTGATGATTAGGGGTGTAAATGAATCAAGCTATTCGTGAGCTACTCGAGCTTGACTCGACAAATATTCATGAGCTACTTGAGCCCGAGCCCAAGTAGCTTGAGTAATGAATCAAGTGGAATTTTAGTATCTTAACATTCGGTTCAAGCAACTTGCTAGCCTAATTGAGCTTTTTATTTTTAATATATTTTATATATAATATAAGTATTATATTATAAATTCAACTAATATATGTATATACTTATAAAACAGCCCTAATGTATCAATAGATTTCTATAGCTCGAGTGTCACTAGTTTATTCCATGTAAGGTACAGATCTGCTCTCTTTCAATTCATTTTTGCATAGCTTGTTTATTTTGGTGTTGGTTGTTATAGATTTCCTGAGAATGCATGGAACTACCAAGTACAGAATGTTACTATTGACTCTAGAAATTTTATGTATTCTGAATTTAATTATTTTTAGATAAAATGATTTAGTTTTGTATTAACTCTTAGGCCATTTGCAAACAAAAAGTACTGGTTCAACCTCTGGTAGAGGTTTTTGATGTTGCCGATGCTGAGACATTTAGCTCAAGATAGAAATAGCAAGAAAGACAAGATTAAGAAAACAATGTTTTTTGAGAAGCAGAGTGCTTGTTCTGAAGTTGAATACATCTTTAAAGATAATGTTGAACTTGGCATTCTATATTCTTCAATACTTTCTTGCTTTTATTGTTTTTGTTTATATTTATGGATTATTAATTTATAAAAATAAGACAAAACTAAAAGCCCCTCTAGAGAAACTTCATGTTTATTATGAATTCTGGATGATATAGCTTCAAGTAGGTGGCTGCATAATAGCAAACTATTAAATACCAGATTTCCACATCAACTATTAAATGCTTCCTCCATTGCATTTTATGTGTTTTGTTCGGTTAACGAGACTTGACTGAAGTTATTTACAATTTTAATTTTCATAATATCAAGTTTAGTATTTGTATAAAGTTTATATATTTAGAAACTACATTAAAAGTACTATTAAACACCAAAAAAAAAAAAAAAAACAACAACAAAAACAATAATAAGAAAACACTAAAGAAAATAAGTAAAAAAAAAAAAAAAAAATAGTTGGTTTGACCAATGAATAACAAGATAGGTAAAATGGGATAGAGAGTATGATTATTTATGATTTATGAGCACTTTACCTGTTTATGTCTATTTATTGAATATAATTATTTTCTATTTATGAACATTTGTCTGTTCTCCTTACATGAATTGAAAATGCTCCATAATCTGTTGATGAATGGTCCCTTAGTTTCCTGACCACATCACAGTTCTTTATTCTTGTGATAGGAAGAACTTCATCTAAAGTGGAGTTCGTCATGAAACATTGAAGTGTAATGATTGTTTCTGAGAACCTTGATGCTTTAGAAGGCAATTATTGTTACACTTACACATTCCAACTGGCTTTTAATTTTAATTAGAAGTTTGTTGAATCAGAATGGTTTAGTTTCTAAAATGTTTGTTATTAAAATTTGTATAGAAAATGAAAGTAATAAAACTTATTGTTGTGTATATTTGAGCTGAGCTCGAGCTTACAAAATCAAAGCTTGGTCAAGCTCGAGCTTTTATTTTTAAATTGAGCTGAGCTCCGAGCTTTGACTGTGTAGATGATGTTCCAGGAAGCTGTTTTGCATAAGGTTTTGTATGTTTTTTTTTGTTGGATGTTGGTGATAGTAAATAGTGGAGACGTATGTGGTCTGGAAAAAAAACGGTGGTGCTGTAAACCTGCTGAGTGATGGAGTCTGATCTATTCACGTTGATGCTGAGCAATAATGCTCTGGGTGGTAAGGGGGGGTTTGTTTTGTGATGGAAACAAGGGGAGGAACGGGGAGATGCAGATGACTGGAAAATGTAGCATAGGGAACTTTGTGGCTATTATAGTCTGATTGATGTTCAGTCGTTCACAATTCCTAATTGTGTTACTAATTAGTAAGCCTAATATATACTACATTAAAAAGACTATCAAAGGTAATAATTCCTAAGTGTCTTACTAATAAGATTAATTCTCCACTAATCAAGCATCTTGTTTATTCTTTTGCTTTTAAGGTGTATCAGTATCACAAAAATATCTTATATTTCTAGAAAACTCAAATCACTTATGAAGCATAGGCTTGAGTTTCTTTCAAAATAAGATTGAATCACTAGGTAGGGTATGTTGCCAATGTGCAGAGCATTGACATGTATGGTCAATGATGAAGAATAAATTCTTGCCTATATTTGGCATGGTTATCAAGGCCGTCGCCTAGGCGCCTAGGCGTCGGGGCGACTTCTTGGATGCCTAACCCGAACTAAAACCCGGGTTAAAAAAATTGCGATTAAAAGAAAACCCTCCCAGGCCCCAGCCTCGCCAAACGCATCTTACTCCTTCGCCTTCGACTTCCAAGCTCCACCGCCGAATTGTCGTCGCGCCTCACCCTTCCACCACCAAATCGCCGTTGCAGCTGACCCAACCTCACCCTTAGTGGACTCCTGCCCTCCCAGGTAGCCTTCTGCCTTCTTTCTTCTCTCTTCCTTTTTCCTTCTTGGCCGACTGGGCCTTCTTTCTTTCTTCCTTTTTTTCTTCTTGGCCAACTGGCTTTTCTTTTTTCTTTTTCTTTCGGATTTCATTCATCTTTATACACACATACATACTCATCGCCTTGGCGGTCGGTGGCATCTTGCCCAAAAAGTCCGCCTTGACAACAATGCTATTTGGCTATTTCTCTGAACAACTTATTTGATAATTTCATATGCATGCATTTTAAAGGGGGGAAAAGAAATACACTAAATAGATTCCTTAAAAAAATCCTTTGCCACAAGCTGGGAAATTTACATCATAAACTAGTAGCAGATTGTCTCTGCTATGGTGTAATGCCTATTGTCAGCCTCGACTCCGGTGCTTCAATTATCAAAATATCAGATATTGACACAAGACCATTCTAATCAAGCCAAATTCAACTCAGTTATGAAATCTGAACGCACATATCATTCTTTTCTAAACAATCCTAAATCCAATGTCTGAAAGAAGAGAAGGTGAGGCCAGGTCCTTTAGTCAGACCACTAGATCAGTGTATTTGTAAATTCGTGACAGGTGTCTATGCTTTTCATATGAATGAGTGAATTATTATAGAAAAATGGAAGAGCAATTTGAAGTGCAGATTAAAGGATGTTTAAACTACAAGGAAATACTGGGAGAATACCTGCAAGAGTGCAGCAATAGTACCAAATGAATTCCATAGTAGTGGGGCCAAATCTTGAAATAGTTCTCTCTTCTGGGGAAAGAAAAAAGTTTAAATTGGGAAAGAGCAAACTGGTTAGTTGAGTCCAATTCAGAATTTGCAGCAATCAAGAATTATAAATCATTACAGAATTATGTTTTAATAGCAATCTCAATATTTCTCAAAAAAAAAAAAAAATAGCAATCTCAATAATGATATTTGGTGAAACCTCTAGAAGGAAAAAGGAATATACGATTTGAACTGGAGTTATTGTTAATATCATTGCCATATTTAATCTGTACCTTATGAGACAATGAACATCATCAACTACCATAATGTTGCATATACCACATTTATGCAGTTTTGTGGCTCCTATATTTTTAAGCAAATGCTGTTTCATATTCTCCTACACTTAATGAGAATGCTGCAATGCATATCCTTATGTCTTTTGTTTTTTTCTTTTAATAGCTTAAATATCCTGTGCTGTTTCGGATGCAGTGACAATTTTTTTGCTTATTTCTTCTCATAATGGAAAACACGCAAGCAAGTTCAGTGTTCATTTGGCAATATAAAATGTGAGTTCAGTAAACACACACACACCAAAAACAAAAAACAACAACAAAGGATTAATAAACATAAAAAAAAATAGTTGGAATAATGAAGAATAACATGTCAAAATACAACCTTTTTCCCCACTTTCTAACAACACAAAATAGTTGGAGTAATGAACAAAAACATGTTAAAAAAAAAAAAAAAAAAAAAAAAACAATATTGTTCTCACTTCCTCTATAAGTGACTCATCCCTAGACAAATAATTCTGAGTTTTGATATCCAACGCTTTGAATCATACAAGTAAATTCCCCCGTGATACCTAATAGCTCCCTCATCCAAAATTCTCCCACCCATCAGTCTCAAAACAGTTAATCACATGGGGTATAGAATTCTAGATAAAACCTAAACCTCACGTATTCCAGAAACAAATAAACATTCATAAACGGTGCACCAAAAGCAGGCCAATCTCACTTTTAGAAACAAACAAATAATCATAAAACTATGGTACCAACAGAAGGCCACTGAAATGCAATAGAAATTTGGCGTGAGAGAGTGTCTAGACCTTGGAGAGCTCGAGAAGAGCGTTCTCTCGGAGATCAGGATTGCTGAGGTCGAGCACGAGCTGCTCAGCAGATTGCATTTTGCGTTCCTTGTTGGGCTGAGCGCCGACGGCGGTGGCGGAGGAAGAGCCAGGACCTCCTCCGAAAGCGGCGGCGGCGCCCATCGAGAGATTCGGAGGGAGATTAGCCATGTATCTCAGTTTTACTCAGATTCTACTTCTGTCCAATACTGGAATGGGAGGAAAATCTGGAAACGGCTGAACGGAGAAGCAGGCAAATATGTCAGTGAAGTTTGATTCAAAAGTGGCGTTGCGCTGCTGTTACACGTGCCTGGCTTTCTTCTTTAGGACTATACTGGGTTTCTATTAAATACGGACCAGCATTGATTTTTTTCCTTTTTAACAAAATAAATAAATACATAAATACAATAAGAACAAAAAAGGAACATGTTAAATGCTTTTTGTAACTAGAATTCTAATCACATTTTGTATCCTTAAACCTTGATAATATAATTTTTTTTGGGGGGGGAAAGCGGGAAGACCCAACCTTTGCATACTAAGATGCAAGCTCGATAGGAATTAGGCTTTAACCCTTTAATTTACGGCCAAATGACTACAGGATCATCAGTCTACTCTACCTCAATTCACCATTTCGAACTTTATACAAAAGGTCTTCACGGAGAATTCAATTTCACCGGGTCCATGTCGGAGACAGCGGGGCCACTCTTCTTCGGTTTCAGAATCGGGGATGAGGGAACACAAGGAAAATGGAACAATTCTCTTTTTCAATTTTTGGGATTCGTCTTGCTTATTTGCTTGATCATTGAGTTGAGTGCGGGGTAAATACTTTTGACTGAACCTCCGATGAGCGGAACATTCCGTCTACTGGACGCGGTTCAACTAGCGGAGACTCTTGGAACCGTACGTGAGACTCTCGCCTCATACGGCTCCATCCCGGAATCAGGACCTCTCCTTTGACCAACGGGTCCTCAAACCAACTTGTGACCAATCCCATTCATCCTGGTCTGATCCGAACAGATCTTGTTGAATGAATTGATCCATTGTTGTATGCCCTACTTCTTAGTGTATCTTGATAACATTCATAAGCCTTATGCTGCTGGTCTAATGAAGGTTTGTCCCGGTGATAAGATAAATAATCTCATGATTAATCACTACTTCAGTGAAGACTACTCTATAATCTTGGATTCCTTTGAAGAAAGGAGTACCTGTTTTGGACAAATCGTCCTATAAAATTTTTTCCATATCTGCTGATGTTTCGAAGAAGAAACGCGGGTCTCCTTTCTAAATAGATACTTGCTCTTCTGGTACGGGGCACCTCTTCCGGTCGAGGTAGAATCTCCTTCCTTTCTATTGCGCCTAAAATCTCTATTTCTGCTAATATTTCTTGCAGTTTGTCGGAAAAGAGTGGACAAGGAATGAAAATCGACATACCATAATATAATTGACAATAAACAATCATGTATTATTTGACTTCACATAAATTATTATATTTGTGATGACTTGTTTATCTATTAATTTCCTAGTAAATTGGAGTGTCGATGATTTTAAAATTCCATAAAAAATACTACTTCTTTTGTGTCTCAGGTATTAGTCATAGCTCGTATTTGGCTCCACGTCTTATCCAAGGAATTTTGAAGGAGGTGTGGCCTGGTGCCTGGACTTCCACGTTAAAGATGAAGTGCCACATCTGCAAACAGTCTTGTTCAGACCGCCAAGTTGTTTGGTGTGGATTCACTCACCGCATCGTTATTATGTTAATGGTGTTCATGCCCAATTGTGTACACAATACACGAATTTCTCAAAACATCAGCTTAGCACATTTCAGTCAAACACTTGCTTTGAGTGAAATATCCAATACTTCAACTGAGAGAAAATTAGTATTATTTTAGAATCTTTCTCTGTATAATCGCTATTGAATAATTTTCTTATATCATTCTCTGTAATCTCATTTTTATGGATTTCGTTCTCTGAATTATACATATAATAGAGCAAGTATATATTTGTTAGTCCATCTAACTAATTTCTTTTCCTTTCTTCAATTTTCATCTGGATGCTTCATTCCATGACGTCTTGATCAGGTCATGCGTCCCATATTCAATTTGTTGTCATTAGTACTTGAGTCAATAACCGATTCCTTCTTTGACTTAGACTTCCTCTATTAGAGCAACTCATGAAGCAGTATGTCCATCAATCGATTATATTCTATATAAATAATATGGACTCTATTGACTCTTTTATAATAATTTTGTCATAATAATCAAGCCAACTACATATGAAGTTCTAATCAATCTATAACACTAACAACTCAAGAGATGTAAACACTCACGACAAATGATGAGACTTACTAGGTGCTTGAAGACTCATCACTCAAATACGCTCTTTGTTAATTCGACCTATCATGCTACTAATTTGAACGTCTGATCTATGTATGATAATGCTTGGAAAGTAATTTGGAAGTTGAAAGTATCGAACATAATAAATGATTTAATTTCTTCTAGATGGTGAGGCATGAACGAATACTCTGTAACGTTGAAAGAAAGAAACGACATATTGAGATAAATGAATGTTGCCATGTGTGCATTGCTAGTAGTGAAATCGTTAAACATATTGTATGGAGTTGCCCAACGGCTAAGAATATCTAGGTCATGAATATCAAAGGCTCGAATAATTGATAACTTGAGTTTTCAGGATTAGCTCAATATCAATTTGGCTGAGGGCATTCCCATGGCATATGGGAATGACCAGAAGAGAATCTTTTCCATCATTGTATGGTGGATGTGGAGATGGCAAAATAGAGCAATCTTTAACGGGAAAAAATGGATCATGATAATAAAATAGCATAGATCCTAGAGTAATCTATGTACTTTATAATTGTCCTAGATGTACTTTATAATATTGCTATGTGCATTCTAAATATATAATATTAATCTCTAAAATGAACTTCTAATAAATCAAATTTTAAAAATAAAAAATAAAATTAAACCATTAACTTTAAAAGGGGAACAACACTTCTATTGTACCTTCATATATTACGGAATGGACTCTATAGTATTGTTAAATGTACTCCATGATGTTGTTACGCGCACTTAGCGTTTGGTTCATGGAATGTTAGATTAATTACCTTAGGAAATGTTAGATTGCTGGGAATGTTAGATTGCTGGGAATGTTAGATTACTGAGAATGTTAGATTCATGTGTTTGGTAAAAACTGGGTTATATAATATAAACTCGTTTGGTTAATGAATTATTGGGAATGTTATAGTGGTTATTTTACTTTAATGCCCTCATATTACAAATCATCTTGCAAAGTGAAGGGCAAATTTTGTAAAATAGCTAGGGAATCTTATATTACCTAAGGAGAGGAAGGTTATCACATTCCCTTAAAATTATGAAAAAAAGCTGATGTGGAGGGTAAATAACATTACATGGGAAAGTTGGATAACTTCAACCAAACAAAGGAATCTTGTATAACTAGCCAAATATAACCTTGGTTATCCTAGATAACCCGAACCAAACGCCCAAGTTTTAGTTATTTATTAGGACATCCTCAACAGTATTGGGGTTTTTGTGATTTTTGAGGTGCCAACTAGGAGAGAGAATATGAAGAAATAAAAGGGAAGAAAAAGAAGAAGGAAAAAAAAATCTGCCAAAGTCTTTCAAAATTTCCCAAAATCTGCCAGGAGAGAGAAGAGCATCTGCGCTTTCCTTGTTCTCACCCATTGAGGGGCCCACAAAAACTACAAAATAGCAAGAGAAAAAAACAAGCTAAAATCCGTGTGACACCCCGGAAATCCAATCATTAAATAGAATTAATGATGCAATTAATTCTAAGTCTTCCATATGAATTTTTCTTTCCAATTTCTTAATTGTAAAGTCGGAGGACTTGAATTGACCAATTCCTTGGTCAATTGGTTTAGTCAATGAAAAGGACCTTGAGGTTTATAGGTTGTGCCTAGCCTTTTGAGGTCTTCCTAGTCTTTTTGAGAAAGTAAGAGTATTTTAGTCGTTTCACCCTTGCTTGGCATTCAAGATCACACTTCACTTCATACATTTGGCAAGAAACTTTAGTCACTCTACCTTCTCTCTAGAAAAGCTAGCTAGTTTTCTCTCCAAGCCAATCAAAATCCCATTTCATCCTTGCAAAAGAACTCTCCAAGATTCCACATTTCCACCATTAAAGCATTAGGAAGGGTAAGATCTCAGCTTTGTTGGTGTTTTTGAGTAGCTTTGCATAGTCTCTATCTAAGCTGTGGTATTTCTTTGTATGCTTGGTTGTGTTGAGAAGATTTGGTTGAGGAGGAACTTCAAGGAGAAGTCTAGGGGTTAGAAAGAAAATGTATCTTGGTCTACAAAGGTAACTCATGCTATACAAAACCTATTTTGAACTTGCTATGATGATTCTTGACATTCTATTTGATGTTCTTGAGGTTCTTGTGAGATTTGATGCATAATCTTGTGTTTATGCATGTTAGAGCTTGTATCTAGGGTTCTTAAATGCTATCTTTTGAGCTATTCATGTGTTCAAGTCATTTCCTTATTGAATGTGAGGTTTTGAGTGTTTTGGACTTGGACATGGCAATGTTGATGTTTTTCCCCGAAGGGAAAATTCCCCCAGGGTACGTGTACCCGCGGGCGGAACAGCGGGTGGCTGTCCACCAGCCGTTCCACCCGCGGGTGGATGGTGAAGTGGTGGCGGGCAGGGCCGCGGGTGGTTGTCCACCCGTGGTTCCGCCCGCTGGAACGTGTAAGGGGAGTGGCGGGTGGTTGTCCACCCGTGGTTCCATCCTCTGGTACGTGATGTTTTGGCCTCCGTTTTATGAATTCTTGAGTATTTGTGTGTCTCCTTTGATGTTTCTTACGTCTAGAACGGTGTCCTAAGTATCTATGATAGGATTATGAATCTTGAATCGTGCTTATGGTCCAACATTGTGATTCGTTGCATTAATGTGAAGTCGTTGATGAACCATTATGTTTCCCCTTTTCGATGTGCATGCTAGTTCTAGTGTTGTTGATACTAGTATGTGTTACTTATTGGTTCCTAATGAGGATTGACAACTTGTGTTGCCAATCATGTGAATTGTTGGATTAAAGTCTATTGTTGATGGTCTATCTATGCCTTTCGTTGATATCTATCGGTTGTATCCGTTGTCTTGATCTTGTACATATGTTGTACACGTTTGTTGATACTTGATTGGGCTATTGATGAGTCTCAATCCTCTTGATGATGATTATGTGTTACTATGAGATTGGTGGTATTGTTACTGAGCTTTGCTCATGAGATCGATGGTATTGTTATTATGATATTTAATGGCACTGCGTGTAATGATTGGTGG